TAAGAAACCACAAACAATTTCACACAAAAAGCTATGCAAAAGTGTAAGGCTGCATATATTTTAAAATTACTATCTGCGCAACCTCCAGAGTCCATGTTTAGCCGCTTTAAGCTTTATTTATATACCGCCTTTCACAGACCAGAGTCACAAAGCGGTTTACAAGTGTTATTTTTTGGGCACTTGTCCTCTCACTCCACACAGAGATGGGAGCGGGGTCGCCGAACAGGAGGCGCATGCCAGACCTATTGTACATATTTTTAGTGGTAGGGGAAACCGTAGTACCCGGAGGAAACCTACGCAGACACGGGGAGAACATGCAAACTCCACTCAGAAAGGCCCTGGTCCGGCCGGGATTCGAACCCAGGACCTTCTTGCTGAGAGGCGAGAGTGCTATCCACTCAGCCACCGTGCCGCCCACGGGTTCTCGGGACTGACTTAAATGACTGTAACTGTAAGGTATTTCATCCTGGAGCAAGCAAGTTACTTTTTTGCTCTCAAATTTTGTTGTATATTGTATAAATGACAATAAGTGATCCTCATATCTAAACCCAACTGCTCCAAACCCTAACCATAACCTGACAAATTCAAAAAAAGTAAAACCACACTATTTGAAAAAGTTTTGTTGCCCTTAACAAGATATTAAGATTTGTAAACTGGAGTCCAGATTAACTCACCGTTCTTGATGATTTCACAGACTTTTAAGACCCCCAGAATATTGTGTGTGTGAAATATGAAACCAGATTGTGAAACACTGGACTGTCTACTTTCATCAGCAAAAATATATCTCCAGTTGAATGGAGGGGAGTTTGAAGAAAATCACCAGTCTCAGCCAAATACGTCAATGGCAGTTAATGAGTTAAGTGCTATACGAGCCAGCTCTAGTACGTGTGCGAAATGCTGTCTATTTACACGTGAAGCTTTTTACAGACCTTGCCATTATATTACATCATATTATTTATACACCCAAACCCCTCGTGGTCCTCATAACCTCTTCTGATCCTGTCGAAACTCATCTTAAGCCAGATTTGGTCCATATACACCTAACATCAGACTGATCGTGCTCTGAGAACCATATACAGATACGTGGATAAAAAATGATGAGAAGAACTGAGAAAAAGAGGAAAAGAGAAGAATTGCGAGTAGAGGGACAGATGCAGAGAAAGGTTTGGTCCATATTCTCCATTTATTAACATCAAACTGATCATACACTAAGAGACATATTAACTACGGAAAGTGAGGGGAGGGGATGAACTGAGAAATCAAGGAATAGAGAAGACTTGTGCAGAGGCAGAGGGACAGATGGAGAGAAAGGCACATAAAGAGTGAGTGGACGCGTGCCCCTGTGCTCCTCATCATCAGCATGCACAGCAGTGGTCGGCTTGTATGAAGAGGCATAGTATTAGCATTTAAATGAGTCTTAAAAGTGTGTGTGAGGAAGACGCTCCTCCGCTAATCGGAGTGGACACTCAGCCGGTAGCTATAGTGCCGCGCGGCGATCATGAAAAGTTTCCAACGAATTGGAAATTAGGATTCCTTAAGGGCTTTCCTATATTCCCCACTGAACACATTAGTGACAGCCTCCCACGGCGCCGGCTCCCCCTGCTGTCACATTGAGGAATGGCGTCAGCACCACGGACAGCTACAGGGAAGTGAGCAGGCAGAAAGTGATTAAGCGTTCACGTCTTTTCATATCCACTTGAAAAATAATTGTCCGTTGTGAAAGGATTCAAAAGTTGGCAGAGGATAGTGTCTGCGGAGTGTTTTCCCCATGTCCTCATCAACACAACACTTTCACCAGAGGTTAAATTCTCCTGTGGCATATGGAGTTGGGTCCAAGAGAAGAAAAATATAGTTTTACCAATTTATTTGGAGCTGTTTGGCGTCTGAGTTCCCTCTCTCATATCCCTAAACTCATCCTCAGTCCAGTTGATAAATGACAATAAAACATAACCTTTATATATGGATTCTTGTATATTGTGCATTTTGACATTTTAAAACACAATTATATATCAGAGCATTTCAACAGGCCTGTTCAACTTCTGCCTGTTCAATATATGCTCTCTAATATTTTTCAAAAACACCTGAAACATGACCTTTAAGTCAATCCGTCCTGCACTCATTTTTAACTCATATTAAAATTATACAGTTTTGTCTTTTTTATTCATACATTGTGTGACTTGTGTGGCCGTCCTTGAGACTACAGACTTCAATTTTGCTATAATCTGCCACATTTATAGTTTGTGCACAGCTTTTAAGCGATTGTTCATTAATCTGTGTGGTCCCAATCAAATATATAATACATCTGGTATTTGGCTCGTTGTCCAAATATGGAAAATTATGATTAAAAAACATCTCATTCAGGAATATTTCTAGTTCAACTGGTGCTGTCTAGTTTAAATGTGGGATACAGGTGTGGAAATCCTTTTTGTCATGTATATATGATTAAAATGGGCAAGGCAAGACTAGTTTATGGCAACTCAAAAAGCTGAACAGAACAAGATAGCATTAAATGGCATAAATAATCAGAGTACATTAAAAAAGATGAAAATATAAAATGTCAGTGGTATGCACAGATTAAACAGAACTGTTATTTTTTTACCTGGATGAAAATAGATTTATTCTAAAGGGTAGATACATGCATACACGCACATATATAGATTCTCACATACATGACAGGAAATAATAATTATAAATACAATAGTAGTAAGTGTAAGGGTAATAGTAAAGGAAAAGCAATAACCCTGAAAGAAAAGAGAAAATAAATTATAACATTAATATAATACAATAATAAAAAATAACCTTGCCGATTCAAACCATATCACATGTTGAACTGTACGGCATTAAAACAACAATCAATGATGCAGACTGCAGATCCTCACAGTCTGAATCTCCAAATCTTCAGCTTTTCCTCTTAACCAAACACTACTTGCAAACGTCAGACATAACTCTCCGTAAACCATTTTATTTCCCCCAAATTGCCACATTTCGTTTTCGTTTTCTTCTCTAACAGTCTTTTCTAAGGATAGCTCATCAACTGAATAATAAATCAGTGGCTTCTCGCAAGGTCTTAAGAGAATCAGTGGCTTCTCTTAAGACCTTGCTCGCACCAACAGCGCCTGCGGGACGGCTCTTCAGAAAAATCTGTTTTTGTGCCCGCCATGAACGTGTGCAAAGGCGCTGCTTGCATATTTGCACTTATCCTCCTCAGCGTGTTATCGCTCTTCATCCCGATGTGTGTATTTAGGCCTGGGAAACATACATAACGGCTGCATGCGCCTTTGATTTGGCGCCGGCACCAGGGAGATGATTTGATGAGATTGTTGGAGCGATGTGGCGTGCTCCCTGCTTCTTACGTAGTGATACAGAATGACTGGAAGAGGAAAGCATGCGGTGTGTGCAGGATTTCAGAGGGGGAGGATAAAAATATGCCCCCAGCTAATGATGTAATTATACAGAAAACAAAGGCAACAAGCTAACACGTTTACCACAACAAAGTCATGGGAGTTTTTACACCGTCAGGAGAGAAGATGATAATGACTTTTGTTTCCATAGTGACGCAAAAAAGTAAGAGGGGATGTGGAGTGTGTTGTTGTATTTGAGATTTCACTGCGAGTTCCATAGAGATGGCAGAAAGGTTAGATTATAATGTAAAAGAGACATTATGCGAAAATCGACTTTCTAGGCCTGAATCAATAGTGCGAAAACTTAAAATGCGCTACTTGTGTAATGATGAGCCCTGCGGGTCAAAGACAATAACTAAATAGCAGAAAACACTATTTGTTATTATAATATTGTGGTAAGGCAAGGCAAGTTTATTTGTATCGCACAGTTCATACACAAGGCAACTCAAAGCGCTTAACAAAACAAGAAAAAAAACAATCACACACGGCATTAAAATCATAAATAATCACAAAACAGTGAAGATAATCTCAAAAGCGTGAAGATAAAATCCCTCAGTTGTATGCGCAGCTAAACAGAACCTGGATTTTAAGCCTGTGTCACATTTTCAGGAAGACTGTTCGAGATTTTAGCTGCATATATCTCAAATGCTGCCTCCCCATGTTTAGCTCTGACTCCAGGCTCCAGCAGGAGGCCAGTCCCTGTGCTCCTCAAAGTCTGATACCTAGTAGATAGTAGATAGCTAGTGGGTTCCCATGATAAACAGTATAATAGCTTTTAACCATGTTGCCAGTTGTGATTACTCATAAAGAACAGACATGGGGCTGTTTTCATGTGCTTTTAGGAGGTACTTTATTATCCCTCACTGAGTGGTAGACAATGCCCTGATGGAAAGGTTGAGTATAAGCCTTTATTCATAAATGGCTCGGCAACGTTCGCAAACGCACCAAGACTTTCTGTTCCAATGAGTCATCCTCAGTCTGTTCAGTTAATATCATAGACTTTATATTAGGAGTGGACTGACTGAGGTTGATGTCACTGGAAGAAGCCAATTTGAACATAAGCTAGCTGGAGCCAATTTCCTTATATGGCCGTTTCTTCCTCAACTCTAGCTTCGAGCAGTAAGACCTGTTGCTAAGGCGGTTGCTAAGGCCTACTGGAGATTTCCTCACGAATGAAGGCGTCTGATTGGTCAATCTTTATGTCACTCATATCTGGAAGTATACATTGATTACTGAGGTAGAGGAGTATACTTTTCAGCATCAGTTTAAAGGAGCCAAAGTAAGTTGGAACAAAACTGTGACAGGAAAGTCAATTTCATATCAATATTGTACACATTTTTAGCGGTAGGGTAAAACCAGAGCACATAGAGAAGACACAGGGAGAACATGCAAACTCCACACAGAAAGGCCCCATAGTTTTCAGAAGGTGGAGTTATAACCAGATATGTTGTATGTCCCAAAACCCTTGATTATCACCTTCCAACATGGAGCAGTTAAAACATTTTGCGTTTATGTGGTTTTTCCGAGTTTTGTTCCAATCTGTAACATGTGTTTTTGTAAATATGGATTCTGACGGCGCTCTCTCTCTCTCTCCCTCAGGCCACATCTCTCCATGGAAGGCGTCCAAACAGGTGAGTGTGCTCCGTCTCTCGTCTGTCAGAGACCTCCTTGTGTTGGTGCGATCTGCCTCGCAGCATCTTTTAGCTACTATTTTTATTCTAAATTCATTTGGGTACATTTCATTTCAATTATTTCTGTTTAACTTATTTTCTTTTTCTTATTTTATTGGTATTTATTTTGTGTATTTCTTGTGTTTATCTTATTTTATGTTTATTATTATCGTCTTCTGTCCCTTTGTTATTTTCTGCATGTTTTTCTGTTGTGTATTGTCCGTATTTGTGTCGACTGCATGTGATAAAAATACTAAAACTTCCAAATCTCCCAGAGTGCACTGTGATGTCACCTATACATGGAGTCAGAGTACTGTTGCTTCACAAAAACTTCACAAAGCAAAGTTGCAAAGTAGTAGTGCACAAAAGGAGGAGATTGAATAAGTATTTGGTGAAAGTACAGTAAGAGTATCCGTCTGTAAGCTAGTATCTACCATCAGATTTTTTAATTATATCATTTGTAAAAGGAGGAGACACAATTATTTCAGAAAGAGCAGCACAAGAAACACAAATGTTCAAATCATAGTCAATGTCGCCCCTTAATGACACTGCTCACGGTTACTCGAGCCTTTGTTAGCCTTCACAAATGCTAATGTGTCCACATCTGAAGCTGGAGGTAGTCATTAAGCAAATCTGGTTTGATTGCATTTTTAGACCTTCAAAGTCTGACTGACAGTTCCAGAAATGAGAAAAAGCACTGGCCCCAGTACCGTATACTAAATTAACCTTTAAGACTACATTTTTCTGACATATTTCTATTTGATTTATTCCCGTTATGGATTTTACTTTCTTTCATAAAGTTTCAGGGCCTCACCTTTTGTCTGTTCACATCAAATATCCAAAAAATGACATAAAAAGAAAATTCCTATGATTTTGACAGCTGGAGAGGCAACATGAAAGAATTACTGTTACCTTGAAGACAGACACAAATGTGCCATTTTTGCAGAAAGATACATTTACAAGCCTTGATGTTACGCAACTAAAATAGCGTTGTAAACCACTGAATCACCACTGAAAGTATTTTAAATCTACTCAAAATTTAGTCTGTGAAAATCTGTATCACTCATGAGCTTGTTGTATATCCCAAAATACGTTGCATTTTTCCACCTCTATTCTTTCAACAATTGCTTTTTTTTTCATGCCTGTGTAGTTACCGGACCAGTGGGACCAGCACGGGAGCCTGCAGACCAACCTGTCGGGGCCCGTCTTACCCCCAGGCACACCCTTCCCAAACCAGCCCCAACACCGGACCTCTGTGCCGGACTCCACAGAAGGCTTCGACCTCAACAAACCGGACCCCTACGACCTGTATGAGAAGTCCCGGGCCCTTTACGAGAGCAGACGTGAGCACGCAAGCCTTCCTCTTTTGTAGTCCACTTAAAGCTGGGGTACCCAACTTTTTTTGTGTCATAAACAACACACAACAAATCAGACCACAACATGCTGCGATTGTCTCATTAGAAAACATGTTATTTTGTGCTTACTTAAAGAGCAATTACCCACTAAGCAAGCCGACGTTGAATCAACGTAATTTGAACGTCGTTGTCCGACGTAGAATATAGGTCACTGGTGGGTGCAGAATGAAAGTTTTCTCGACGTCGTTTCCCGACGTCACTTCAACCTCCAAATGTTACGTTGATGGCACGTCAATTCAAGGTTTGAATGTGGTACGGAACCGGTCGGGTCTGACGTCCTATCAACGTCTCATATGACCAAAATATTGACGTTTATATGACGTTCGTTTTCAGTCGTTCCCACTAAGCAAGCAGATGTCAAAACGATGTCATTTCAACGTCATCTGGACGTTCATTCAAGGTTGCAATGTGGTACAGAACCGGTCGGGTCCGACGTCCTATCAACGTCTTATATGACCAAAATATTGCCTTCATATGACGTTCGTTTTCCGTTGTTCCCACTAAGCAAGCAGATGTCAAAACTATGTCATTTCAACGTCATCTGGACGTTATCTGGACGTTCAAATGACGTCGCGGCCACTTCATTCAAGGTTGCAATGTGGTACAGAACCGGTCGGGTCCGACGTCCTCTCGACGTCTTATATGACCAAAATATTGACGTTTATATGACGTCCATTTACAGTCCTATTGACATACTTAACCTCTGCAGAATCACTCACTGGTCGAGACATACTTTTTGCAATAGGCAAGGCAAGTTTATTTGTATAGCACAGTCAAAACAAAAGGAAACTCAAAGCACTGAACAAAAGATAGAAACAATCAAACAAGGCATTACAATTATAAATATTGACTGTAAATTAAAAAGAAACAAATAAAATCTCTCATAAAATCTCTCAGTTGAAGCAGAAACAGAAGTGTTTTAAACCTGGATTTTAACATTGTCAAAGAAGAAGCCTGTCTCACATTTCCAGGAAGACCGTTCCAGATTTTAGCCTTGTGAATCTGAAATGCAGCTTTATCATGTTTAGTTCTGACTCTGGGCAATAAACGATAAACACAGCATTCAAAAATCATTAGAACAACTGTAGTAGAAGGATATCAGTCATTATTGCAAATGGAGCTGCATTAAAAATCATGTTTCTCTACATCAAAGTACAAGTTAAAGCACACAGGGCACAGTGTTATGAACACTACTGTACTGAACAGTTCATGCCAAAGTAAAAAAACATGATTGTAGCGCCTATGTTTGGATCAGTATTAAAACAGGCACAAGCTACACTCTAGGTTCCCCAGATGTAAAAACACAATCTGAAAGGCAGAAGAATGCATTTATTGAATGTTGAGGTTCCAACATGTGTCCTCTCTTGGTCTTCAGTCTCTCATCACAAGGTCCAAGCACAGCACCTGAAAATGTGGAACATGTTTAGTTTCAACATAATGTGGCAAAGTGATATAACAACACATAACTTTCTATTAATGCCTCAAACCACTCGATCCATCACCATGTGATACAAACCTTGGCACTGCACTAGCTCGAGACACTGGAAGACACTCAGTCTGAGAAACTTGGGATAAGGCTTTGGTCATTGGAGTAATTCCATGTAAAAAACAATTGCAAATGTGCATTTGTTTTGCACATGGACACAAATGAGCCCTGAAAGCTACTTACCCTGTATTACTCTACACATGTTGCATTTCCGAGGGGGCATTTTCCCCTTGTTGCTCTTTTGCCTCATCTTGAGTGAGTTGCTGAACAATCTGAGAAAAAGATAGATGTTTTCAAAGAGAATACACCAAATAATGGTTTATTCTAAAAACAACATATTAATACAGAACAGTATTGAACAGTACTATAACAGTGTGATTCTTACCTTTGAACACCTTCAACACAGTCTGACACCTGTAAGACTCAAACACACATGACACATTAGGAATACACACAGAACATTAGTTATTGCAACAATCATGAAATTATACTCTATGGATTTCACAATAATTGACTGCATTAGCAAATGTAAATGTATTTTAATTAACATATGGCTGGTTTTAAAGTTTATAAGAAAAAGTAAGAAATTGAATAGAGTTGCAAGCGCTAGTTAGCTTGCTACCAGCAGATGAATGGATATTTAATATTTGCAGCTAACAATAACAAAAATAACAACTGTAGTGGCTCATTTAAACAGCCACAGTGAGAAGAAGTGAAAGTCTCTGACATTGAAGACCTGGGAAGACATTAAATCAATTTATTAAACAAAGCAATACATGAACATTAAACTCTCTTTCTGCAGCAGGTAACATATGTGTGCTCCTATGGTCCCACACCTGAACTCAACTCCAACTGATGACATCACAGGTGTCTAAATGATGGGAGTGTCCCAAATAGTAAAGCTGATCTCCCTGTTTTTAAACTCAGTTTACTAAGTACTGTTGTCTTTTTGCAGTTTATAAACCATTGTGAAATATACAGTAACTTTACATTTTAGAATTGAATTATTATTTTAAAACTCAAGAATCTTAACCTTTTTTAACACATACTTTGTTGGAAAGTCTAACCTAAGAATTCTAATGTGTTAAAAATAGTTTGAAATATGAAAAACAATATCATATTTTAAACTTTAACTTAAAAACTAAAAAAAGGTGTCTCCCTTTCAGCTGAGCAGTGCCAGCCGTTATTATTATAGATTCATGCACTGGCAATTCAAAATACAGATAATATACAAAATATACTTAACAAAATCCACGTATACGTGAGAAAACAACTGACTTTCTGTCTCCAACTCTTTTCAATGTGGAAATGATACATCTATATCTAAAAACTGTGCAGACTGTGTACTTACTAGAGAGGATGATTCCAAGTAAATAAAGCAGGGCAGCGACAGAGGTACAGATTCAACGTCATATCAACGTTGTATTGCTAGATCAAGACGTACTGCGTCGGTCGGCCGATGACCTGTTTTCGACGTCTAGGGGAGGTCGGGATTGAACGTCATATCCACGTATATGGGAGGTCATTGTTTTACATCCAGATGCGCACCTTGCACAGACGTCGTTTGGACGTAAATAAAAGGTCACGACCGACCGACGCGATATTGACGTGATCTGGAGGTTGAGTGGACGTCGGATGTTTAGTGGGTAAACACCAAATCAACTTTTTTCAACTCATAAACTGCATAAATATGTTTATTGTAGTGCTCTCTACATATCCTGGTCATTTTTTTGACATTTTAGTTCAAATTAGATAAAATATCACTTTTGAGCCAAAAAACGTCTGTGTGGCGCCCTCTCAACCTTTTTGGTGGTACTACATTTGAATTTGGTTCTGGCCTCTCCATTGGCTCTGAAGTTCTCTATGACATCAGTTGTTTTGTGTGATGTCAGTCTGTCAGAGCCAGTGATATAAACCCATCCAACTCTCACACGCCCCAGCTGCAGTTTGCAGTATTCTGGCGCCATCTAGTGGATTAAAATTAAATTACATGAGTATTTCTGAGATTATTGAGTGTGATTAGGTTAAGGTGTGTAGCTTTACAATTATCTAAGTGTGTAAACAAGGGTGGAATGAGACTTTCTGGTCTGTAAACTATTGCTTTAAGCAGCAATGACAACTGTCTGTTTTTTTTAGTGAGACAAGTGAGCTGTCAATCACAGCCCAGACCACGCCCAACTCTAAGCCCCCCTTCTTGTCCCTTGGTCCTCCAGGCAACGCCCTTTTAAAAGAAACTTTTCAAATGTTCATGTGGGCGGAGTAAGGCTGTGCACAGGTGTTTAGTCGCTCTTTAAAAAGAAAGAGCTCTGTGAGTCACTATAGGCAAAGGCTCAATCTTAATCTTGTTAGATCTGAATGCTGCCTTTGACACCATCGACCATGAGATCCACTTACAGACCCTAGAGGACTGGCACCGCCCTAAGTTGGTTTAGGTCTTACCTTGAAGACAGGAAGTACTTTGTGGAGATTGGAAACTGTGTCTCAGATCATATGGCCCTGACCTGTGGAGTACCACAGGGGTCGATCCTGGGACCTCTTCTGTTCAATCTCTACATGCTGCCGTTAGGTCAGTTAATACGCAGAAACAAAGTGTCCTATCACAACTATGCAGACGACACTCAGATCTATGTCTCACTGACTGCAGGAGAACATGGACCAGTGGACTCACTCCGTCACTGTATCCAACAGATCAGTGAGTGGATGCAAAACAACTTCCTTCAGCTAAACGCAGACAAAACTGAAATGATTGTCTTTGGTCCCCAGAAACAAAGAGAGTGCGTCATCTGTCACCTACAGTCTCTCTCCCTAAAACCTTCAAACCAGGTCCGAAATCTAGGGGTAATACTGGACTCAGACTTAAATTTTAATAGCCACATCAAATCAGTAACATCAGCAGCTTTTTACCATCTAAAAAACATTGCCAGGATCAAAAACATAGTGTCTAAAGCAGACTTGGAGATTCTTATCCATGCATTTGTCTCCAGTAGGTTAGACTACTGCAATGGCCTGCTCACAGGTCTGTCCAAACAGGCTGCAAAACAGCTGCAGTACATTCAAAATGCAGCAGCTTGAGTCCTGACTAGAACCAGGAAGTACGACCACATTAGTCCGGTCCTCAGGTCTCTGCACTGGCTTCCTGTGGCTCAGAGAATAGACTTCAAAACAGCTCTGCTTGTGTACAAGTCTCTCCATGGCCTCGCACCAAAATATATTAGTGACATGTTAGTCCCATATAAACCAGCCCGGACTCTGAGGAGCACAGGGACTGGACTCCTGTTAGTGCCCAGAGTCAGAACTAAACATGGGGAGGCTGCTTTTCAGATTCATGCTGCTAAAATCTGGAACAGTCTTCCTGAAGAATGTTTAAAACCAGGTTAAAGACAGTTCTGTTTCAGAGAGCAGCCGTCCTCCTGTGGACTCACCACCTGCAGAGGGTCAGTGAGGGGCTGGTGCTATGAGACTTGGGTGGCATCTCTGATTGCCACTCCCCTGACCCAGAAATGGATTAAAGGGTAGAAAATGGATGGATGAATTGTGCTATATAAATAAACTTGCCTTGCCTTGCCTTGCCTATTTAATGCTATCAAATATTAAAATATGCTGTGAAGAGATTTTTTAGACTCCCAACAGAGATGAAATGACTACAGAATAAATTTAAATATATATTAAAAACAAACCAAGGCCTTTTGTGATCCTAACAACAGATTTTTTATTGTCGCAACTAATCATATATAACATAATCGTTAATTACAGTCCAAGCTGAGAGCTGATTGGCTGAGTGAGGGTGGTCCTCTATTTTTAACTTTTCTTTCTTGAATATGTTGATCTAAGAGGCTAAAAATACCTGTGTGTGAAACCTAGTGCGAGTTTTGAGACCGAGGAATGAGTCACACCTTGATATTTTACATAGTTAATATTTGTGTGGTTGAAAAGTAACGCAAGGCGAGGCCAGTTTATTTGTATAGTACAGTAGTATATATACTCATAATGTCAAAACAAGATGGAAAGCAATCACACAGAGGAGGTTCAGCTTTAAGATATGTATAAGACAGTATGTTTGAACCTGTGTTTTGCCTCAGGTCCCGAGTACGAGGAAGTGGAAGTGCACCTGCTGAGGGAAAAGACTGGATTTGGATTCCGGATCCTGGGGGGAGACGAAGCGGTGCAGGCTGTGAGTCCGGACGCCCGTGACAAGGCTCGTATGGGACGGGCTGGTTCACACACCTAACCTCACACTCTGTAGCATCATTAATATGTTTCTTCACCCAAAAAGGCCCTGTACCTGTCATTAAAAGTCATCATTTTAGATTTTTGTTTACATTTCTTACGCATTCAGGGTGGCCTAATTATTACTCTAGGCTAATAAACGCTATTTTTGCTAAAGAGTGGACAAACCGGGTGCTGACGTCACCAATACTGCTTTTTTTTTATGCGGAAGAAGCCAATTTGAGCATTGTCCATATATGGGCATTTGTTTTCCGACTGCGTTAACTTTGTACAGAAACAGGGGCAGTCGTGTTGCAAATGAAGTCATCTGATTGGTCAATCCTTTTATGGCTTTCTATCTGGATTTACAAAGACGATATCAAAATGTAAAACAGTAGTGGTCAGCGCTTGTGCTTCACAGTAAGAGGGTCCTGGTTTCAATTCCACCTCCAGGCCTTTCTGTGTTCTCCCCATGTCTGCGTAGGTTTTCTCTGGGTGCTACGGTTTACCCTATCACTAAAAACAAGTACAATCGTCCCCCATGACTCCCGTCCCCTCTCTCTGGGGCCAGCACTCCCCTGCCATCTCAGCGGGACCTTCCTGGTTAAATAAAGGGAGCGCTAAACTTTTTTTATTTGAAAATGGTGATTGTGACACCAACTGCTACATGGCATAACAAACATGGCTCAGCTTAATGGAGCAAATGGGTACGAGGCCTTTTAATGTACATAGTAAATATCCATATTACTCCACACACACACACACACACACACACACACACACACACATACACACATAACCATTATCTTCACAGTCTCGGTCTGAATAACGGCCTACTAACTGTAATGACACAAAGACAAATGTGTGTATTCTGATGGCCGCGCTTGTGCTATCACCATCCTGAGTCCTGTGTGCGCTGATTTACCCCGCTCTCCTTCATCTATGCTGCTAATATCGATTGTCTTGAACAGATTGTGATTGGTGCTATAATAGAGAACACTCCGGCCGAGCGTGATGGACGACTGCGGCCTGGGGACGAGCTCATCTCCGTGGATAAGAACGTGGTTGCTGGGAAACCACACAAATACGTAATAGACCTGATGCACGCGGCGGCTCGCAACGGTCAAGTCAGCCTGACGGTCAGACGGAGGCTGCACATGCCCGGTGAGGACCGTTCTGTTCTGTGAATGTGACTGTTTACTAGACGAGGAGCGCACTGTGTCAGGTCTCTGGGGAAAGTGGAGAGATCGCCATAGTTTATAAAGGTCATATGGGGTAGACATGGATGAAACTGTATTATGGTGCTTGACCTGTAGCACTCAAGAGCAGTGCTTCCCAACCAGTGGGACCTCTACGGGTACGCAAGGGTATTGCAGAGGGTACTTCAAATGATTTCTGAGTAACATAGTTAGTAAGAGGTTGATGTGGGCTTCTATAGCATGTGTGCCATCATGTTAAAGCTAATTCTCTCAAGAAAACATTCATATCATGTATTAGATTATTAACACCCAATAGACTTGGTCTATCAGTTATCAATAATAGCCTTTCTTGCTTTTGGTCCAGTTTTGGCTCAGTCCATGGATATATTTATTTTATTCAGAAAAATCTTAAACAGTAAAAAGGTTGTGGTCCTGGACCAATTGAGTTTGACCTCTGGGGTATATGAAGGTAGATCAGGAGGTACTAGTGCCCTGACAGGACAAAAAAGGTTGGGAACCATTGTTCCAGTCTCAGCGTTGACATTGAAGCGTGTATCGCTCTGTGCTCTTTGGGAATAAACACAAACATGTGCGCAGTCAGAATGTTGCGCAGCACTTCTCCTGCTGAATGCAAACAGCAAAAGTTTGTCTCTGACAGAAATCCCTTCGGGAACCAGAGGAGCGCGCTGTTGCGTGTAATAAATGCTGCAATACTGGCATTTCTCCAAAGAGCAGATTGGAGGCTGTCTTTGGCTGAGAACAGACTGTTCAATCATGACTCCCAGAAAGGCGTGTGCGAGGGGCGGGTCACATGACACGCCTCACCTGCAGCAGAGGGAAAGCAAAGAAACAAAAAACTACACCCACTCTGTTTATTGTTTGAAAATACTATTATTGTTTGAAATGCATTTACTTTTCTGTTTAAACTTGATATTAACACGTTAAGACATTTTTCGATCAAGTCTGAAATGTTGTGAACAAATCAGACAACAACCTGCTGTCTTCATCTTATTAGAAACCAGTGATCTTTAGTGTAAGAATGACACAGGGCAGAGAGCGGATATGTGTTGGTCCTTTGTCTTATCACTTTTATCTAAAAATACATGGGTGTGAAAACCAGTGATAGAACCAAACTGTTTTGAGAGCAGGAAGGTCCATGTGTTGTGCTTTGAAAAGTAGGTACCTGAGCTTTAAGTAACAGAATGCCCTTTTGTCCGCAGGGGAGCCGTGTCCAGTGAACGGCCGCAGTCCTGGCTCTGTGTCCACGCAGCACAGCTCTCCTCGCAGTGATGCTCACGCAGCTGCTCACGCGGTGGGGATCCCCTCATCCACCCCCGGCCCTGAGGGAGCGGCCCTGCAGACCAGCGACGTGGTCATCCACCGCAAAGAGAACGAGGGCTTTGGCTTCGTCATCATCAGCTCTCTAAACAGACCAGAGAACGCTGCGGTCATCAGTGAGTCCAGAACGCTGCTCTGATGACACGTGTTTATGTCAGGGGCCAAGTACATCTGAGAGAGGAGAACGGGAAAGACTGTAGTTCTGATTGTCCCTCTGTGTGCACAACATCCTGACCAGAGGTTAGGGGGAAAATGTGACTGTAGTTTGAGTTTGAGTTTGAATTTATTTATTTAAGTGTCATGCACAAAAGTGCCCAGCCCACATGGGCTTATATGACACTGAACAACAACATCTGATGGCTACAGACCATATACAGACCATATACAGACATGAAAAACAGAAAAAGATTTACAATTTGGTGCATTATCCAGGGTACAGAATCTGTTGTCTCCTCTCCCAGGCTTTAGCAACAAAAGAAGCAAAGGCAAAAACTTCATGGCAATACATCCAGTTCATAATTTCTCCCTCAGGGCACCAAAAAACCTCTGGGTTAGAAGCATTCACTTTTTCAAATAAAATGTTTCGATATTCAAAGTAAAGTGGACAATACAAAACAAAATGAGGCTCATCTTCTACCACCTGTAGTAGTAAGAATATAGTTAATGAGTACGTTTACAAAGCACTAGTGAAAAACTAGTCCCAATTTAATTCAGATTGAACGTATTTCATTGGTTTCGTTCTATCGTTATCAGAGCACAGATTTATTTTTTGAGGCTCCAGGCAAATGATCATGTCCGTTCCTCTTTGATTCTGTTTCCCTACAGTATTTTAAAAATGGCGTCTGGATAAATCATTTACTGCATCTTTAAGAGCACAGGGAAAGCCCTGCTTAAAGTAGAAATGTATGTATTTGGATACATTTAGACTCACTTATGTTATTCATGTTGAAAAAATCCAGGAATTCCAAAGTAAATGTTGTTAGACAAATGAACAGTATTTAAGAGCCTGGCTCACTGCAGCATGCACCTGTCTCAGGAACATCTTGTGCTGGTAACTGTTCAAATGCTGCATAAATGATGCTTTCTGTGTTTTTTTCTGAGGGAAACAGATTCTATTTTGCCGTCTCACTGCGCAGACAGTGGAGCCGCTTCCATTCACTCTCCTGGCTGCTAAAGGAATCAGAGATGTTTTGATGAAAATGTGCATAGTCAGTTTTTCAAAGCGTAGCTCTCCAAAGCAGTTTGGGAGCTACGCTGAATTTAATTTCGTTTTTTTTAAATGATGTAGAGTAGACTTCATTGTGCATTGTATACTTTATGTACAGTAAGTATTTTCCAACAGTGCTTTATTTAAAATTGTTCCTCCCTTTGAAATAACTACAACCAGTAAGATTTGTTGGAGCCTCAAGGTTTTTATTTTATTTTGACCAATCAGGAACACTCTTAAAAACTTGAATAGATTTTTTTCCCCATACTCTGTATTCTTATACTTTGCAAATGAACTCATCGACCCAAGTAAGCATAAAAAAGTGTACTGTAAAAAGAAACTCCCAGAGCAGCTTGATTTATTATTTCAAGATTAAAGCAGGAGGACTCAGAAAAGGGTAACTTTTGTCGGCCAAGCGTGATGCGTGTACAGCGACACGGTTTTTAATCCTGACGTTGAGAGCAGTGGACGAGTAACCGCAGTAGGAGCACTAATGCAGAGGACAGCAGACGTGTGACTTTACTGTCCTGTTCTAGCCGTGCCTCACAAAATCGGCCGCATCATCGAGGGCAGCCCTGCAGACCGCTGTGGGAAGCTGAAGGTGGGAGACCGCATCCTGGCAGTGAACGGCCAGTCCATCATCAGCATGCCTCACGCCGACATCGTCAAGCTCATCAAGGACGCGGGCCTCACTGTCACCCTGCACATCATCCCCGAGGAGGGTAAGCCCGCCGGTTAGTCCCAAACTCACTCTTTCCTGTGCTGTGTCTGCATCTTTATTTCATATCTTTAATTATTCATTTTTTTTAAAAGAACACATGGACACACACAAGTCTAAGGCAGAACAAGCATGAAACAAGAAAATGCATATACGATGGAACAAATGTCAAAGAAACAGTTGGTTTGTTTTGCTATTCCACATGTTTTTGGCTTTCCCTTTCAATTGTAAAGGAAAGAACAGAAATAATAGCTGTAAATTAAAGTGGATGATGTCTGTACCTTTTTTAATTTCATCATAAGGTTTGGACAAGGATATTATTCTGGGTCAAATGCTCTTGATGAGTGTGGGAAGAATTAAAGTCATGAGTTTGGTGATTCACAAATGTGTGGTTACAATAATTACATATTTGGTCTCGTGTTTTGATACTGATTCATTTCATTGAAGGTAATTATAATCCAATAAAACTTCCTCAATGTATATTCGTGAATTGTTTATGGAAAGATACACACAGTAAAACTGAGGGGGGGTCATGCTTTGGATTAGTTTTTGTTTCTTCTGTCAATCATCCCGCTCCAGTTGTGCTTCAAAACAATAACATTCAGTCACAAAATGTTTTCTGACCAACTAGTAACTCTGAGAAGTCTTTTTCACCTTATTCCTTATCTATAGTCATGTGCAATAATGTAGTTATAGAATTGCACATGGTTAGTAGTAATAATGTACAATATGGTATCATTAGTTTGTTAGTTCCCTATTTTTGTAATTTGACTTAAAACATGAAACTACTCATTACATGCAAATAGACATCTGCCAAGCCAGGTTTTTTCTTTTTTTTACAGTTGTGAGCCAATTATCAAGATTATAACATTTATTCTTTCATTAATTCATTTGTTTTAATTCCCTCTATTCATCTATTTCTGGGTCGGGGGGATTAAGCGTCTTGCCCAAGGACACAACGACAACAGACATCAATGGGAGTCGCTGGAGTAGGTCTCATGGGGGGGATTGAACCACCAGAAGACCAATGCTCCACCAACTGAGCCACTGTTGCCATTTTCAATCAATCAACTTGTATTTGTAGAGCGCCTTTCCTACACAAGGCAACCCACATCACATCAGGCAAACATCATAATCCCACATAAAATCTACTTAAACATTAAAAAATACAAATCCCACAGGGCATTAAAGACACGCATTAAGATCACAAGAAATATTAAAACATAACAAATTAAATCACACATGGGATTAAAATCATAAATAGCCACAGTGCATTCAAAAGAGTGAAGATAAAGTCATTGTTAGTTGTATGCAGCTGAACAGAGCTGTTTTTAACCTGGATTTGAAAACTGCCTGAGTAGAAGCTTGTCTCACATTTTCAGGAAGACTGTTCTAGATTTCAGCTGCATAAATCTGAAACGCTGCCTCCCCATGTTTAGTCCTGACTCTGGGTACCAGTAGGAGGCTAGTCCCTGTGCTCCACAGAGTCTGAGCTGGTTCATAGGGCACCAACTTGTCACAGATGTACCTTGGTGTGTGGAACTAGGGTACAATGAAGGCGTAATATATGTCACTGTGCCTGTGCTGAGGAGTGGTAATAATTCTAATAATAACTAATTCACCTGAAATGATTATTGTAAATATAATCTATTTTATTATTTTCAAGCATACAGATTGTTTTTGTTTTTAAAGTAGCAATATGTAAGATTTTCATGTCAAGTCATCATTTAATGGCTCTAATCGGTCAAAAGGTCTTTTCAAATACTTCTTTAGCTGATAACAGTAGTTCAGCCGAGATATTTGGATTTACAGCCCCTAAATGTTGTTATTGTTTTCATTTCAATGTCTCGCCCTCCACCATTTTACCAATCAGAAAGTCTGTGATCCGGGTTGCCAGAACTCTCACTGGTAAAGTAACATGTGGCCGCAGAACTAAAAAAGGCATTGTTATGATTCTCACATCATTAATGACAAAAATAGGCACAAAACAAGAATTTCTATGGAGGACTTTGAGAAAAAACGTGTTGGTTAAACTCTATTCAAACATTATGGTCCCCGCTGGATTCGTCTCCATATCTGGCAACTCGAGTCAGGGAGAGTGGGAGAGGCTGCAGTAACAAATTTGGCCAGAATTTTACATATTGCTCCTTTAAAGTATTTTTACAGTTTATTCTTTGATTTCACTCATCCTCTCTCTGCAGTACTTTCACATCACATCCATATTCTCCCACGTCCCTAACCCCCTTGACTGACTGGTGTGTCGCTCTTCCCTTCAGGGTCCCAGTCTGGCCCCTGCTCAGAGAAACAGAGCCCCATGATGCAGACCCACAGCCCCCAAAGCCAGCCCAGTGTAGCCCAAATGAGCCAAGGCACGCTGCAGCCCGGTCAGCCCGTGCCCCCGCAGATGCCCCCTCAGACTATCCCGGCTCAGAGCGTCCCGGTGTCTATCCCCACCGCTGCGGGGACCCAGCCCGTGCCGGTCGGGAGCCAGCAGAGCCCCGGGGCACCGACATCTGCCCAGCTGTACCTCCACGACGGCAGGTAAGAGGCTTGTGTCTCAGCGTCTTATATGAGAAGCAAAAGGTTCATTTAGACTTTATTGTTTAGTTTAGTGTTTATTCTAAGTCTTATGATTGTGCTTCAGTTGAAAAGCACACACACACACACACACACACACACACACACACACACACACACACACAAGCAGAGATTTTGTTTTTTGGCCATACGCCCATATTTCCACTCATTGTTCGTAGCTTTGCGATGCCAAATGTGCTTTCTATTTTTAAATGATACCATAGTTGAGCCGCTCTGGGGAAATCTCAAAGGTGCAGTTCATGTAAGGTAGTCCCAACATCTGCAAGAACTTTTTGCCAAGAAGAATACAAAACTTTAGCATCAGAGAGAATAAAGCCCACAGCCACCACAAAAGACTGCAGGCTGTCACAGATGTTAAAGGGGCATCTATGACTATGACAGCTACGACTGGGGGAAGGAGACTTCAATTCAGGGTCAGAAGAGGGGTTTCTGTTGCAAGAGAAATGGTCTAACTTTAATATTCTAGGCATAAACCAAATAGATGACAAAAAGAGGATATTTTATTACTCTAAACAGATACAGGATACACACAACAGATAATAAAGCATACATATGAGGACCACACACACAAAGAGGCTCTGGCCGTGTCACACTCGATTGGTCAGTCAGGGGATCAGTGGAGCGGTACCATTGATAGCAGGACATGAAAAATCATTTTAAAATAGAAAACACATTTGTTTGACAGGTGAAAGTGTTTGGGTTATCGTTCATAATCTCTTCATTATGGCCTAAAAAAATCTAAATTTCTGCCTGTGTTTGTCAACTCCACCATGAGGAATCTGTGTCCACTGTTTATGAGACGACTGTCAGCTGTACACACTTAGATTACATGATACAAGCTGCATGAAAGTAAATGTCCTGGATCATCACGGTCTTTCTCGCTCCTACATCAGCCCAGTTTAATTGAGATTGCGCTGTCCCAAGCTTGTAAATGCAAACTTGTATCAACTCGCACAGAGACACACAGATATGCAGGTACACACACAAATAGAGGCACACAGACACACGCAGACGCACACACGCAAACAGACACAAACGCACATGAACACACAGACACACACACGCACACAGACATACGCACGCAGACCCACAGACAGACGCACAGAGACACACACACATGACAGACACGAATACATGCAGACACACACACACACACACTCTGTTGCATAAGACCCCGCTCGGTCTCAGTGGATAGTTGAGGCGGAGGTCGCTCCTGAGCTGCACAAAGAGGGAGGAGCTTCCACACAATCTGGGAGCTCCAGGTAGAGCTGCTCATTACACTTCTTTTACTTCTGTCATCCTCCACACGACCACAGAGGTTTGAAACTGCAACAATCCCCTTCAGTGCAGCCGTCACTTTCAAATATGTTTCATACTGAGACACCGCTTTCACAACCTTCTCACTGATTACTGATTCAATGGAACACAATGTGGCACAATGTAGTGCTTGTAAATGCAAACATGTTTTTTCCTAACTTTTTCCTTGATATAACCGCCTGTATAGATGGCTTTCTATGCGCGCACACACACACGCGCACACACACACACACACACACACACACACACACACACACACACACACACACACACACACACACACACACACACACACACACACACACACACACACACACACACACACACACAGACACACACACACACAGACAGAGGGTCTAAGGACAGTGATGATCCGGGACATTTATGAACATGTATAAACATTGGTCATTCCACTCCCTATGGACCAATGGCTCCATGTGTTTGTTTTCTCTGAATTACATTTTCTCTGATCTGTCGTTGGCGAATCAACAACTTTATAAATTCAAGAGAGATGACTACTGTTGTGAATTAGAGCTAAACAAAAATACATGTAATTGAATTTGAATTCTCCACATCGACTGTAGTGTTGTTCAAAAAGAGGCTCAGACTCATAAGTAGTATTTATAAAACAACACAATGCACCAGTTAAGTTTAATCTTTTATTTACTTATTTATCCCTAGACCAGTGCCCACACTGTAACGCTGTATTCTCCACTCCCAGGTCAGAGGTTAAGGCCAGGCAGGATGTGAAACCTGACTTCGGCCATGCGCCCTTCACTGATTACAGGCAGCCCCCAGTGGACTACCGCCACCCTCCGGTCACCGACTACCGCCAGCCCCCCACCCTGGACTACAGGCACCCCCCCGGCCTGCTGGACTTCAGAGGCCACCCCGCAGCGGCGCAGTTCCCCCTGGGGATCCCCGCCGAGTTCAGACAGGTACCACCCGGTCCAGTGTGGAGCCCCATTCACACTATGTCCTGGAGTTTCACCTTCAACATTTGTTTTAACGATCGATTCAGTTTCTCTAATGCAGTATTCCACAATCCTTTTCAGCCGTGGTGCACCTTTTTCATTTAAAACAATCGCTGAAACCTTAGAATGTTTACTAGGACTGGACTGAGCCAGTGTTTTCTCTATGAACCATAGTGTTTGCCTTAATCCGGAAGAAGCCGATTTGAACTTTAGCTAGCTGGAGCCAATTTCCTTATATGTGCATTTGTTCTGATTCCGCAATCAGAACAAATGATTGTTCCCCCGCAATCTGGTCAATACTTATATAGCTCATATGGATTTACAAAGTGAGTTTCAAAACATGAACAGCAGGATCATAGAGAGCATTTCTAATAAATAAAAATATTTCTTTGAACCCTGCATAGATAATGGTCAATGAGTCATGGAAGCTAACAGTTATGGTACACATGCTAACTATGGTGCACATGAGTGAATGTTTGCCTCCTCAGCTGTATTCTTCTTATATTTACCTTTAGCTTTGATCATCACAAGGTTAAACAGTCATATGTGGACAAACCTTTATGGACCAAACTCTATTTTCACATTCAGCTGGCGCGGTTTACATACATGTGAGCAAGTACTGCACTCTGAGTTGTGCCTGTGCTTCCAGGACTATGACTACTTCACAGTGGAGCTGGAGAAAAGCTCCAAAGGTTTCGGCTTCAGTATTCGAGGGGGAAGAGAGTACAAGATGGACCTGTTCGTGTTGCGGCTGGCAGAGGACGGCCCTGCGATCCGCAACGGCAGGATGAGGGTGAGGACAGGCCTTTGTTTGAAATATTAGCTGCAAAATCAGAGAAAGAAAGAGAGGCAATTTAAAGCTGGGGTGCCTGACTTTTGTCCCAACAGAAATCAGACCACATTACACCGATCATACCAAAAACAACTGTATTTTCTGCATAATTGTGAGAATGTGACTTAAAGCTGACTTCTGATTGGCTGAGTGGTTGGTCCTCTCTGTTTAGCCGGAAAAGGTGATCCAAAGATGGCCAAAAAAAAACATGAATGTGAAAACTAGTGACCAAACTCATCACACAGATTTTATGTTTAAGTTTAAGTTAGGTACCCCAGCTTTAATCATAAGATATATCACAATTTATTTTTATATATCCAACTGTTATGAGAATAAGAGAACTTTTATTCGTCCCACAGCGGGAAAATGTCAGTGTTGCAGTGCACTTAGGACTATCAGTTACACTAAATCTTTAAAACTTTGCATGCAGAGTTGATGCGCCTGGGTTTAAAAGTAAAAAAAACAGTCAGTGTCAGGTTTTTTTACTCAAGTCCTTCTTAAAGTGAGGACTGAACTGTATTTTGCCCTACTCTGCTCTACTCTACTCTACTATGTTGCGTTTCCATTACGCTTTAGTATCTGGTACCGCATCCTAGCAACAGACCTGTAGCACTCTGGCCAATCTCTGTTAGGACACCATAGTATCAGCTCGGCCTGGATAGAACCAGGGCCAAGGGGGACTAAAAAGTACCTGGTACCTGTAAAACAGAGTAGAGTTGGACCAAGTGGGGCTGGTGGAAACGGGGCTACAGACATCAGAACCAGTGCAATCACGCTCTTGTCTAAGGCCTCTTCCCACAGTGCTTTGGCCTCTTTCCCTTCTGTAACCTTGTACTCAAGCTAACGACTGCTGCGGGTCTCCAGTGTGAGGGCCCCTTCGTCCCCATGGTAACAGCGGAGCGGGCATCTCGTCACGAAGCGGCGAGGTCATAACAGATGGAGCCGGCCTCATGGGTGTGTTTCACAGGTTGGAGATCAGATCATTGAGATAAACGGAGACAGCACACGGGACATGAGCCACGCCAGGGCCATCGAGCTCATCAAGGCTGGGGGCCGGAGGGTGCGTCTGCTGCTGAAGAGGGGGACGGGCCAGGTGCCAGATTATGGTGGGTGTGGAGACTGCAGTTCTACTTGAGTAACACTTCAGTCATTTGTATTTACAGCAACCACAATAGATTGGACCATAGTATGTCGCTACTTACTAACCAGTATTTCTGTGCTAAAGAATGTTGGAATAATACTGCTAACCCTTGTTGCCCATGTGTAGCTGCTGTGTTGTTTCTAATGACATGAAGCCTTTACTTGTATTACTCCCCTCAGGATTGGTACCTTCCAACCTTTCCATGTGCATGAAAGGTGACACACTAAGCTCCCCATATTTCTTCCTAATGGGCCACTCTAAAGACACGGTTCGTGGAGACTGCATGTCTGTTTTAACTTCTGGATGCTGTGCTTTGTGCATGAGCGTGTTGTGCATGCGTTCAAGAGCACCAGTGCATTCCAGTTTAGACCAAGACATTTGTGTGGAGAAGAGCCACTGCATGTGCCTGTCCAGTGCAGTGAGGAGCTGTGAGGTTTGGTTACTCTCAGTATTTGAGTCTACAGTTTACTCGTGCTCTCTGTGTGCACTCATGAGATGGAAAGTAGTTTGAATGTTTGCGTGTGTTCTGGCAGCATGAGCATGCGTCACAGCAGCATCTCTCCGCCCTCACTCTGTGCTCTGTCCCTCAGACGGTGGCGGCCCCTGGACTGCCCTTTCTACAGCCAACTCTGCCCTGCAGGAAGTGACCCTGGAGCTGCAGGCCACCCCCTCGCTCTCATCCCACCCAGCCCCAGAGTCCCCTCCTCAGTTCCCTCTAGAGGCCACAGTGTACATGGCAGACACGGCTCAGTCTGTAGAGCAGGGCTCCAGCAGGGGGCCCTCAGGTGGCAGGTCCACCCAGCAGAAGTGTGTGGTCAGGGGCCAGTGTGGAGAGTCTGACAGTGGGCCTCGGCTGCTGCCTGCTAAAGCCATCCTGAGCTCCAGTGACAGAAGGCAAAGGGACCTGTGCTCCCCCTGCTGCGAGAGGAAGGCCCTGCACGCTCAGAGCGGCAGCAGCGTGTGGCCCTGGGACTATGTGAATGTGAACGGTGCAGACGGGAGCCTCCAGGAGAGGCTGCTGTCCAGAGCCTGTCCCAGACAAGAGGAGCACTCTGGGGCATACAGTGTGGAGGAGCCTCCTGCTCGGAGCTCTGCTGCTTCCCCCAAGCCTTGGGCTGTTCCTGACAAACTGCCCGGGACCCTGCGCTCCTGGACCTCCACTGTCAGCAGGTAAAGCATCCAACTGGCTTGGACTGGACACGTGTCTGCACCCTGCTCACGATGGCTCTCCTCTCCTCGTTCCTGTTTGTCTCCATCTTGCTTTCATTTCCAGTCTTTTTACAAGAGGATTATTACACCCACAACCTTAAAACAGAACTTTCACAGCTATTGTAACCTAGAGTATACAACCAAATGCAGACCATAGAAGCAGAGTTTATGTTCACAAGAGCATTTTAAATGGACATGTGTACAACTGTACCTTTAACGGGCCGTCCTCACAAGGATCAACTGAAGAGACTTTGTCTGAAGGAGAAACTTTGGGCTCATTTTCTTTGTGCAGCAAAGACACTGAACAAGTCATTGAGAAAGAACCAGCGATACATCCTGCAATGTGACCAATGTGAGTCATAGACGTATGTTAGCAGTGTCATGCCTACCAATAAAACATATACTGTAAATGTAAAGTTGTGAAAATATGTACATTTGATAATATGGAGGCGTCGTTGTAGATAAAAAGAGAAGCACCGGGACAGTATAAGGCCTGGTACGGTCACGGCCTCGTCTATAACTACATATCAAAGCTGTGCAAGTCACCAAACCAGTGCATGAGTATAAAGCACTATGTTAGACAGAGACAGGTCTTCAGTCTTAGACTGGAGGCAGGACGTCCTCTGTGGAGCTCCCCAGTCTGTTTTCATGTGCGACTAACTTTATTTCTGTCAATGAGACTTTTTTCTGGAAGACAAACGGCTTAGTAAGAACCATCAAGTTCCTCTACGTTCCATCTCACCTTGGAGTCATCGTGCACAACTGTCTTGTGTTCATTTCGGCTTCACAAACTTTGGTCTGCTCCATGTTCCCATCTCTGCGTATGCCTTTTACTGTGCTAAGTGTACCACAGCACTGTGGGACAGGGGCGTGGGAGTGGGGACCAGCAGGAGGACAGTTCTGGGGCGGGCCGGAGTGCCTTACACAAATTAATGCAGACCAGATGTAGTGTTTCGAATGCGTACGTTGGTGCACGCATATCAGCAAACTGTGGAGACCCCTCCTCAGGCTCAGCGCTTCTCACTACAGCTCTGTAATGTCTACAGACTGCCCACGCATCACAGGGGATCAAATGTAGCCCGTTCAAGTCCATTCACTTTGAAGGAGGTAGTGAAGCAGCACACATTTATCAAACTTGTCTTTTCTCCGAGCCCATCCACTCACTCTGCTGCAGACGGCTCCATCCTCCTCATGATTTCTGATTACGCCTCAATCATCTGACAATATATTTTATCTATGAAACAGTTGAAGCATGCTGCTTCAGAGCTGATGACGCCGTTTTTTCGATAATCTCACAATTGAACCCATAGGGCATAGAGTTTCCAGTAATCAATCAAGGTTAAAAAACAAAAACTGCTGTGACTTCTGCCAAACTCACAAAATTGGGACTTTTTAATTGTGTTTTTCATTTGACTCCAGTGCGGCCCAAAGGCTATACACATGTTTCATTGTTGAGGAAAGGTGAAAGTCTTGTCTCCGTCCAGGCCGCCCCCCTTTGCCTGCTGTGAGTGCTTTTGTAAAACAGAAAAGAGAAAAAAAAGGCTTTATTTGAACCTAAAGCTGGAGCGTTCATTAATCCCCATTGAGATCAAATATAACTGTGTAGTGCTAATTGTGTACTATTCACCTTGTACAGCTGTATTCCTACAAATATGGTTTACTGTATCATTGATACTGTAGTTTCAAAGACGTGAACAACTATTTTTATGAAATGCGACAGTATGATATATTACATTTTGCTAAAAAACAAAAAACTTGTTTACTGAAAGATATTCTGAAATACTGTCAATAAATTCTTGACATGGTGTAAATATCCGTTTTAATGGTCTGCTCTGTGTTCAGATTGTAAACTGGTTTTATTCATTGTTGTTGAAAGAAATGACAATCACACACAAGATGCAGTCCTCGTTGCGGCCAGTAGTGGGAGCCGCTGTGTTACATTTCAACCATCAGCACTTGTTCAATTCCTCTCGAGTGAATAAATAATTTGAATTTGATAATATTGTTCATTTCAGAGTTCAAGGGTTTTCTGTAAACTGAAGCCACAATATCAAAAATCCAGAAATGTGAGTGGACTGGAGAGGAGTCGTCACTGTGGGTCGTGATTTTCCAAAAGAGGTGATGTGTCGGTGTTTTCCTGCTCAGCCACAGACGTCTCCTGCGAATAAACAACAAGCAGAAAACTGAATGAAAATACAATGTGGTATAAGCTCATGTTCCGTTCAATTCGTTTTTGTGTGGCCCTAACTCACAACAACAGTCGTCAGAGAGGACTTCACAAAAGGTGTCGATTTGCCAACAACAGGTCAGAGAATCAAACAGTTGTACACGGGAAATACTCATTTATTTAATTATTTTACCTTTATTTAACCAGGAAAGTCCCACTACACTGCAAAAAATATAATATAGATGAAATATGAGGTAATGATTGCTTGAATCGAGTGGTTTTTATCTTAAATTTGAGTACTTTCTGACTGTCTTAAAACAGGATTTGCGATTGGGACAAAGCCATTTAATCTTTATTTTCTCATTTCAAACTAGATATTTCTTTTATATTTTCAAAACAAGATCATTTTGCTCATTGTCCCTTTGGCAAATCTTGTTTTAAAGTCAGTCAAAACTTGCTCAAAGTAAGATACATTCTGCCACATTTGAGCAGAGTTTGACTTATTAAAATGTCTCTTTCAGTGGAGTCCTGGCTCCAGAGAGAGAGAGGAGTTATTGTACATGTGTTTTTAGTGGTAGGGGAAACCGAAGCACCTGGAGGAAACCTATGCAGACATGGAGAGAACATTCAAACTCCACACAGAAAGGCCCAGTCTGGAGGTGGAATCAAACCCAGGACCTTTATTCTGTGAAGCACAAACGCTAAATGCTGCGACACCGTGTCAAACACATAGAGGCCATTGGTCCTAATGTTGCAGAATAATCAATGTCCATAAATGTTCTTAAATGCCCCAGATCATCACTGTCCTTAGACCCTCCTGCATCAGCAAGAAACCACTCCAAAAACAAAAACCCAGTGGGGAAAAAATGTACATTCAGTCTTAGATGCACCGTACTTACTTTGACATTTCTGTAGACTCCCATCTGGAAGCGACAGCAGATAACATCCACCAAAAAGCCCACCATGCCGTGCAGCATACCTGGAATCAGCAGACACAGATATGAGACAATATTCTTTCTTTAAAATAGAGAAATGTGTTTGTTTTTACAGGAAACACTGCAATCACATTCATTAATATCATGTAGTTTTTGTCAAATAGAAAATTGGATTGAATGGGTTTTTTTATGTTCTAACTTGATAGAGGAATATGTACATGTTTTACACTTCATTTGACGCACAATTTACACAATTTTAATGTCGTTCCTATTTGTTTATTTTTTTGCTTTCTTCATTCAATCCGGATTCTGTACTTGCTGAATTATTAAGTGCACCTGGGTATAAACCGCACCAGATAAAGCTTTTCAGAAAGACGACTTAACACACTGTTGACTTATGACGGGACAAAGCTAAAAAAGGTAAATAAACTCTGAGGAGGCAAACATTAACCATTAGCTTCCATGTCAGGACTCATTCACCAAATCTTTTCACAATAAACAAGCCATTAGATAGCTCTAACAGGATTTATGTATTTGTGCTTTTACGTATTTTGGTGCTCTGCTGTTCACAAAAACATAAGCAACAGATGATGGAGCAGAGTAAAAAAAAAAAAATCCTTCGCCCGGGGGGATGCTTTAACGAAATAAAAATACATATTTAGGCTGAATGTTTCCACCTGGAGAGACTCTATATTTGGTGCTCAGACCCCGACAGAAGCCCCAGCGACGATCCATATGAGACAGGAGCCTGATAGGAGCTTACCCCTGGGGCCTGGACTCTGGCAGTGGTTGCCTGATGGAACCACCGAGGGAGAAGGAGGAAGGAGCACGACTCGGGGCGGAAAGCCAACACGCTCATGGTAAATGCAGTATAAATGTGCATAATCCCATTTTTATGAGGTACATTTTTTTACTTTGCGTGGGAAGCATAGCACCATAGCATCATGGTTGTGTCCACAGTGCTCCTGGGTCTATAGTTTTGTAGGTTAGCATACTAGAGGCCGCTGATGGAGAGAGAAGGCGCTGATCACTGATAAACGCTTTTTGGACTTATACGACTCATATCTGAATTTACAAAAACTATATTAAAAAAATATAAACACTAGGATCATAGAAAGCGCGAAACCACAGATTTCCAAAAGCCCAATAATGGTGAGTGTGACACAAACGATTACTGAGCGAGAGGAGTTTACTTTTCAAAGTCAATAGAAGCCAGAGCGAGTTGGAGCAGAAGTTCACCTATGAGCACTTGTCCATTGGGCTTCTTTGAACTCGCAAGTAAACATAGTCCACCCGGACAAAGGCCATGTATGACCTTCTCTAAAAACAGCTCTGAGTGTGAATGACAGGATAAAAAACAACTTTAACAAAATTAAACGCTGTGAAAAGAATGTAAGCGAGCGAGGACCTGTGGTGGAGAAGATGCCGCCCACGATGCCGCAGAGGCGCACCAGGAACTGCCACAGCGGCATGTGCTGCTCGGTCACGCGGATCATGAGCGAGCTGATGTCGTACTTCATGAAGATCCCGGAGACGCCGTGACTGCCCGCCGCGTGGTTAATCACCCGCTCCTGAGGGTCCACCACACGGGAAAGGTTAGGGGCACCGCCATACAGTATACATACATATATACACAGCACGATACTGCACCTCCCTGGTCATTTTATTGTATACATTTAAATTAAATTACCCACCCATTGTTTAAATTTAGGGGGGATTTTAAAAGTGCAGGAGTATGGAAATAACAACAATGTTTAGACAATATCTTACTTAAGAAATTATTAGCTGGGGTGCCTAACTTTCAAACCACCGACCATTTAACTAATATCTACCCATCCATCCATTTTCTTCCCCTTAATCCATTTCTGGGTCAGGGGGGTGGCAGTTAGAGCTGCACCCAGTACACAGAGCACCAGCCCCTCACTGATCCTCCTGCAGGTGGTGAGTCCACAGGAGCCCTGATCTTTCAGTGGGGGATTTAGGCAAAGTGGAGTTAAGTGTCTTGCCCAAGGACACAACAACAGCAGTCATCAGTGGGAGTTGTGAAGTAGGTCTTGTGGTCAAACCCACGACCTTCAGGCTCAAAGGCCAAAGCTCTACCAACTGAGCCACTGTCGCCACCATTTAACTAATAAAATCTATTTACAGTATTTGTTTACTCAGGAGTTTTCCACATGCGCGTGAATAAGAGAGGACAATCTTCACTGAGCCAATCGGAAAATATAGGTACCCCAGCTTTATTTAAACATAACACAAATGATAATGAGATACCGGTAAACAAACTATCTTTTTACTGCAATTTGACAACAGAAAAATATTTTATGTTTATTGCACACTTTTTTTTTGATATATGAAAAAGGAAACCAATGACCTTCCACAAGAGAAGGCCTTGGCCCCCTCAAGTTTAGGACCACAGAGAAGGCCCCGTCTCCCCAGGTTTAAGACCACAGAGAAGGCCCTGTCTCCTGAGTTTAAGACCAGAGAGAAGGCCCCCGGGTTAGGGTTAAGAACAGGCTTGGCTACCCCAATCACAAATGTACATACTGTTACTAGAACTGTTGTCTTTTCGTAGTAAAATCCCACACTTGACATGATGCCCTTGTCTCAGTCTGCACTCACCCGCTCTGTGACGGAGTACTGATGGGTGTCTGCGGCGATCTTATACGTGTTGAGTTGTGTAGGCACAATGGTGATGAAATACTGGAACATGTGATTGGCTGGAGAGAGACGGGCGTAAGGTGAGAAACGCCATGGCAACAGTCCTTTTTGTATTATATGATGCTTACATTCAACGGAAACTTTCTCAGTGCCGTCAAGAGTACTGATAATCCCAGGAATCATCTCTCCAAAAGACAAGTGGTTGATCCGATGGGAGAAATTGAAAGCTGGAGCAACAAAAAAAAAACAAGGCCCAATCAGTCTGTAGACATCACAAAATAACACGACAATTTTTCAGCTTCAACGTGGACGTCATACCCTATTTTAAAGTTCAGAACAAATCCAGTCAAAACAGTTTTACAATCAGTCTCATCAGCCCCTGAACTACTGCGCTCCCCTCGCCAAAAAGTTTAGACACCCCTGCTATAGAATGACTGTCATATGATTTTCAGGACTTAGAATCCTTTCATTTGAACTCTCATAGCTTTGGGTCAAATGTCACCACTTTTTCAAGCTACTTCAGGAAATAAATCGCTTTGTATATTTTGTCTTATTTCTGACAGAGATTACATTGAACTGAATAGTAGGAGCAGTAGTGGAAGTAGCAGCAGTAGTAGTAGAATCAGCAGTAGAAGCAGAACCAGTAGAATTATTGGTAGTAGTAGTACCAGCACAGTAGCAGTAGAATCAGTGGTAGTAGTAGTAGCAGTAGCAGTATTAGTATTAGCAGTAGTAGTATCAGGCTACAACAGAAGTAGAAGCAGTATTAGTAGCAGTAGTAGCAGTAGCAGCAGTAGAATCAATCAGTAGTAGTAGCAGTAGTAGCAGCAGTAGTAGCAGCAGCAGTACTAGTAGCAGCAGTAGTAGCAGTCTACAATAGGTCAAGGTCAAGTTTATTTATATAGCACATTTTAAAACAGACAGGACTGTCACAAAGTGCTTACCAGACATTGTAAAAATACAACACACAAATAACATTCAGCATAAAATAAAATGCAGGACACTATCATAAATGTTTCAACATTGCTTGTGTTAAAAAGCCAAAGCAAAGAAATGTGTCTTTAGCTGCGATTTAAAAAAAAAAACAATAGAAGTAGAATCAGTAGAATCAGTAGTAGTAGTAGTAGCAGCAGTTGTATCAGCCAATGAATGACAAACCGTGAGAGCCACTTACAGTCGTGACTAACCAGGGCTGCGAGGTGGGCGTGTCCTCGGGGGTGGGGGATGGACCTTCACAAACCAAAACAACACATTTCAATTAACAGCCATAAAAACCAAGTCTCGGATCCCGCAGAAAACCCTTGTGCCACATACTTCCCAACAGTAACGTGAAAGTTCCCGGCCACTTTGTTGACGTAGAGGTGACCGTGGATCCTGCAGGCGTTCAGAGGAGCAGAGCCGTCATCACTGCAGCAACAAATATATATTGTATAAAAAATAACACATACATTGAAATCACGTTTATTTCAATAGGACATGCTTGAGTACTTTTTGATTGGCGATGGCGGGGCGATTTTTATGGCAGACTTGAAAAGCACGTCCTGTAGAGAGTGCTCGACCCTGAGGCGCTCCTGGATGTGCCACAGAGTCCTGGGGAAAGAAAGGGAAGAAGAATTAGAAAAGTCAAAAACACCTTATGTTGTTGTCTTGTAGCTTCTGTTCGGGTTTTTTTATGTAAAGGAAACTAAAAGTGAGAAATATTGATTGTACTCACAGCTGCCATATCCTTTGCTGAGGCGACAGCTCAAAATTGACCTGTATGAAAGGAGAAAAATATTGTTTTAGTTCACCAAACTTATCCAGGGGCCGACAACCGAGAATGTAAACGATTTTGACTGGATTCGGGCTGTTCTGAGCTACGACGTCATGTAAACAGAATTATATCTGAAGCTGGATGACAAATGTTTATTTATCATCAATTATTGCTGGAATTTTGGCACTCATTTTAACTAACTGTAACTTGTATAGTTGTATACTGTGTTTTGTATTCTTATTATTGTGTGACCTTCCTCGGGACAACGCATGTAAATTAGCAGTTTCGCTATAATCTGGCACATTTACAATTTGTGTACAAGTTGTCTATGATTGTTCATTAATGTGTGTTGTCCCGATCAAATAAATAAGTAATTAAATAAATACATTTGTCTGGTGCACACTGGGGACTTGTGCACGTGTATTCCAATAAGGTTTTACTGCAAATGGCAAAAAATATTAATCTGATCTGAATCAAAAACAACTGTCAGTATATATACAAATAAAACAACTGGATTCCGGTTCTGAGCTTTACCAGGTGGTTCAACATGATTTTATTGGTGGAGCTGAAGTTGGCTGGATGCCACTATGTCAACATGTTTTATAATATACCAAAATAATACACTCTTTCTGTTGGGAGAACGTTAGGCATGTTACTATTAAGAGTTATTCTATATATTACAGCTTTTGATTGCATTTACAACAGATGTGTGTGTATGAATAATTAATTTTTGAATATTTATAGCATATTCATTTCTAAATCCTTTGCAATGGGATGGCGAGCTACTGGAAGCTCCGGGGCTATAGGTTGGAGACCCATGGTGAATAGTGTGTCAATGGTCTCACCGGCTCGTATTCTAACCCATCTGAGGCCACCATGGTTTCCGCCAGGTCCAGCACATCTGCACCGATATCTGCATTTATGAAAACAAACCGTTTCAAAACAAGGACGAGGCACTAATGATCCCTGAACGCATCACGGCAAACTCACACTGACACTTCATGGCCACCGTGATGTCAACGTTGATCCTCAATTTACTGCAAGATTTCAGTCAGTCAGACAGAGCAGTGCATTAAACCAACGATTAATAAATGTCAAAAGATGGAATAATCACTGACCTGGTAAAATCTTTGTCCACCTCATAGTCGTACTTCATCCACGTGTCTCTGTACACGAAGAACTCCAGGAACGCCAACATCGCCATGAACGTGAACGCTATTAAAGACACTGGAGAACAGACAGACGACATTATACAACAAATATACAAATGACCGTTTGTGGCTGTATATTCTCATTATTATACTAACTGAGGATTCTGGGAAAAGTCCTGTTTGCATATACCGTAATTGCTACTCTTTCAAAGTTCTTTAAACTCTGCAGCCTATCAATGCAGGCAAAGTATATATATGTTATTGCGGTAGAGTATCTCTGGGTGGAAGGAAAGAGTTTTGACACCATCAGCTGTGGTTTATGTTTATGTGAACAGTGCAAAGAGAGATGAAACAAGGAAATGCAGGGAAATACCATAGACTGTATATAGATGGACAATGCCAACCCCTCAAGCTCAATGAAGCCCAATAGGGAAGTGACTATGGGCGAAGAGTTTCTCTGGCTCTTGTTGACTAACATTGAAAAGTAAACATTTATGTCACACACCCAGTATTACTACTACTACTACTACTACTGCAAAGAGTAATAATAATAACAGTACTGAAATAGTTTATACGCTATATGTTCCTTCATATCCCATGGGAGATTCAACACCAACATCAGTGAATTTACCACGACACACACAAGAAACTGTAATAAATTATTGGCTTGACTATAAAAAGATGTGTTTTCACGCTTGCATGAAGAGAGTTTGAAAGGCAATTTAAAAAAACTAAAAAGTTGTAGCCAAAACTCGACCCCAAACCGGTTGCGGCTCAGATCAGGGCCATGGGGTGACGTGCTGCCCACCCCCGCGGACTCACCGGTGCCTCCGCTGGCTGTGGACTCCACGTAGCTGTCGGGGATCTTTGGGAAGGCGTCCAGCTCCTTCACGAGGGTCAGGGCTTTCTTTTTGGTCAGTCTCCTCATGTTGTCCCCCTCATGAGCTCAGCCTGTTTACCATGTAGTGTCCTGCAGCAGAGCCGAGGTGTCACCGTGTGTCCTGCTCACACACACGGGGGTCGCGGGGGGATGTCCTCGCCCACAGACGGGACATTTACTTCAGCTCAGATCCATGAATGAGTTTACAGTCTCTGGAATGAGCCTCACGAGTGAAAGCGACGTGTCCGGCAACAGAACCTCTCTGACGCTCTCCGATCACCGGGGGAACAAAAGCACGGCATCCGACTCAGCGCCCTCTGCTGGTGGGCAGTCATAATTAATAATAATGAATAAAACTTGGTCAAAACAGCCAAAATAACAAATAGTAGACAGAAATGATAAAAATAAACAGACATTACTCCTCGTTTGTCCTTTGCAAAAGTGAATAGACTTTTCCCGGATGGAAAAGTATGTGGAATTAACTTTGAATCCTGGGAAAGAGCCACCCGTGAAAATCGTCCCAAGAGGCTTCTGTGGTTCTGTTAATGTGCCCCAGGGCAGTTGTGACTACAGTTGTTTATCACCACAGTGTATAAAGAGAACGATTAATGACATGTGACATTTTTGAGTTTAGAGAATGTGTATAATATTCTGTAAAGTGGTGTATGTGTATCAGCTCCAAAAAGTGACACATTGTTGCTTTAACACATTTACAAAGGATTTATTTCTGTATCTTATTCACAATTTTACATAAATATCAACTAAAATACATACCCCCAAACAAGAGTGCATCAACAGAATAAATAAACACTTTTAAAGCTCAGAATATGTCCCAAAGCATATTTTATCCACATTGTCTGCAGTTCTGCATAGAAGCATGTAAACATCATCCAGTCAGAGTTCAGACACAATGATTGGTCCGACTGCTGGCACTGAGACAATTTAAATCATTTATAGTATTTTATTAAGGGGATGAACTTTCATCCCCTTTCTGTAGGTCACTTAGAGCATGTTGATTTTCATTTCCAGAGCGGGCCTTTATCCGTGCTGCGCACAGTAATACTGTGAATTGATCAGGGACACATAGTTACGGTGTTTACTCAGCAGGGACAGAGTCTGGCCCCTCGTCCCGCAGCACAGCACAGACCTCGTGTCCCTCTGAAGTGGGCGTGTCTGGGGGTTCATGGGACAGGTCCTCGGAGCATCTGCTCACGGCAGGGGAGATCACATCCGGGCTCGTGTCACATGACTCTGTGCTTTGCTCCGGTGTCATTGTAGCGGTTGTCGTGGCGATGCTGGGGGGCACAGGGTCAAATTCGTCGTCATCGTCTTCCAGAACGGGCGACTCATGGACGTCTATCAGGTACAGAAGATAAATGACCAGAGAGGAGTGTACTGTATGTGTACCACTACACTGCATACATATACATAAACTGTATACACTATGTGTGGGACTAATAAGACTCAGATGCAGAAGATCTGGACTCACTGCTGAAGGCGTCAGGGTACTGCTTTCCAATCTTCCCCTTTAGAGTCCTGCACAGAGAAGTGTGTTAGGAGCTGCCCATGATGGGAGTTCATAGTTAGTCATCTGTAAACTTCACCGTATCCTCCTGAATACACTGTCCAGGTCTTTCTTCATCTCCACCAGGGTCCTGGTGTGAAGCAGAAAGCGCTCGTTCATCTGCTGCAGCCTTACATTTGACAGCCCATTGAAGTTAATGAGCATTTCATTGGTTTTCTCAAAGCGGTCCAGCCTAAGTAGACAACATTATTACTACAGTGCAACGAAGGCAGTATATGAGTGTTTGGGGTGTTGGGCAGCTCACATGTGTCTCTGCGCCTGGATGATGGCATTGACATCCTCAGAATTGACCATGCTCAGCATCCTGTTACAGAACACCCCAGAAGCCGTGGGCTCCTCCATCACGAGCTGGTCCTGAGGACTAAAGAGGGCTTAAAACTATACCTTAATCTGGTGCACGGGGCTAAAGACAGAACATTAAACACACTTAATATTAGAAGGCAAAGTGAAAGTCAGAAATATGTAATAAACGTACACTTCCTGCCGTGTGCTCCTATTGCAGGAAACGTCTCCTCAGCGTCAAATAATGTGTTACATTTAATCTCCTGTGAGAGGAGTTTCAAACACAACAATGTTTGTTAGCATTAGCATCAACACATCCTTTATTAGCATTAGCTCCGGACGGCCAGGCTGACTTCCGGTCACGGGACACCACTGAGACGAGCGGTGGTGCTGCCCTCCAGTGGTCACTGTGTGCAGTGGTGGAGCCCCCTGGTGGGCATTGTGTGCAAGTGCATATTATATAAGCTACTGTTTTTTATTTATTTATTTACAGACAGATGCCGCATTTTGAAGGAACGTGCTCACTCCGCAATGTAATGTAGATCACGGAGTAGAGAGCCTGTGTTTTTATTTAACTTTTAACTTTCTGATTCTTAATACTAATAACGAAATGAAATATATGTCTTATTGAGTACTTGACTAGAAAAATATGCAAAACAAAAACATGACTTCAAGATCGAGAAAAAACTCACAAAATTACTTTTATTAAGGGACAAGTAAAAAATTACATGAAGTATAAAAAATACAAAACAGCTTTGTCTAACTGGTAAGCTAAGTAAATGCATAGCAGTACAGAACATGCAAGTCTAAAGTCGTATTCTACAATGTTGTAATACAGTATATTACGCTACAAGCTACAAGGGAAAAGTACAGTTTGTTGCTGTAATTCTAAACAATACAGATCAAAATGTTGATACTGAATAAGTTAGGATTAAGGTTAAGCAGTAAATAAATACAACCACAATTCACAAATATTGACACCCAGTAACTCTACACAAAAGAAAAGTCTGTGCAGGAATTACATTCAATTTCTGATGTATTTAGATGCCATACTACACAGGTCTAAGAAGAAAATCTAGGCAAGAATAATGGAAATACAAATAAATATGAAATAAATAAACATGAAAGACATCGACCCCGCCCCTTATGTACAGAACACGCCCCCTGCTCCTAACACTCACACGTGTGGAACTCATTAGTGTTCATTGGAATACCATAAACGTTCAAATGAAGTGTCCGTATACCTGTACTGACTTTACATGGGTGAATTTAATGTGCTTTGGCTTTTATTAGATGAATAAAGTCATATTAGATATATATCACAACACATTTGTGGTATATGAGGCTATGGTTCATGGGTATGCAAATAATGCTATCAAGTCTTCATCATAAAACTGACCGGGAGTGGCGTAGAGCTGTGAAAACATTGTTGAATGACCAATAGACCTGTGGCGGGTTTTTCTGTGTATATTTTGTAGAATGGGTATGTGTAAAGACTTGTTTATGTTTTTCTTCTTTTTTTCACTTTTATATACAAAAATAAGTCAACTTTTCAAAACTTGATTTAGAAACAAAAGAAAAATAAAAAGTAAAATTTACAGCTTATATAAGGCCATGCAATTTCGTACTCATGCATCAGATTGTTCGGTCTTTTGGATGAGCGGGCTTGCCATTCATGCAAAATGCACTGTGTGTTGCCGAGGCCACCATAATTGGAGCGTCTGTCCCTTTTGTTCCATAATACCAATCCGGAATTAACACTAGCGCTGTCCACACATTATATTAAGGCTGGTGTATTTGCTGTTGAAGCTGTGAATAGGCCTTTTTTCAAAGAACTGAAACCCACATATTGTACAAAGAATTAATCCGGTCTGCGTACAAATCTTTCATAGGAATGGACGTGGTGGTAAATACACAAAACACAAGGGCGACTGTACAGATACGTGTGTCATTCATTCCAAAACGAGATAATCACTAAGATCTCCCTTTCTGGACCAAAGAAAAAAGCGATATTACAGTGACTTCCATAGAATAGTACCATTTAAACATACAGCTGTAGAGTATATTCTTCTGTAAATTATAATATTATGATATTTCAGGTAGCACCGATTCTCTGCCCTGACATTTGCACAGTGGAATTATTGCGTTTTGGAATAAAGTCCTGCAAAAGAATCAGCCAAGTGGAACTCCAGCATTTTCTCAAAAACACCACAAAATAACGGTCCATCAATATTTATCAAAAAAGGTGACGAAACAAAACAGAAATGTCCAAAGGTTACTGTTTCGACAAAGCTTCATAAAACGTTGTGTTTGAGCTGCTTGAAGGCGATCTGAGGCCACTTCTTTCACTAAGTGCTTGAGAAAAAGCAACACCCCGGATTTTTTTCTGAGATGTGTGCAAAAAAGTAAGGTTGGGGTTTTGTGTTGTTACCAGGCTTCCCCGGCGACAGCCACGCCCCCGACTGGAGAGGTTGTCACGGTAACGCAGAGCGTAGCAGACTCTCCGCACGCCGGCTCCTCAGGCTCCTCCTGCTCCTCCGGCTCCTCCTGCTCCTGTGGTTGGTGTGTGGAGGTTTTTTCTGCTGCTCCGCTCAACTCCGCCTCCTCCTCATCCTCCTCCTCCTCGTCCTCCTCCTCCTCCTCCTCCTGGGGCCTCCTCTGCTGCTGTTGTTTGCGGCAGCATGGTTTGAACAAATGCGGGTCAATGAGCACCTCCCCAAAGCGGCCCTTGTAGATGATGCCACAGCACACTTTTTGCCTGGAAACACATGACACAAAACCTCAGCCACACGTAGTGTTGGAAGACTATGGGTGAGGTGTGGGTCATCAAACAATATACAATCTTTGATCATTTACATAGTTAAAGTGAATTGTTGAATTATAATGGAAGAGAAGACCAGCCAGTCTTCTACATTTAGACATAAATGTGACTAATTTGTTGTAAAAATGCCATGGTTCCAAGCTGGTAAGGCCTGATCCAGGCAAAATCAAGGTATTAGTAAATAAGTTTTGTATAGGATAGTATGGCCTCTTGTGGTCTCACGGCAACAGTGGCTGAAAGTTAGTTCAACATTAGATTGATAGATACTTTATTGATCCCCGGTAGGAGAAATTCATGTGTCCAGTATAGCAGCAGAAACATCTATCCATACAACAAAACAAATAAATACACAATTCTAATGTAGCTAACATGCAATATTAGCATATAATGGGATATGTACATATGTGAAACAAACGCTTATCATTCATGTATGCCGTACATATGTTACCTTGTTATGGTCTCATAATAATACTAATATAATAGACATAGTGTGTACCTCTTCCAGTATGTGAGGTCCAGAAAGGAGAAAACCGGGGAGCGGCTGGAGCCCGGGCTCAGCTCGGTGTCCGAGCCCTCGTCGGACAGATTACTGTAGCTGGGGGACTGGGCAGGGGATGCACTGGAGGTAGTGCTGTGAGCGTCTGAGTCTGCGGACACAAGTATGTGCTTTAGAGAGCTGCTGCAAGAGGAAGACCAGAGCAGATGACACAACACTCACTGTTCCTCTTGAGCTCCTTCTGCAGCCGGCTGATCTGGCTGGGTCGGGCTTTCTTTGAGATGGATTTGATCTTCTTGGGCCGTGACGTGAGCTTCAGACTGGGGCCTCCTCTGGCGTCCACCACCTGTGAACAACAGCACGTCACTAGAGCCGTTTGGTGACATGTTTGTACGAGTTTCCTATGAAAACGGTTCTTTTGGATTAAAAAAAAGACCTCTACCAGTCCGACCAAATGCACATAAACCTGTATAATGTCTAAAACCAGTAAAGATTATAACAAATGAATGTGAAAACAAAAAACACAAATGAATCAGAATTAAAACTTTACACTAATCTTTTAACTAATAATTTCATGTTTGGACCTACAGAGGCAAAGTCAAAGTTTCTGACATAATGCGTGATGTTCCTAGAGAGCTGTGTGGTTCGTCTGACTGCACTGCATGATGGGGTTTAGATCTGGACACGTGTGAAAACTTTTGAGAGCAGCATCTCATAATTCCAATGTAACATTACTCACGTGGTTCCAGTTCTTTTTGGTTCCGACCGGGAGCTTTTTCCAGCGCTTGACCAACAGGACGCAGGCATTACAAATTTCTCCAGATCTGGTCTCACACAGTCTGCACAAACATAAGAATAAGTTACAGGTGGGCGGCTCCTCTACACGTGTTACTGTAGTGCCGCTATGACGGCGCCATGCTCTCATCAGGCCGCGTTCCCACAGACTGTATATAATGTTTGTAACGTAATGACACTGTAGGTTTTTTTTAACTGTCTTACCCAAAGCAGCTCTTGAAGTCTTTCTCGTAGCGCTTGCTGTCAGTGAAGCGGGAGCTGGAGGACTTGGCGCGGCAAATGCAACAGCCGTCCAGACTCCGGTACATCTTCGGCTTGTGGAAGCCAAACATCTGAAAACATGGTTCATGTTCATTAGGACACGTCTTCTTCAGTTTTACCTGCATTCGCTGGACAGACGCGTGTCCACATGAGACACAGACCACGTCTAAATGTAACTATGATGAAGTGATGCGTTAATGAAAGCGTCTCTGCTTGTGACCCACATGGAGAAGTAGGTCACCAGTCAGACGCCGTGTCAGACAGCTCATGTTGTCACGCTGTGCGCAGGATGCACGCTTCATTTTGACAATTCCAATACAGATATAGTTTTGCACGTTGCCTCCAGCCTCAGCATCACTGAGTTTTAATTTTAGACTGGAGCAGGAGTGCAACAAGGGAGGACCCAACTCCAGCGCGGAACTGGATGTGCAGACGAATTATGATTTATGTTGCTAGGCAAATTTAACTCTGGCTCTACCACATGGAGTCCTGAACTGCGGCAAAACTGGGAGCCGCGCCCCCCAGACTGAGTTTTTTTCTTGCCATCAGTCCTCGGGGTCCTCTGACAGTGCTGTGCCACGGTGAGCAGCCAAAGCGCGCAGAGAGAGGAGGATCTCCCACTTTGGACACGCACTCAGGGGGACTTTTGGGGCGTGTGCATGAAGGGAAATACCCTTCAACTGAAGGGCATCTCACATTCACCACAGGATCATGAAGGACGCCGCAAATACTCCAAACAATATCGTTCTCTGCTGTGCTCTGATGGCCCCATGCCTGCTGTGTTAAACATGCATTATTACACATTACCATCACCGCATAGTACAGTCAGATAATGTTCTAGTGCCACTTTACTGCAGAACAAACCTATAGAATAATCTGTGTCTCAGTCCTCACACGCACGTGGCTGTAGTCCATAACCTCTCATATTAATACTATCACTGTTGAACTCATGCTAACGAGCGGCTAGGTGCTCTCCACGTGGTCCACCGCCAGCCACATTTTTTAATTCGGAGAAAGTCATCTGTAAAACCCAGACGATCTCTGCAGCAGAATACAGTACGTGACGCAACTCAACATGGCAACATGGAGCACACTTCAAAGGCGGAGGCTGCGCAGGGGGTGTGATGCGATGTTCCACTAACGCACTTTAAACACTCCAATAACTACACAGCTCGGTCACAAACACCTTTACACAAGTCAGAATGTAGATACACGGTCAACGCAACGTCTTTGAATCCTACAATGGTTTATTTAGTCGAGGAAAAAGTGCAAGTCGCAGATTCACCGCCCACTCCAGGAGGAAGCATGGCATGCCACACGACCTGCTTCATGCGCAACCATTTTATAATGACGGTCTCCTCGACGACTGAGCCCCGGCCCGCTCTGCGTCTGCTCACAACTAAGTCAGACTAACACTAAACACGAGCTTTTCACATCAGTTTGAATCCAAAATGGAGAGTTAGTGACCGGACGGTGTAACATGATCTTTACTCTTTGTTATTCCACAGCCGCGTCGCTGCAACAGTCCGCCTGCACACGCACATGTGGGCTAGAAGTTTAGCGCGCTCGCTGTTCCACTGGTACAAGTGCGTCCTGCTGAAGGGATGCACTTTGGGGCAGTTTGAGGAGGCTTCACGCTTTCCTTTCCACCTCCAGCCGCTGTTTTGTTGACACGGGCGCCCGCGTGCTCAGAAGCATCTCGTGCGGGTGGGCGTGAGACCCAACTTGTCTGCGTTAGCACGCGTAAATGTGCAGTAGAGCGGACTGTCGACGCTCCAACATGGATGTGAGCACAGAAACACATACTATAGCACCAGTGCACCTGGAGCAGGGCACAAACACAGACTTTGTGACCTTTAAGGCAGGACCAGCTCAGACCGCGCGGTGAGCAGCCCAGCAACAACAACCACAGTTCGTCATGTCTGCACGCTCCAGCCCGCTCCAGCCCGCTATAGCCCGCTCCCAGCCGCTGCACTTTGCTTCTCCTTGCACTCACTCTGTCTCACATGCGGATAACTTTACCGGCTCCCGCACTATTCCACAGATGCGCATTTTGGAGTCTCCGCCTGCGCGTGGTTCCTGCAGCAGCGGGATGGTTTCCAAACAACTCGCTGCTTGTTGTGAACATCATCTTTGAGATAATCATGGAGATAAGAAGTGCACATCCGCGGACTCTGCGCAGAGCTGCAGCAGAAGGCTTACCTTGCTGTAGTTGAGTGAAGTTCAGAAAGTATGAATCCTTATGGCGCTTTGATATAATGTGGCTATTCTCCAAAGCAGCCGCATCAGTAAGTCGCTCTTGTTGATGTCGGCGCTTGTGGACGGGACTGAATAGTTGTGGACAGACTGCGCATGCGTCGTATCCACACCTCCATCTCAGAGTAGAGCAGGGTTTTTTTCCTTTTCTTCAATCAAACCATTTACATAAACGACGTATGACGTGTCCGTGCGTCTGCATTCTACTGGCCATATAAGGACGGGACATTGCGCGGGAACAGGGGCTTGGCCGCGGTTGCTATGGCACATTGGAGAATGTAAGCAAAGAGGCGGGGCCAGTGCGTTTACTACTACGCCAGATGGCCGAACTGCCCAAACTGGCGCGGATTGGGTGTTCGCTTTATCCATTCATTATACAATATATGCATGCACTTTATATGTGCTGTATGTGTACTTACTTGTACACTGTACACACAGGAACACACAACACAGAAAAGAGACAGACTAAAACAACCACGAGACAAGCAAAGAGGAGTTAATAAACTGTTTGTACATGTGTATGTGTGATGTGTTTGTGCTGGCGCCACCTACTGACTGCACCGCAAAACCCCACCTTCTCTTGTGCCGACCAATCACAGAGCTGGGCTGGATGCAGTATTGGGAGAAACTGGTTACAAAAGTAACTAAGATATTTCCAAAGTAACTCAAGTTACTTGCGTCTTAATTGGACGTTTGTTTTGTTTGTTTAAATGCAACTTGGTTGTGACAAGTTGCGAATAACTGTAAGATTCCACATGCTAGAATCAGCATAAAAGAAACCTGAGACTGAGGTGACCGTCTCTATAACTATAACAGGGCAGACAAGGAAAACTCACATTGTTTACAAAGTCAGTTAAATTATTGAATTAACATTTGCATGATAATAATAATTGCACCGGTTTTTTGGACACTGAAAGATGCTTCACATGTCATTATTCTTTCACTCCATACACGGTGGTGTTAAGCCACTACTGTAGCCACAGCTGCCCTGGGGCGCACTAACAGAAGCGAGGCAACCAATATGTGACATCGGCCCCTCCGACCACCACCAACCATCCACACACACACCAGACCTAATCTAGGCAATGGGGGTGAAGTGTCTTGCCAAGGACACAACAACAGCAGACATGGAGTCGGTGGAGAAAGTCTTGTAGTGGGCTCGAACCCACAAACCCCTTCAGGCTCACAGGCCAATGCTCTACCAACTGAGCTACTGTTGACCTATTACAACGACGTGAGAATAGTATTACTGTAATATATGATACTACAATGTTAGATTAACGTTCCCACTTGGTTGACACATGTTTTTAGTTGATATTTTAGTTTGATGATATGTGCAGTTTTGTTAATGAGAATAAAACTCTGAACAGGAGATGAAGGGATGTCCAGGTATTTGCTCTCTGTCAATACTATAACAATATATTCCATCAAACTGAACTTTTGTATGTGAATGCTCTATAAATATAATCTTCATGCTATAACTAATATAGACTGTGGGAAAGTCAAATGTGCAAGTTAATTAAATTTGCATGTTGTTTCTTTGATTAAAGCTAGTATTGTATGACCACATTTCTGGAAACACTTTACTTACTGTATCTGGGACAACGTCATATCCTGTATAAGAACAAATCTATTCATTTCACTTCCTTGCAAAAGTATTAATATAGCTTTGGTATTTTAAGCTTACTCCTCATAGTAAAGTGGATCACATACTGAAGGTTATATATAGAGGACATTTTACATCCTAAATAGGCAACTGTTGTACACAGAACAACACAGTCATGGTGTTTTCAAATGAATAACTTTAATCCTTTACAACACATGTCATAAATAACAATTATTGCATTTTTCCATCTGCAGTAGCCTATGTAACAGAAGACGGGCTTGGGTCATTAGGAACACCAGACTGATTGCACTATTGTACAAGAAACATTCATTTCACATTTTATATTTTCAAAATAAAACTCAGCAAAACATAAGACCATTTTTTCCCCATAATCGGTTCTCCCTGCCGTCTCAGCTGGGCTTGTGTCTTAATATATACAAACAAAATGAAGGTGAACAACCCATCATACACAGACTTAACTATACAGAATATATCAGCATTTTGACCCATAATGACGAGCACAAACTCCAGAGATGTATGAGAATGACAGTGACACAGACTGACACAAACAGGCAACCAGCTCTGCTCCAGTGTCCCACCATAGACTGCATATAGATGGACTAAGCTAATGCCGCTAGCTCATTGAAACCCTAAACTCGCACTTGCTCCAATTGACTTACATTGAAAAGTAAACTCCTCTTGCTTTATAACTGTTTTTGTCACTCTCATCATTATTGTACATAATATAGCTTGCACAAAAGAGACTATATTTTTGACATTTTTAACATGTTTGCACACTTCCTGTCTTTTTGCACAACCTGAGTGATTCTATCTACGCCAACTGGGACATGTACATTTCTCCATTGTGAGATCAATAACGTTTATCTTATCCTATCTTGTCTTATGATCAGATACCTTTGATAGGAAACTCCATCTAGCCTTAGCAACCGTCTTAACAACATGTCTGACCCTGTTACGGCCCGAAGCTAACTGCCATATAAGGAAATCGGCTCCAAATCGACTTCTTCAGCAATATGCAAACACTATGGTGACGCCAGCACTCGTCCTGTCCACTCCTAACATACAGTCTATGGTTCTGCCAGCACACCGCTTCTGGCCCAAAAAGTTAGTAAGAGACAAATACAAACAAAAAACATGATGAGAGCAATACTTTATGCCGATAGAGGATGCTCGAGTCATTACACGGCTCGAGTCATTACACGACTGCCAAAGCACACGTGGAAATCTAAAAGGAATATCATGCATTGGGTTATCTTTAAATCCAATTGCAAGCATTACAGCAGCAGAGAGGTGATCACAAACAAAGTGTGAGATCCAACAAAAGTGACGTGTGATAAAAATCAAAGGTTAGTGTTATATTATGTGTCTACTTGCTGAAGGGCAGAGAATTCACAGTGTAAACAAGCAGCAGGTAACATTTCCTAAAGCATGTTGGAACAAACCAGGGGGACATCAACTTTACAGTAATAAACAAGGTCATGTACAGATTTTCAGAAGCGTCCATAGTTCTTCGGTTTGTTCTCTGCCACAGGTCAGAGCTCTATTCCCTTCACCAGAGAGGCCTCCAGGGTGATGTTGAAGCCGTACAGCGTGTGCAAGATGCGGGACAGAGCATGAAGGGCTGCCCGGTCCCGGAGCAGAGCGCTGTCCTCATAGGTCCGGGCTGTGAGGGGGCAGCCGGCCAGGAGGGGGAGCCACAGAGCCAAGAGCTGGTCCCTGCAGAGACAGTTACCTCAATCAGACGCTAAAATCTCTGCTTTCTGAATATTATAATATATTTTGTCATACACCGATGTGGATTGTGTGTTTGTTTTTACAATTTGAGGTTGTGAGCCTATCATTACAAACCCAGTACAATCAGAATAAAAAACAAAATGGTGCTGCATTACATAGATGTTACATAACTTTGGGCCAATGTCATTGTATAAGCTGAAATGCTATAGCGGGTATCATTGGTGTGAGATGACATCATGACATAGTATGGACCAGTGATAATGTGGTATTTTAATTATTAGATCTATGGGATAATAATTACTGCAACATGAAATTACATTCACTTATAATCAATTGTTTTTTTGGATTCTTGAGTGTGATGCGAATAAACTGATCAAAAATCAAATAATGATGATAATAATAACAATAATAATAATGTTCTTGTTTTTTAGTGTTTTGACTTTAATAAATTGTGCCTTAATACAAAATTATCTTCAATAAATTAAATATAAATGCATCAATAATGTAAAGCCAAAAGTCTATATGCAATGTTTTGTATTTACTGGTGTGCTAAAAAATAAATAAAAAATCCTAAAACAAATTAGATTTCAATATTGATTTTAGTATTTAGTAATATCAATTATTTTTTTTTTTTTTTCAGAAATATAAATGATAGAAATGTATACGGTATAGATTTTGTTTTGATATCTTGACTTTAAAGCTGCACTAACTGACTTTATTTTCGTATTAATTACGAAAATGCTATCCATGTCCATGTAGTGCATTGGGATATACGTCCTTTTGAAGAAAAAGTAGCGCAGATTTGTGCTGGCGTGACATTATATTTTCGATCGAATTTTGATGAAACAAGGAAGAGAATGTGTTTCGGGTCGCGGATTGTGACCAATCACAGCGCACCACTAGCCCCCACTTTCGTGAGAAATCTACAGGTCCGTTAGCACAGACAGCTGAGTTAGCACAACAAGAGGCGGAGTTAACCTGAAACTTTCTCGTCTTCGTCACCGGTTACTGCTTACACAGCAAAACAGCCATCCAAAAGAAAGTCTCGTTCCTCCGCGCTTCCCGGTTCTATCGTTCTACGGTCACGCCATCCACGTGAAAATCCATATCCATGTATTATCCATATTGGGAGAGGCTAGCTCCGTCTCAACACTGTGTGTGTGTGGGGGGCGATAGCTTCGAGGGTGCGGGGAGGGGAGCAGAAAGAGCGAGGCCAGCGAGTCCGCGGCTTCAAAATCCCAAAGTCAGTTAGTGCAGCTTTAATAACAATAAAACTCTTCAGTAAATGAAAAATACATATAACAGTGTGTTTCTGTTAAAATGGGGCTGAGTGTGAGATAACGCCTTGATGTTGTTACTGAATTGTATCATATCAATTCAAAAAAATATTATATAAAATTTACCTGTATAGACAAGTATGGTATTGTCAGGCTCTGAAAGATAGGAGCTAGGGCTGCACGATATTGGAAATTAGAGCAATATTCGATATGAGTGTTTAGTATTGCGATAACAATATTATTGCGATATTTTTTTTCTTTCACCTAAAATTGCAATCCAAAATGCATATATTTACTTTTTTGTTTGTTTGTTGTATTTGGTGAATGTTGATGTGTCTGTCTGTTTTGTTGTCTTTAATAAAGAAAAAAAAAAATATATATATATATATATATAATTTATCACGCATATTTTCGATATGGATTTTGCACCCACCAATATCGTGGGATATATCGTGAAGCCCTAAAACAAATGGAAACAAACATAGACGATGCATACGATTATCACAATCAGGAGTTTTTTTACCTAATTCCCAGGCAGACAAACAGCTGGAATTTCCCCTCTTTTCCAATGTTCCGCGGTGAAGAGTTGATGGCATTGACATAGTGACACAGTGAGTCCCAGGGCTGCCCTTTAGCGCACGTGGACCCGTTCAAATGTCCCATCTGATCGTTCGTCTCCAAGGAAACCACTGCTTTCTCTGTGTGAAGACGCAAAAGTGTCTGTGATTCATCAGCGACTGTAGCACATTAAACTATAGATAGAACAAAACTGTTATAGGAGCTTGAAATGTTAGACACATTAGCTTTATTATGAGATAAAATCGAATCTTGATAGTGTTTTTTTGCTCTTGTGTTATTATTATTATTATTATTATAACTTCTGCTGGTGCCCAGAGTCAGAACTAAACATAGGGAGGCTGAATTACAGATTCACGCTAAAATATGGAACAGTCTTCCTGAAAATGTGAGACAGACTTCTTCTCTGACAATGTTTAAATCCAGGTTAAAAACAGTTCTGTTTAGCTGCATACAACAGAGGGATTTTATCTTTACTCTTTTTAATGTACTGTGATTATCTATGAGTTTAAAGCCTTGTGTGACTGTCTTTATCTTGTTTTGTTCAGCACTTTGAGTTGCCTTGTGTATGATTTGTGCTATACAAATAAACTTGTCATGCCTAACATTTGTGTGCGGTACAACTCTTAAGAGAGAGAACACTGTCACTTACCCACAAAGTCCCAGACAAACACACTCCTCTGGAACAGGCGGCTGGATTTCAGGCCGTGGAGGAGGAACTTTTCCAGAGCGCACACCAGGCCCCCCTCTCCACAGAGCAGCACTGTCAGATTCCCCCTCTGGGAAAACACAAGTAGGACATGGACTTAGGGAGGATTTTAGGCCAAAAGAATCACATTCCAGCTTCACAAACTGAACATCAAGCTTGAGGCTCCTTTGAGTTGAGGTTAGGTTATATTCATATAAGAATACTTTGTGTCATGACATTTCTCATTTTTTTGGATCTGCACAAAATAAGGGGGAATTTTATACAACAATTGTGTATTTTGCATGGACTGTAAATATTAACGGACGTCGCAACGTCTACTTCTTCAGTTGAAATTTACTCTATGTGCCACAGACATGGGCAGACTCCAAATGGCCGAGAGCAGGAAAATGTGAAAAAAAAACATTTGCACATGTGTTAGCCGGCATTAGCCCTATTTATTCAACAAGTGCATTCAAAAATCCACAGCGGCTAAACTAGGCTGGTCTAAAAAAATATATACCCCCCTCAGCATTGACGCGCATCTGGAACCTAGCGTTGAGCCAAGAACCGACTTTGGACTAGGTTGTAAAGCCATTTTCCAGAGGGTAAAAGATGTCACTAGAATTCAATGCATCGGCAAAAAGTGAGATTGCAAACATGTCAGCGCACGTGCTCATGGAACTTTTTGAGCCGGGACCCGCCCCCACTGGTTTTCTGTCGTGCTATGGGGAGCTGCGGAACTGACAAACAGTAAAAACATTGCAGAATTGTGTTGAAATGCTGAGTCGACCCAGGTCAACAGTGGGAAAGATGGCCGTGTTGTGTGGACCTGTGTCGGCCTTTCACCGCAGGGAAAACAGGCCGCATTTGGCTCGGAGACCTTATGTTTGACCCGTGTGTGGTAAGAGGTATTTATCTAGATTTGAGTATATTGTGTATTTTCTTACAATAAGTGTCTGCTGTCATTAGACCTCATTATTTTAGTCGTATTAGTCATACTAGCATGTTTTATCTCAAGTAACATTTTGCTTTTCTTGTTCTTATCCTACAACATGTCCTATTCTTATTTCACACTTTCTTTTTTCTGCAGTGTAAGCTCTTGAGCAGACACCAACCTCCTGCTCTGGCTTGTGGAAGTGCTTGACCAGGTTATTCGCTGCCTCCCTCATGTCCTCTTGTACTTCCACTGCATGCACTCCTGCAAAAACAACAACAATAAAAACAGGGACACACGAAGATCATTTCCAACCAAATATTTGAAGAGTGAGAGCAGGAAAGGTGATCTATCCGGCAGCTGAATGCGCTATTGTTGCTACTATCTGGCAACAAGTAGGTCATCCATTGTGCCGAAGAATTAGTCCATTGTGTGCACGTACTGCAGCGGCTGCCGAGCGATCCCAGCACCGTCATCACAGTCTGCGAGGGGGAGGCCAGTTCTGGGGGCGTAGCGGACCATCTCCCAGAATCCTCCTCTGCACCAGGTGTGACCAGCTGAGCGATGAGGACGCGCTCCAGGCTGCCGTCGCCCACGCCTTTGCCCAGCCAGCGTCCACAGGGGAACCTAACGGACAAGAGGACATTAGGGTGACCCCATCTATAAACTTCACCTAGCTTCCAGGAGAGTCAAATTTTTCACAAATATATACACAACTTCAATCTATCTGAAATATGCGATTATATGACTTACTGTATACAAAACTCTATCAGTTGGCGCAAAGAACATAAATTACTAATAACATGAATTATTAAGTTGGGAATTCCCGGCTTCATTGAAATGGTCAAAGTAAAATATTATGGTCTACCGATTCTCAAACTGCAGTTCAATTATTTGGTCAAATTTTGCATTATCGGTTAATTAATCCTGCTTTGGAACTACCGCAGTCCAATCTAACCCTGTTTTTTTTTTCAAGTTTAGCCTCAGTAAAGTCCAGTTCTAGACCTGGTGGTACTTGCCATATGGTTCTCAGAAGGCAAAAGAGTGTGAAACTATTTTGAGTGTCATACAAATAACAGCTATGAAATAAAAGTTCTATATGTCAGTAGTTTTTGTAGGTACTGTATGTGCACTGAAGGTAGGGAAGACTGGTTATCCCGCTCAAAATAGTCAGGGTTTTATTCCTGAATATATTGTTTTTGAGTTACAGCTTCGCACACACAGTACAGAGCAGACGTTGTTCATGTATGAGGTGGTGTTTGAGCAGAAGTTACCTGTAAGTGTGTCCTGTGATCTCGTTGTACACCATGACACAGTCGATGAGGCACTTGGCCAGCAGACCGGAGTTCTCCTGCCCCAGCTGCAGCGTGCTCAGGCGGCCCAAGTTCTTACACTGATGGAAAGAAACACACACACATTTGTTCATGCATATAACTGCCAAACAATAAACTGGATTTTTAAAGGTGAGGTAACTAAATTTCCAAACACAATATTGATCTATGTAATTTGGGCCGGGTGTCTTTCAGAGCCGGCTGATAGATGGGACACATTTCGATACACCATATTATTAAACGATACGATTCAGTTAAGAAAGGCTTTAGTATTTAATGTGCTGCCTCATTCTTACAAAATCCCCATGCATTTACTATCAAAATATCAAAACAACCAAAAATATATATATTTTAATATTACTTCTATATTTTCAAGATAAAAATGTCATCATACTCCTGTATAAGACTCAAGTTAATTCATTCATTTATTTTCTTCCCCTTAATCCATTTCCGCATCTTGATCTTTCAGCGGGGGCTTCTGGCATAAAACTCATGTAGGTAGTTAAATTATTATCAGGATTCAGCCCAAAGCGTCAAACAGTCACTCACACAAAGCTCCTTCTTACAAGTATGCAAAAAGTACAATGTTTTCTAAAATGATGAAGCCATATTTTTTGGCCTGATTTTACTTTTACAATGTTCTTTCTTGTTGGACAATCAACATGTGTGATGTGTTACGAAAAACAAAGTTAGGTTCCCCAGCTTTAACATCCCCATACAAACCTGGAAGAAGATCTCTTGTGTGTTCTTGGGGAATTGTCTGTTTCCCGAATCTCCCAGCTCTCCCGACACGCACACCCATGGGTTGACCGTTGCCATGGCGATGCTGAGTTTCTTCATGGGAATAATGGCAACGCGATATGGAATACCTGGAAACACAGGAATGGAAAATGTAAGAGAAAACGGCTTGATAACAGCAGCAGGTTAAGGCTGGAGTACCTGACTTTGAACGCACATAAAATACCTAATAAAATAAATAAAAATGTAATAAAATTCATGTAACGAGCGAATGCAATTTTTACATGCATGCCTTTGTGATTATTGACTGAGTATGTCTGATTTGTTCACAGAATTATAACTTCAACAAGACTCTTTCTGTTGGAACAAACTTAATGTATTTACCAAATAAAAAAAAAGTTAGGTGATCCAGCTTGAATTGACTTAATGTGACAATAATATGAGACAATAATACGTACTGATTGAAGTGAAGACCCGAGTAAAGCAGAGGTAGTCCACTGTATTCAGAGACAGCAGGTGGTACAAAAACTGCTCTCGCTCCTCCTCACACAAGAGGAATGCGTGCGGCTTGTACAGCTGTCTGCGAGGGCCAGACCAGAAGATAAGGTTATGGTTAATTGCAAACACTCTTCTTATAGTACCATTGTTTGAAAGTGCTTTAGTCCAGTCGCGGCGAATTACCGAATTAGCTCCTGGTTTGTAAGCAGTTCTTTGAGGTGATGAGAAAGCATTTTTTTCTCCAATGCCAGATGAATCCAAGCCCTGGCCTGACCCACTTCAGACATCCCCTCACTCATGGTCTGAATAAAGCTATAAATACACAACATAAGCAGCTGTTAGATTACATTCCTCTCATAGCAGTTTTAACAGCAATAGTTTTTTTTCTTTTTACCTCATGTCTTGTAATAAGGATCCTCTTTGGTGCAGGGTGGCATCGGTAAATGTCTTCTGTTCAGGGCCTGTAAACAATTTTTAAAAATTTAGTTTCCTGGTATGAAGCAATATAACGTACATGATAGATATTGAGTACTTGCTGGACAATGTGGTGCACCAGAATATAAACCATACCAGCTAAATTTGAAGACAAAGTCAATTATGTTCTCATATAGGCCGCACTTGAATATAAGCTGCAGGTTTTCATGATGTAATGTAACACGTCACTAACAGCTGATGGAGCAAAACAAAGCTGACAGACGACTGTTTTAACTGGAAACAACAATGAAAATCATGATTAAATCACTAAGGTAAATCCAAACTATTTTGACAATAAACGTGCGTCCCATCCCTACTAAAATTTTAGTCAAAATACGTCCATGAACTCTGTTTTGATAATAGCCATAATCAGCTGTTAGTTTACTGTAGATTACATTAACTGATTCCTGTTTATAAGCTTGAATAAAATAAAACAAATCAAATCACAAAAAACACATTCAGTGTATTTTCCTGCACTTCCCAGTGTCAGCTCTCTGCTGTTCACATAAACACACTGAAGTAGGAATATTTTCTCTGGAGATCAACAGCTGATAGAGCTGTGACCAAATCCCTTCCTGTGCCCCCGGGGTTGGGTTTAACAAAACAAAAATGCATACATTGGTCGCATCACTATATAGACTGTAGACTTAAAAGAACTAGAAAAAGTACCGGCTTAAAGTCCAACAAACACTGTATATATTTAACGCTCTGACCTGGAGACTCAGCTGGGGCCTCGGCCTTTCTCTGGGCTGCCTGATAGTGAAGCAGATGGGACCACATTGCAGACTTGCCCTGTTCAAAAGACACTTATTAAATTCTCCATGATGGTTTTTCAAATGGCTATTTGTTTACTTTTTAAATTAATATAAATATTGTGTCAAGACTTAAGTATCAATAAAACAGATGAACATCAGTGCATTTTCTTTTTTTATCAGCTGGACCAAACCTAAACATAGAATGTTAATAAATATTTCTACTTCTAGAGTTATAACTATTGTGTTCATTAGTAAAGGTTTGGCTCTTCTTAGTCAGATAAAACAAATATGATAATAACGATTTTTTTTTAAGCAAACAATGGAAAAGTAAGTATGGTGTTCTTTGGATGCAACTGTGCATTATTTCATCTACAAAAAAAGTTTTATTTTGGTTTCATCTGAACATGGACATAGACCATCTCCCATCCTCTTCTGGATCATCCAAATTCTTTTTACCAAACTTCAGACGGGCTTGGACACGTACTGCCTTAAGCAGGGACACCTCTGGAACTGCATCCAAAGTACACCAAACCTACTGTGAAGCATGGGGGTGGAAACATTATGCTTTGGGGTTGTTTTTATGCAAAAGGACCAGGACGAATGATCCGTGTAAAGGAAATAATGAATTGGTCCATGTAACATTCACTAGCAAAGGCATTGAAGATGAAACGTGGCTGGGCCTTTTTGCCCCACTGGCTGGAACCAGTTTGGAACCACTGCATTAGCTTTGCGTCGTAACAGGAACAGACGTGTTGCAAAGGCAAGTTGGAGTTTGAATGAAGGTCGTTATGAGGCTATTTACAATGAAATGATCCCAAAATAAACACCAGGATCATAGAGAGTTCTAAACCAAAATAGTAAGTGTGACACTAGAGGAGTTTCCTCTTCAATGTAAGTCAATCGGAGCCAGAGCAACATTTTGGCCACTCCCTCATTGTTCTTCATTGAGCTAGCCTAGCGGGTTAGCATTGTCCATCTATACACATTCTATGATAAAAACACATCGATGAGCTCATGCTTCAGACTGACCTGTTTCAGCTGCAGTCCGTGGCCCCAGGTTCTCTCCAGCAGGTCACAAAGCCCATGTATCAGAGAGTTCTCCTGCAGCCCAGTGATGTTGGCCTCTCCCTGACCCAGCTCCACGCTCTCCTTCCCCATGCGCTCCATCAGCATCCTCTTCGTCTGCGCAACACAAAATAAATCATAAAAAGAGATCAGATGCTTCAAAACAAAGATGATATTACATAAAACAAACAATAATGATAATAAGTGATCAGAAAAGAGAGCAGCAGGAGTGAAACGTCCCACCTTTAGGCGACACTCGTTCAAAAGGCCGTCCACAAACTCCCTGTGGGTTTGAGCCACGGTTTGAGCACACGGATCCAGGAGCTTAGCGTGAGCCAGGTTTTTACGCAGAAATACGTGCTTCTGTTAAAGAGGAAGGAGAAAGTCAAGTCAATCGCCACTTCACAAAATCCAAAATATGACGGAAAAAACAAACAATATATTAGGAATTGACAAAGGGATATCTAACAAGAGATCGACCGATATGTGTAGCTAGTGTTGCTATTGTTATGCACTAAAGCAGCGTTTTGATAGATTGGGATGCAAAAAAAGCCAATACAACTTGAGAGGTGTAGGGTCAGAGAGTGTTTGAAGGTGTGTGAGTGTGTGTGTACGTGTGTGTGTCTGTGTTTGTGGTAGGAATGAAAACCTACAGACACAACGGCCTTTTGAGTACTAATTAAAAAAAAAAAATCTATGTGTTAGGATGGCCCATTCAAAGTCCAGACTAAAATCAACGAATGGGCAAAACCTTCAATCTCTAGATGTGTCAACAAATTTTTTTCTAAATTAAATGTTTGTGGTTGTAAACATGACAATATAAGAAAAAGTTGTATTGCACTTGCATGTATCTCCCAATACTGTTGTCTTAACCAAACAAACTCAGCACAGCATGGTTCAAAATATCCAGCACGGCCATTTCATAAATATCCTTGAATTTGAGCCATATATCAGCCATATATCGATCAGCCTCTCGCTCAGACATTATACTATAGAAGCACATGTACAAAAAAGGTTATCTAGCCAAACAGAAAACTGGGCAAAAGGGCAAAGCAAACATAATAACTAGTATGGACAAAATGACACCAACACAGTCACTTATAATACACTAGCATATTCATATATTTTAATGACTTACACAACGTCGTTTTTGAAGTTTATGAATCTGCAAACAATGTATGGTTTTTTACTATTACTGCACCTTTTTTTAAAATGAAGTAATACAAAATATACAAACAGTAAAATGTAATCACCAATCCATGTTTGCATACAGGTGAAACTCTGAGAATGTCGTTCAAAAGTTCATTTATTTCTGTAATTCAACTTAAAATGTGAAAGCAATATGATTGCAAAGTGACGAATTCCAATCCCTTTTTGTTTTAATTTTGAAGATTATGACTTACAGTCATAATCCATAATAGTCGCATTGTGTCCTTGGGCAAGACACTTAACCCCACTTTGCCTAAAGCCCCCGCTGAAAGATCAAGGCTATACTCTCACAGACAGAGCAGCCCTCCTCACTTACCACCTGCAGGAGGATCAGTGAGGGGCTGGTACTCTGTGAATTGGGTGCAGCTCAGACAGCCACCCCCCCGACCCAGAAATGGATAAAGGGGAAGAAAATGGATTGATGGATGGATGGACTTACTGTCCATTTTCAAAATATTCACATATTCTGAGGTTATAAGCACTTTGGGTGACATTGGTCTGTAAAATGTGCCATATAAATGGCCAAATGGCTATGGTATAAGCAGCATACTCCAGGTCTTACTAGAATCTTACTAGAAGCAGAGAGAGTCACTCTATTTTAGTTTCACATTGTTAAGTGAGTTACAAAAGGAAACCGACTTTTGAAAAATATTCAAATTTTTCCAAGTTTTACCTATATTTTCCTATTTCAAGATCATCAATTACCTGAGCCTGGTCTATATCCGCTGCTGGCTGCTCCGTGAACTTTCTTGGGTCTGACTTGCGCGATGGTGTAACTCGACCAGACCACCTTTAAACCATTAATTCAACATGTATAATGATCATAATAATAGTATAAAAGTGAAAGTTGTTTTCGGAGCTGAGGACGGACTCACTTGTTGGAGCTGTTCCCCTGGGCCAGGACGTCAGCCTGCAGACGGGGGAAGTAGCCCTGCTGGTGGCGCCCCTGTCCGATCTTCATGTTGAGGAGGTGTGGGTGGATGGCTGTGTGGTCGGCCTTCTTCAGCCTGCGCTCAATGGTCTGAGCTGCGGAGTCGAGAACATTCCGGATTATAGCATAGTACAGTATTATATATTTGTATGTATGTCAAACTTGTAGAGCAAAAGACAAAAAACAATAAAAAAGAAAATAAACTGCAATATACCATTTGAAAAGGGTACTTCTTTAGGGTAAAGGATTAGTACTTCTCTCACTCATACAACGCAAAGCACACACAACGCAAACACACACACACTCAGACAATACATAGGCCCAAAACACTCTCTGACCCCCCATCTCTCTCCAATCACTTGCTCTGTGTTGAAGGCTTCAGCTGATCTGTGCAGAAGCTCCTCATACCAGCATGGAAGGAGTGAAATACAACACCAGATCTACTTTTGACAATGCTCTATAGTAGTTTAGAGTAGTAGTTCAAGTAATAACCCCTTAAAAGAACTCTAATTTTGCCTTGGAATAAAACCATGTGAACGTGGAGAAGCTCTGAGTGCATCACTCACAGTAGGCTGTCTACAATGCAGCTAAGTTAAGCATGCTAATGTGAGCTAATGTTAGCCTTCTCAGAGTTCATTGCGTTATTTACCGTTAGTTTGTTTAAGCTTTGGTTAAGTGCTACATTACATTACAAATATGTGGCATGTTGTTTGTATTTGTGTGCGCTCAATAGTCCAGCTTGTCTACAATAGATTCTGGCCTAACTATCCCAGCTCTACTAGTGCCTTCCATCCTTAAACAACTCTGTACCTGACTCCAGCAGCGACGTGCACTTCCTGTAGCGGCTGTTGCGTGCGTCTTGCTCGTCCCTGTCGTACAGTCGCTCTCTCTCCAGGCGACTGTCAAACAGCTGCTGCATGGGCTCCCTGTCCGCCCAGCGTGAGATCACCTTCCCATCCACAAACGAGGAGAACATGCTCGTCTCCAAGAAGCGAGACATGAAAGTCAGATGGGAGGCAGGCTGCACCGACAGGAAAGAACCCTGAAACGCCAATCAAAGTCTCTTTTAGCACAACTTTGATGTTTGCTAGATGATAGAAAACAAACCCACACATACACAATCAGTTTGTAATGTTCGAAAGTAGAATTTGACTGGGATACCTTGTCAAAATTGCACGCTCCTTCTCTGTTGCTCAACCAGGAGTCCAAATCAAAAGAGCTGTTGATGACAAATTGATCGTACCTGCCGAACATGGCGGCAAACCTCCCAGCAAAAACTTCTCTGATGTGAATATTGAGCTTAGCAGCCTTCAGCTCCTCATCCTCCCCCACAGACCCCACTGTCTTAGCTCCGTCAGCCGCCGAGCCTCTGTCGCACTGTTTGGCCAAAGCCTGCAGCTTCTCCAGCACCGCCAGCTCCTCTCCTCCCAGGTTCCCGTTCTGCCTGTCCTCCATCAGGTCCTCCAGCTCAAGGCGGCTGAGTCGTTGGGATGGAGAGGTCGGGGCAGCTTTTGTGGGGACGCCTCCCTGCGGTGGAAGTCCAAAGCGCAGTAGGATTTCTGTCAGTTCTTGGATGAGTTCTGTCTGATCGGGGAACACGGGGAGGTCTTCGGGGACTTCTACAGAGTGGTTGTCGATGTCCACGAAACAAAGATTGGCCTGGAAACATCAGAAACATGACTGACGTGAGATTACTAGCCAAAGAAAACCTAAAGTGTTTTGTAGACTTCAAGGTAAAAACTATGACAAACATCCATAATTTTTTTTAGCAGAGACGCCCAGACTTCCCTCTCCACACAGACCTCCTCCAGTTCATTAGGGATAATCCCGACGAATTCCCAGGCCGGCTGAGAGACACAGTCCCTCCAATATAAGTCATGTTCTGAGTCTTGGCTCAGAACATGTAAGTTCTACTGAACTCCCAGGACGCCCAAACAGTTGCCTGATCCATCTCAACTGGCTGCTCTGAACTGGGAGACTGAGCTCCTCTCATGTGACTGAGCTCCTCACCCTGTCCCTACGGGAGAGTCCAGCCCTTCTGCAGAGGAAAATAAGGTATATCCGTGATCTCGTTCTGTCTATCATAACCAAAGCTCATGACCATAAGTGAGGGTGGGGAAGTAGATAAATCAAAAACTCCCTCTTCAGCACAGCAGTCCAAGCGACCACATCACTGCACCGATCCGTCTGTCAATCTCAAGCTCTATGACTAACAACATTAACATATATATTTTGGCTGTCTTCCATGTTGAAAAAGGCTGTTTTAATGCTGCGATTATTGTGCCAACATTTCTGAAAGTTGCAGCAGAATCATCCTTCTTTCAAAGATTAATCATTAAAGGACAGTGGGCGTAAACCCTGGCCTGAAAAACCAATAAAATGTTGGAGTAAGGGTTCTTGAATGCATTCATCATTCTCAGACTAAATTGAAATGGGTAAATGAGAATGGAACACAATTATAACATATTAAAAGTTGGTTTTGTGTCATTTGTCACCTAAGCCAATGCCAAAAGCTACTCAAATAATTGCTAAGATTTAATCTTTCTATCTCTCTCATACTTCTTTCTTCCATTTAGTTATCACCCACACAAGCATTGCGTTTCTCTGTCCAGAAATTGTTCTCTGCCTATTGTCTCTGTCTATATGGGGGCGGCACGGTGGCTGAGTGATAGCACTCTCGCCTCTCAGCAAGAAGGTCCTGGGGTTCGAATCCCGGTTTGGACCAGGGCCTTTCTGAGTGGAGTTTGCATGTTCGCCGTGACTGCGTAGGTTTCCCGGTGCTACCGTTTTCCCCTACCACTAAAACTATGTACAATAGGCGTATGTGCCTCTGTACTGCACCCCCACCCTCCAAAAAAAATAACAATAGTAAACTGCTTTGAGATCTCCGAGGTGCAGATGAAAAGGCGGTATATCAAAAATAAGATACTATATCCTTGTAGAGCTCCTGATTTACCATGAATTACAAATATTGATAGCAAAATATGATCACAGAGAACGCTACACCACAAATTTTCAGTCAATAGTCAACATTATAACCTACTCTTGAACTCATAAGAAAGCCATGAATACATGACAGTGGCATAGAACAGAGCAGGCATACATTAGGTTGCAGGGGCCATCTCCTCTATCACCAGTGCACTCTGTGTCCGTGTGGCAGTCCCACGTGAGGCCCGATGAGCAGAGCAGGGCTGACAGTCGCCCTTCTACCTACACCACTGCAGCCTCAGCACGCTATGGCCCATGGAAATTCACCAGGACAGGCGAATTTGACTTTGAAATCTCAGCTTGTTGTGTGATTAGAAGAAGCCCATCTTGTCAACAGAAAGCTTCAAATTGTGCTGATAACAACGTATATATGCACTGTTTAGCTTCAGACACTCATTCCTGGGCCTTTTACTATTTCCTACTGCTGTTAATCATTTAGAAAACATTGCCTTTACAACAGCTTACTACAACTCAATATTGTATGAATGAAACTATCAAAAACAAGCCTCTGTGCCTCCCTGTTTTGGCTCTTACCCCACAAAGCGTGTTTTTCTGGGGCAGACTTCAAAGAGCATTTATGATAATTCAGCATGAAGCGGAGATTCAATTTTGCAGTGTGGAAGACGGGACTTCCCCCAGCTCAAAGGAAATGTCTCAATTGACCAGGATTTTTAATACAGCGGTCCTTCTTTTATCACAGGGTTATGTTCTACAAATGACCCGCGATCAGCAAAATACTTGTTGAAGTAGAAGCTGTAGAACCCCCTCACACACACTTAATACAGTTTTCTAACAAATGCTGAAGTGTGATCGCAGCGCTCCTGCAGCTGTCAAAAGCTGTGCGTACAATATAAAATACCGCTGCAGAAGACACCGCACTGAGGGGCAGGAGCAGGACTGAGAATAGATGTAAATAGATTAAATAGAGTGTGTACCTCATGAGGCAGGTGCAGGGAAGACCTCTGTGCTCCTTCCCGCCGCTGGATGCCCATGAGGAAGGGCACGGGGGCGTCCAGCAGGTGGTATGTGGGAACCGAGGTGATGGGCAGATATATGTGTTGCCATTGGAAGGGGAACAGCAGCGTCGTGATGCCCTCAGCAACCGTCATCAGCCTCTGGTAATCTGATCACACACACGGACACCATGTAAACTATCGGTATTGTTCAAAAGTGTATTTATTTCTGCAATTCAAAGTGAATTTGTTTGTTACACTTTTCCTGATTATGGCTTACAATATGGCTTTTCCAAATGAGCCATAATTATAGTTTAGTCTCCATTTGAAAAGAACAGTTCACAGCTAAATTAAGATCAAAGACAAATATGTTCAGCACCAGATTATAGCTACACAGCTAATTTCCATCTGCAGTCCCCATCAACATTACATAACAAAGAAAGGCTTTGCTTATAACAAGTCTGTGAATGAAATGATTTGAGAAAATAATGTGCCTTTTTATAGTAAGTAAATGATCTTTATTTATGCAGCACACAATGCAATACAAAGTACTATTACTCCATTACCATTGGTTTCCCTCAAAACACAGATGTATTTGATGATGTATTTGCTCATGAAAATATCTGGTTCTATCATAAATTACAATCAAAATGCTGGTCAACATTTGATAATCTTTCAATGTCAAAATACAAAAAGTCAAATACACTGTTGCATTTCAGTTGAATGCCCACGTCAGCATGTATGATAAATTGGAAGACAAAAATACATTTCTGTGGAATTTGCCTCCTCCAATCACAAAAGAGAAACTCTGTTACTGGGCTGTTGCCGTTGGCTGTCATACATGTGCTATATGCGTGCCTATTGGCTAACCAGGCCATGCTTATCTGTACTGGTGGGTCCTTATTGGTCACGCTGTTGGAGCCCTTTCCTTTATGTCTGCTTTTGTCGAGACGCATGGTATGTTAATAGGATACTACTGTGTTAGAGTAGCTGCTGACAGTGAAGTGGATTTCACTTGCCGTTTAAAGATTAGCATTTTTGTGTGTGGTTGTTTAAGAGGAAATAAGATGTAAAAAGGTGCGGTTCAGGCTTTCCTATTTATTTTTAGGGGCAGCCATCCATGATTTTCCTTTTCTAAATGTATGATACCTATAAATAAAAAAATAGTACATTTTGATTGTCTCACAGGAAGAGTCTTGCTAAAGTAATTTTGTCAACGAATCGTTTGCATTCATGTCCCTGTGAGTCATTAACGCTTTGGGATGGAGATCAGTTTTCACACCAGTAAGAGCGTGTGATACATTATGGACACTGCAAGTTTAATTTAGTCCCGATAAATGAACTTATCAATATGTTAATAATTCATGTTTGTTCTGAGTTGGAGGATGTGAGATGATCAGAGCCTGGTCATTAAGCTCTCTGTGTAGAGTCTGCTCAGGGTTTGTGGTCTCTGTGTGAGGTTGGATCAGTTTCATTTCCATGGCACAATTTGAAAGACACACACAGTGTGTGACCTTCTTGCCAAGATGCAAGACAAGAGCACTAACCACTCAGTGAATAGAAGGTTCAAAAGCCCAGCACTTTTACAATTTTGGCAAACATTCATACATTAGCAAAAAACAAACTCTAAAACTAGACAACAACTCTTAGTGCAGACCTCAGACAAAGATGCTGTTCCATTGCTAATATGTTCATGTGAGATCACAGCATTCCAAAGTTTCATTTTCCATCACATTCTGGTGGAGAGAAGTCTTTGCTGGTAACTTAAGTAACTGTCAAAAGTCAGACTTCTTGTTATAGTTTAGAGCTGTCACAAATCATTGACATCTTCATATCAACTAAGGTCTAATTATTTTCTCATAAAGATGTCTAGAAGTGGTGACAACATTTAAAAAACATATTGTCACTACATGATGTCAGCCAGAAGAAAGAACTTTCAGACATAAGAATACTATGTTATAACTAATATGAAGATTAAGAGAAGATTATATTTGTCCCCCCTCCGTGATCTTTTTCAGATCAAAAAGTAGATTTTAGAGGTTTTAAACAGTCTCAGTTTATTCTCCAAAACATTCTCTTCAGCCTCAGGGTCGGTGTCTCTTCATTTGAATGCGCAGTACTAAATGTCACTAATCGAGGCTGAGAAAAGTTTGAGATTGAGATCTTTTCATCCTTTGATTTTTAAAGTAGTAGCAGTACACAGTCGAAGCAGCCCCACTGTGGCACCTGGTGTTCCCAGAGGAAATTGTTTATTGATTTACATACACTTAAACATGCTGAAAAGAGGTTTTAGGACTCAGATAGTTGTATAATGACTGCTGAATGAAATAAAAAAATGTTTTAGTATTTTTAAGCAACCAACCCAATGTGTAACAAGTCTCTATGAAGATGCTCTCCAGGGGCATCACTTGAGCTTTGTTTCAACTTGGTATAAAGGGATTCCATATTCACAGAGCTTTTGTGATACAAACAACTACAGAACTTGCTGAACCTGTATAAAAACAGCTTCAGCAACATTTGAAAAGTAAGTCTCCATATTTGTTCCCCATATAAAGGCTGCAAATGAATAAAAGCTGCAGGTTTTTGTGCCAAAGTTGATACACGACTGTTTTAAACAGAAACACAAAACATTATTTTATGAAGAGGGTTTCTAACACACTGGGATGATCAAGCAAAGCAAGCACTTGATGGAATCAAATAAAAATGAAAGAACCCAGGAGCGTTCTAACAAAACAAAAAATACACACATTGGCAACTATACTTTAAAGGCAGCGAAAATAGGCAGTTTAAAGTATTTGAATAAAAGAAGCAGCTTATAGCTCGGCAAGTACTGGAAATTAATTAATCTGTAATACTTTATGACTATCAAATTCATGACTATCAAAATAATCATTAATAACAACCTGACTCTCCTTATATTTGAGTGGTTATATCTACAAAAACACTTGCAGGATAAAAAAAGTTGAACTTAATTGGCAATCATCTGGTTGAATACCACAGATGCTTACCTTGTGAGTAGAGGAGCACTTGTGTCTCCAGAAGGGCACAGGTCAGCAGCTGCACCATGTTGTCCACGCCCAAAAGACAGAAGGCCTCCCCGAGAGGAAACTCTCCCAGAGGAAGCTCCCCTGGCCCGGGCCGCTGACACAGGATGGGGCCTTGCACTCCATGGAAGCGGAGCGAGCGTCCTGGGGGGGGCAGGGGCACTTCGTATAGGATGTTGTGGATGTAGCTCTCCAGGGGAAGGGGCGGAGCAGTGTTAGAAGCCACAGCCTGGTGCAGCTGGGACAGGAAGTGTCTGGAGGCTTGGAGGAAGGGGAGAGGGGTGAGCAGGCAGAGGGCTTTGGACACATACAGAGTGTCCTTAGACGCATCATAAGAGCCCATTGCAGTCGTGCACGGAGCCACACCTGCCAAGGACTCCCCGTCTGACTCATCCAGGCTGCTCACCAGGGAGTCCATACTGGAGGTGGAGGGTGATGAGGCTGAGGAGGCCCCAGAGGAGGAAGGGGAGGAGTTGGAGTGGCGTTCCACCTGGTGCATCTGGTACAGAGTGTGCATGGCCGTGGTGATGGCCGGACTTGTCACCTCCTCGTAGAACGTGTGAACAAAGCCGTAGGATCGAGAGCCGTCGTCTAAAACAAGAGTGAAGGAGTGGAACTGAGAGTCCAGTTTCTCAGCCTGGGTGCAGAAGGACAGGCCGCGGGGCATGCACAGCTGTGGGAAACATACACCAGATTATATATGTGACAAACGAAGAAATGTTCAACACTTAAAACACCAGGAGAGCAATATCAATACTTTACTGTTTTTGCAATTAGAGAGTTTGAGTTATTCCTTTTAGACCAGGGGTGTCATTCATTCGGCCCACGGGCCAGAACCGGCCCGCCAAGAGATTTGACACGGCCCGCGGCTCATTTATGTAAAATTATAATAATAATAAATAAATAAAATCAGCGGCGCAGTGAGTCCAGTTCGTCTGTAGTGGTTCCACCAGAGCAGTGTTGAAGGAATAACATCTTGAACTACGAGACTTGGCAAAAAATACAGCACTTTGAGCGGAGAATTGAGAAGACAGAAGATAAACATGTCTGGCCCTGAAGAAACAGTAGTCTGTTTGTGCCCAGAGTAAGAGGTTAGTGCTGCTGTAAAGACAGGCTACCTGTGCTAACAGTGCTAAAAACATAGCATTAGCATCACAGCCACACAGTGTGAGTTGTTAAAACTCTCATACAGGCTCCCACTGCTGAAACCACTCGCTTTTACCAACATGTTGCCCTTGAGAAGAGACTGATGTTACTGATGTCGCATATTCATTTGTGGTGTTACTGAAACTATCACAGAGGAGTTTTGCTGGTTCTGCTGTTGTTGCTGGTGCTGTTGGACGGTGTGGACTGGTCTGGTACCGCTTGGTATCGACGGTAAAAGCAGGTGTAGTGACAAAGCTGCAAATGGAGGTGATGAGTTTTGGACATTTTACTGTATTTTACACAGAGACACTGCTGCAGTCGTTAAGAATGGATCACGTTATGGAAGTTGTTTTGTTAATTTCATCTGAATCATGTTCAGTTTGATGCTTTCTCTCTGATAATAACATAACCATGGACCTTACCACACTGAAGATGGTTAAGCTGAGGTGCTGTGTTAAAGTGCTTTTTTCTGTCTACCTACTTTACCTTTGTGAGCAAGTTTTCTCTGTAATGAGCCTTAAAACAAAGCTAACATACAAATATTAATATACATATTGTGAAATACCATTTTCAATGTAATATTGTAAATACATTACATTATTTGCACTATGAAAAACTCACTGTTACATTTAAGTTTGTAACAGAAAACTGAGTATTATAGGCCAGTGTTTTAAAGGAAGTTTTAAATAAATGTGGTTATGTGCACAAAAAGTTGGACTTTGTACCGTTTTTGGGTATTTTTGTAGAGCATCCTCTGGTCCGGCCCACTTGAGGCTTGAGATTAGCTTGTATGTGGCCCCCGGACCAAAATGAGTTTGACACCCCTGTTTTAGACACTTAGACCTAGACCTACAACAAACAGGTTTGATATCTCCGCAATCGGACTTCAGCAGTCGAGTTCAGAGTTAAAACCACCTGCACTCACAACTGCTGACGTGCAATCGCTGAGATGTTAAACCTGTTCGTTGTAGGTCTAAAAGTCTGCTGCAGCTTGTCAAAAGTACGTGCACACAATGTAAAATACAGCTGCAGAGGACATATGGGCAAGAGCAGGACTGATGGTTCAGGAAGACCGCTGTAATCGAGAAATAATCACAGCGATGCACCAAGCCACCAAAGTATACTCGTCATGGTATACTAGTGGTCATATGAAGTGGTATGAAAATGGTCTTGGAGTATACACCCAGCCATGAGAAGTACGCTAAGTTGCCACTAATAATCTGCAAAAACAGATAGGCCACAAAAGGTAACCAAGGACCCACTGTACATCAAATCTTTACTCACTCACCATTGTTCACTGCGTTCTTATAAAGGGGTTCTTTTCTGTGCCTCGGGTAATGCACCAGGACTTGGGACTTGAAGCAGCGTCGGAGAGGGCCTCTGCTCAAGGCTTTCACCCTGTGGCACAAACAAAATTAAAGACAGAGAAGGCAGGCTGCTGACTCACATCACCAGAGAAGGACAGGATACCTGGTCTGACATCGGCTAAAACCTCCCCGCGTCATGCAGGAAAACGACATAGACGAAACCTATAACAAACTCCTCTGTGTCACGGTGGGTGACGCATCAGTTTGTTGCACCTCAAAAGCATTACACCCCAGGTGTTAGCAATGCAGAACCTGAGCCAATCAATTCATATACATAAGGATTCCTCCTAAGATCTCAGAGACTAAGCAGGGCATGCCTGGGAATATTATGGGTGCCATAGTGGGGGGGGTGTGTGTAAAATATTGGTAGTGTCAAAGGGTCCGATGTCACAGATGAGCTGCCTTGCTTCCATCAGTCCTACCCCAGGGCACTGCGGCCTACTTAATTGTAACTAATATACCAAGTGAGCACTTGCTACTTGCTTCAACAGGTAAACATTTGCAGGTGTTTTGAGTAATTTTGTGATTTCCCACAATTGGCCACTTTTTCAACATTCAATGTAAATTAAATTCCAAAAAATGATTATGAGATCAAAAATAATAATTCATATAGTATATACATATCATAATTATATATATTATATTATGAATTATATTATATATAATCATCTATATAATCATCTATATATATAAATATTAAATTTATATATAAACATTCTATATTGGGCGCAACGGTGGCAGAGTGGATAGCACTCTCGCCTCTCAGCACGAAGGTCCTGGGTCACAACTGCTGACGTGCAATCGCTGAGATGTTAAACCTGTTCGTTGTAGGTCTAAAAGCTGCTGCAGCTGTCAAAAGTCGTGCATACAGTGTAAAATACAGCTGCAGAGGACATAGGGGCAAGAGCAGGACTGAGGGTTTCAGGAAGACCGCGGTAATCGAGAACTAATCACAGCGATGCACCCAAGCCACAAAAGTATACTCGTCATGGTATACTAGTGGTCATATGATGTGGTATAAAATGGTCTTGGAGTATACACCCGGCGCATGAGAAGTACGCTAAGTTGCCACAATAAATCTGCAAAACAGATAGGCCACAAAAGGTGAACCAAGGGACCACTGTACATAAAATCTTTACTCACTCACCATGTTCACTGCGTTCTTATTAAAGGGGTTCTTTTCTGTGCTCTCGGGGTAATGCACCAGGACTTTGGACTTGAAGCAGCGTCGGAGAGGGCTCTGCTCAAGGCTTTCACCTGTGGCACAAACAAAATAAAGACAGATAAGGACAGGCTGCTGACTCACATGCACCAGAGAAGGACAGGATGACCTGGTCTGACATCTGCTAAAACCTCCCAGCGTCAGCAGGAAAACGACAGAGAGAAACCTATACAAACTCTCTGTGTGCAAGGTGGTGGTGACGCATCAGTTGTTGCTCCTCAAAAGCATTATCACCCCAGTGTTAGCAATGCAGAACCTGAGCCAATCATTTCATATAACATAAGGATCCTCTAAGATCTCAGAGACTCAGCAGGGCATGGCCTGGGAATATTATGGGTGCCATAGTGTGTGTGTAAAATATTGGTAGTGGTCAAAGGGGCCGATGGCACAGATGAGTTGCCTTGCTTCCATCAGTCTACCCCAGGGCAGCTGCGGCTACTTAAGTTGTAACTGAATAATACCATGTGAAGCATCTTGCTACTTGCTTCAAGCAGTAAACATTTGCAGTGTTTTGAGTAATTTTGTGATTCCCACAATTGCCACTTTTCAACATTCATTGTAAATTAATTCCAAAAAATGATGATGATGATCATAATATAATTCATGATATTATATATAATATCATGAATTATATTATATTATATTATGAATTATATTATATATAATCATCTATATAATCATCTATATATATAATATTATATTATATATAATCATCTATATTGGGCGGCACGGTGGCAGAGTGGATAGCACTCTCGCCTCTCAGCAAGAAGGTCCTGGGTTCGAATCCCGGTCGGACCAGGGCCTTTCTGAGTGGAGTTTGCATGTTCTCCCCGTGTCTGCGTAGGTTTCCTCCGGGTACTCCGGTTTCCCCTACCACTAAAAATATGTCCAATAGTTCTAGCATGCGCCTCCTGTACTGGCGACCCCGCTCCCATCTCTGTGTGGAGTGAGAGACAAATGCCCAAAATTAACAATTGTAAACCGCTTTGAGACTCAGCTCTGCAGTGAAAAGGCGGTATATAAATAAAGATTACTACTACTACTAATCTATGTGTCATGTTGCAAAATGGCTGGCTGTAGTAGAACAGAGCATATGATTAAGATCATTTGAGACATTTAAAATTAAATTCCAGTATCAAAAAATGTGCAGACACCAGCACTCCTGCTGGTCGAATGCGTTACCACAGCGACGAGGCAATGTGTTCTTGGGGATAAGCGTTGGTGTGAGGAGACCAAACGGCTCTGTTGCCATGGAAGCCATTTCCGCTGTCGTCGCTGTGATAAGCATCAGGAGTGTGGATACGTCACACAGATTAGGAGGTCTTATACAGGGTCTGACATGGTCTGACAAGGCAAGGCAAGGCAAGTTCATTTGTATAGCACAATTCATACACAAGGCAACTCAAAGTGCTGAACAAGATAGCATTAAAATCATAAATAATCACAGAACATTAAAAAGAAAGATAAAAATATAATCCCTCAGTTGTATGCACAGCTAAACAGCACCGTTTTTAACTTGGTTTTAAACATTGTCAGTAAGGAGGCCTGTCTCACATCTTCAGGAAGATTGTTCCAGATTTTAGCAGCATGAATCTGAAAAGCAGCCTCCCCATGTTTAGTTCTGACTCTGGGCACTAACAGGAGTCCAGTCCCTGTGCTCCTCAGAGTCCGGGCTGGTTCATATGGGACTAACATGTCACTAATATATTTTGGTGCGAGGCCATGGAGAGACTTGTACACAAGCAGAGCTGTTTTAAAGTCTATTCTCTGAGCCACAGGAAGCCAGTGCAGAGACCTGAGAACTGGACTAATGTGGTCGTACTTCCTGGTTCTTGTCAGGACTCGAGCTGCTGCATTTTGAATGTACTGCAGCTGTTTTACAGCCTGTTTGGAGAGACCTGTGAGCAGGCCATTGCAGTAGTCTAACCTACTGGAGACAAATGCATGGATAAGAATCTCCAAGTCTGCTTTAGACACTATGTTTTTGATCCTGGCAATGTTTTTTAGATGGTAAAAAGCTGCTGACAGGGTCTGACATGGTCTAACATGGTCTGACAAGGTCTAACAGGGTTGTGCTTGCGCTTCAGACCAACAATGTCCTGTCCTGACTCTTTCTCTTTCTGAGTAGAGTTTGCATGTTCACCCTGTGTCTGCGTAGGTTTCCTCCGGGTGCTCCTGTTTGTTTCTACTCTGGAGAGGTCTGTTCATGCACCATCCCAACCAAACAAACAAAAAATAAATAAAACAATTATGGTGTAACAGAGTCTAACAGGGCTATTGTATTGTGCCTAATTATTTAATCATTCACTCATTGATAGCATTTGAATCATGCAAGAAGTGTATTTCATTTTTGTATTTGTAAGTTGATTAGAAATATTATTAATATGATAACATCTGCAAAGTCTATGCTCATCATAGTCAAATTTAAACATCTAACCAATTTGAGATTGGTTGTAATGAATGTACTTTAAGAATGTGTAATACTAATGTTGATCCTCTCAGTATTATTGGAGTCACAGTGATGATACTGTGGTTAACAATAAACATAATTCTTGGTAAATGATAAAACGTCGAACAGCCTTGACCATGACTGAAGCTCTGCTACAGTTCGTGGGTGCAGTTTTTTCACATATTTCAACAATGAGCGTTTAGTTTAGTCAGAGTGGTTCATACCTCAGGACGCCCTCACTGACTCTAAATGATGGTTATAAGTGTTACTAAATACTGTAGATGGACTTTCTTTTGAAATGTTTGTTTACAGCTGCGCTTAACAGCCCAGCAAGTACTCCGTTACTGTACTTCTACTACTACTGTATATATCAAATTATCAAAATATCTCAATCTCAACTTGCCTTGATTATTGACACTCACTACTGTGCATTCTAATGAAGAGACACTGGCCATGAGGCTGAAGAGAGACTTTTTTGGAGAACGAAGGGAGCTGGTACAGACACTTTAAAACCCTCTACACAGTTATATGCATGATAGCGAATGGGCTAACAATCTGTAAACATTGAGTTCAAAGAAATGACGCATTCTCATGTGAAATTTGATTAGGCTGCGGAAAACACACTGGCATCTATTTAGTGAGGAACAAGAGCAGATTGTCTGGGCGCAGGCCTTTAGCCATCAGACAAAACAAGGCTACTGTATGACCTCATCCTTATCAATGTACGCTTTGAGAGGCAAAGTGCATAAGCGCACACGCAGCTGAAGATGGGGAGGAGAGCAGCCGATTCTCACACTGTTCTAACACACTTGCTGCAGTGGGGGATATGACCTGATGTTACATAAGCAGAGAGCGGTGGAGCGCAGATAAAGTTTCTCTGCTGTCAGTTGCACCAGGGGGTATCACAAGTGGGTATTTGGGCAATCCTAAGCTCTGTACAGTGGTTCCTCATTTATTGCAGGGATTACGTTCTAAAAATAACCCACAATAAGCAAAATCTGTGAAGAAGCAGCTTTATATTTCAAGATATCGTACATGTTGGTTGTAGGTCTGAGCGCTGCTGCAGCTGTCAAACCTGTGCATACCCTGCAGAGGACAGCTCCTGTGGGGCAGGAGCAGGACTGAGGGCTACGCACACAAGCCACAAACGTTTTCTTTGGACATTAAATTAAGTAACTGTCATGTTATACTAGGAGTTATATGTCTATGATGCTGTTGGAGTAAACATGCAGCACATGAGAAGCATGATGTGTAAAGAAAAGCATGCAAAATTTCACTTTTAAAAATCTGTGAAACAGCGAGGCCACAATATACAGATGAGGGACCGCTGTGCAGAGAGGTTAAAAGCTCCGAAGCTTCGAAGCCAACTTTACACAACACGTCTCCTTTAAAGAAGAAAACGTATGTATAATTTGGGGGCATTTTTGGGCTACTTTTTATTGAACACATTTATGGGCATATACTTTGTGCAACAGAAAGCTGCACTGAACATGATGTCATAGTACTAAAATGACATCATACTATTACTGGACTGAGACAGGAGCTTTAGAACAGAAGGGGCGGAGTTACATATTTGTGCCAGAAGTTCCTGTTCCTCAAAAAGTTGATTTTACCCATCATGTCTCATTTACGTGTTTACTATTATTGGTGTGTACAAACTGTATGTGTTTTCATACCCTAAGCTGCTGAAGTAGATAGTGGGTTAAATAGTAGTCTGCGTCTGAATATGAAACTGTGCATTTGAGATGATCCTATTGTCTGCTGTTGTCCAAAAAGAAAATGTACAGACATTTTTCTGCATCCTTCATCCCTATTACACAACCACTTCCAGTCCAATTTAACGGTCTATTTGTTCCAGAGTACAGCATGTCAACCCTAGAGCGTAAAGGGGGAATATTGGTGCAACCGTTTAATTTCTTATTTCTTATTTATTTTGGGCATGACGTTTAGAGATTCGGCGCACCTGCTCGCCTGCCCTTTCTTACACAAGCAGCAGCAGAAACACGTGCGGACGTCGAGGGGAGGAGAGAGCAGGTTCACACGTCCTCAGCTGACTGTCAACAACAAAGAGGCGAAAAACACCATCCAAGAGAGACCTTTCATAACTGGCAGCGCATAATAAAACCTTTCTCCATATTCAGATTATAGATCGTGTATTAGGAGTGGGCTGACGTTGTCCAAAGCCGATTTTAACATAAACTAGCTGGAGCCAATTTCCTTATATTTGTTCTGCAGAGTTAGCTTCATACCCTAACAGGGGCAGACATGTTGCAGGGACGGTCGCAAAGGAAAGCTGGAGTTGCCCCTGCGAATTTGGGCATTTCATTGATCAATTCTTATATGGCTCGTAGCTGGACCTGTTGACTGATTTATTTGATTTATTTGTCCAGGAAAGTCTCACTGAGATTACAGAATCGCTTTTTCAGGGGACTCCTGGCCCGATGACGGGTGGTGGGGGAGTGGGAGTGAGGTTGGTTAGGTCTATGAGGGACTATTGTACATTGGTAGGAGGAACCGGAGAACCTGGAGGAAACCTATGAAGACACAGGGAGAACATGTAAACTCCACACAGAATAGCCTAGAGGTGAAATCGAACCCAGGACCTTATTGCTATGATGCACAAGTGCCAACCAGTGTGACACTGTGCCGCAGAATGTACAAAGACAATATCAAAAGCACAGATCATAGACAGCGTTTGAAGCCCAAAATGGTGATCGTGACACAAACGGAGCTAGAGGAGTTTACTTTTTGATGTAAACCCGTAAGGGAGCGAGTTGGAGGAAAAACTTCATCCTTGAGCACTTCCCTATTGGGCTTCATTAAACTAGAGGGTTAGCAATGTCTATCTACATACAGTCTATGCTTCCCATCACAAAAGAGCATCACTGCAGATCTATATGGCAGCCCCCACTTGCATTGACATATAATAAATATTTCACTTTAGAATGGAGCAGATGTGTCATTTCCTAGACAAAGAATCCGGAATGTGAAAAAGCTGTAAAACCAGATGCATGGTAGATTAAGAAGAGTGACCTTCTGGCTATTACTCAGATTACCAGAGTGATTTTTGGTCAGTGGAATGTAATCTGACAAGTATCCAGCCTGGCCATGGTGAACCCCCCTTGGTTTCCCCATCTGTCCTCTGCATTGGACAGTCCCTGGGCACGTTCAGGAATGTGAACATTTGTTCCTCCGTGTTCTGATGATGGCCGGGTGCCTTACTATGGTGGGAAAATATCAAATCGTGTGTAAAATGTGTACAAAATACGAAAATCACTGCATACGCTAATTTGTTTACGTCCATTTTAAAGACAACATGAATACATTGTCGATTATAATTGGGTTTAAATCCGGTTGTATGTGTCACGAAATGGGGTGGACTTGCGTAATAAGTCACCATAGCTAATTTAACTAAAGCTAAATCAAGTGTTATCACCGCGCGTGCAATTATGAGTCGTTTAATCCGGGGGTGGTGTTTGTCAGTACACCGCTTACGCACGTGCCTAACTAAAATATATAGATTGACGATTTTTCCGCGATATTTCTGTTTTTTCGTGTTTTTTTTGTTTTTGTAATGACATACCCGCTCCATCGTCTGGCTCCAGGCCCGTATCGCTGTCCAGTCCACAAACAACAAAATAGTGGGCGAAACGACATGAGCCAGCAGCGGCCGTGGTCCCGGTGGCTCCGCTCATCCTGGAGGTGGAGAAGAGACGGCTCCACGAAGGACAAGGATCAGCGCTAGGTCATCGCTGTCAGGGCCCGGGATGAGACTCTCTCTGGCGGGTGACTGCTGTGACTGAGCTCGGGATGTTAGCGGATCTGGTGATAGCGTCAGGCTGAGGGAGGAGGCGAGAGAGAGGGAGAGAGGGAGGTGGGAGAGGAGAGAGACAAAGACCCCCTGCACCGGAAATATGCTTATAAATGAATAATTAAAGCAGGGATTCCTCATTCTCCCCTTCATAAATAAGACAGAAAGAGTGAATATAAAATTTAGAGAGCGAATCAGACCTCAACATGCGTGTCTGCATCTTTAGTAGAAAACATGTGAAATTATTTTTTTTGCCTTTTTCTTTCTTTACTTTTGACTTGTTTGCACTGAGAGCCAAAACAATTTCCTTGTCTGTGACTTCCTGTTTCCTACATGGAAAAAAAAAAGATTCTGATTCTGATTTTAGAAAGAGCCAGAGTCACTATTTGACTCACTGGTTCTGGGCTGAGAGGGTGGTTCTCTTTTAACTATTCTGGTCTAAAAATGTGAGTTCAAAAACACATGCTTGTCAAAACTAATAGTTATAGACTATGACATAAACTAGTCATAAAACTAAACTGCATTGAGAGCAAGGGAAAGATGGATTTTATTACATAGTTACTTTTAGAGGTAGGAAAATTCCGTACAGCAGTTTTAAAAATGTATGATTAGGAAACCAACAGATACCTGGATACACACATATCAAAACCACATAATTAAAAAAAATATAAATGTAAATCCTGATTTGCTGATCCTATTTTCTGTATTAATCTTTTAATACTTTTTATGGAACTGAAAGATAATTGTGCTTACTTTAAATTACACTTGATCAATTGAATTGGAACTCATTGCGCAGACTTGGTCCATTGAGGTTCATTTGGTCTTATAGAGTTTACAAGTTGAAGACCAGAGTGGTACTGGACAATTTCGTCTGCTGCGTCAGTGGTTGTTGTCAGGTACAAAAAACACTCTGGTCTTAAAACAAAAACTCAATCTGTAGAATGTGAGCAGGTTTGTAGCTCAACAAACTCCTACTTCCATTTATTTCCATAGAAATGTTTGCATCACCATTAGACGTGTTCTGGGAGTAACATTTTTTATTGAATTGTGATGAGTAAGTTAAGGTAACACGCCCTTTTGTAATTTTTTATTAAGACATTTAATCATTTCAAAGCATGTTTTTATAATAACACAATAAATAAATACTGTCCAACTGTAAGTCCCGAGACTGACATTCACACGACTTTTCAATCTGACAAACATCCACTTCCTCGGCATTTCCTCCAGCACCTTCCACAGGAGAATAAACCACAGTTTGAAGGCGAAGTATCTGGAACTCCCATCAAATTCCAATTCAATGTTTGCATAAGAGAAATTGCACATGATACAGTTAAAAGGCATTTTAATATTAAAATAAACTTTATCTTCTTATAATATAATAGTAAAAAGTACTTCATCGCCACAATCAAGAGTGCAGTACTTTACTAACATGCTAAAGTGACCTAACGTGAACATAAGAGGGGTGCTAATACATTTCAGAGATCATATAGAAAAATGGCAGTGTTTTTTGCTTGAAGGTAAACACGAGGCTTTATCCCGTCTGGTATAAACAGAAACTACTTCAATTTTTGTTATACAAATTTGTTGCTGGGAACTAATTTATACAAGGAATGTGACCATTTGCAGTAAATCTCTCTGCTATGTATTAAACTAAGCAAACTACTAAGGTCTATGGGAATTAACTGCTACATATTTATGCGATATAATTTGTAGTTTAAAACTAAAATATTGCAAGACATAAAGTGTTTTTTTACATCCCTTTTTGTGTACACCAAGAATATCTAAATCTATTTCAAAAGGGTTCAATTCCTCAGATGACTGGGTATGACTGGAGGCTTTGGCAAAAGTAATAGTTGGATCCAGCAAAGTCCAAATGGGTAAAGGCAGCGGTTCATGTAAAGACTCGAGTGGCCTGGAGCCTCACTTCCTCATCAGGGTGAGACAGCAGAGGGAGAACTCTACTGTGGAGTTGGGAGCACTCGTCCAGCATGAGGCGGTACAGACAGTCCTGCTTGTGCCGCAGGTCATCAGCCACCAGGGCCGAGGGCCGCCACGCTTTGAGGTTCCCTGCAAAGATGAGCAGACGCACGAGCACTGCTGGAGATGTCCTGGGGTCAAACAGAAGCAGTAGAGAGGCTGGAGCCTGAAAGCAAAGATACACTCACATAAGGCAGTTTGTTAACTTTATGTAGTTTTAAAACTGAAACTATTCTTTACCTGGACCTGCACAATGTCATCCATCATATCAGGATTAGAAGACAAATTTACCAGGACTTTCAGGGTCTGAACCTGTAAAAATGGACATTGTTGTGTCAAAATTGAGTCTACTGTTCACATTCAGGTCACAAGTAAAATGATTTCTTCTGCAGTTTCTGAAGTTCAAAAAGTGAATTGATCCTTTGTACTGCTGCCATAGTGTGTATTGCTGCTTTTAAAGACATTATGTGATAAGTAAGTAAGTGAGTCGGTAAGTAATCTTTATTTATATACCGCCTTTCACAGACCAGAGTCTGGGCATTTGTCCTTTCATTCCACCCAAAGATGGGAGTGGGATCACCAGTACAGAAGGCGCATGCCAGACCTCTTGTACATGTTTTTAGAGGTAGGGGAAACCGGAGCACCCGGAGGAAACCTACGCAGACACGGGGAGAACATGCAAACTTCACTCAGAAAGGCCCTGTTCCGACCAGGCTTCGAACACAGGACCTTCTTGCTGAGAAGCGAGAGTGCTATCCACTCGTGCCGTGATGACTCACATAATGCTCTTCCTTAACTATGTGAGGTGTGCATAAGTTAATGAACATGTAGTGATACTATCAGCGTTTATTTCTCTGCAGATACACCATTTATAGACTTCACTGTTCACTTTGGGTTCAAACACTAAACACTGATGTTGCACAGACTTCACTGCATGTATGTAGAGCACAGAAAAAAATCCAGATCCAGTGCCATTTATCCTCTATGCACGGTGATTGTGAAGGGCTTGTTCTGTCAACTGTGAACTTAATCCAAATGAAACTCCTGCATCCAGACTGTACATATTTTTTTTTAGTTAGGAGTGAAAACTAACACACACACACACACTACCAATCAGAAAGCAGGGCTGAGGTAATTAATTAGTAATAAAAAGTCACACTACATTAATCAATTACTAATCATGCGCTGTGGCTCTATACACTTACCTGTGCTGGCTCATTGCTGACAACAAACAGAGTCAGTAACAGTTTGAGAGATTCCTTTAACAGGTGCTGGTTTTTGTCACAGACTGAGAGGTTTGTTAGAAGTCTGAGTGCGCACAGCTGAAGTTCAGAATTCACTGGTGACGTCTCAATAAGCTCCAAAACCTTAGGGACGTACAGCTAAGAACCAGAGAAACAGTTAGTACATCAGCTTTGGGTTCCTGTATCTAATGAATTACATCACAAGAAGGTGCAATACCGTCAGTCGTTCCTGGTTTGGAATGTTCATACTGAGATTATTTAAAGTGTTTAAAGTTTGCACTCGTACGTTTGTAGACGGATCAAAAAGAAAACCAGCTATAATAGAAAGTCCATCATATTCTCGGATCAGATTCTGGAAAATACATGCAAAAACAATAAGATAATTCCCAATATTTTTTGCATTGTCTCATAACAGATGTGTAAATCCACCATACCTGGTTTACAGTGAAGGCCGAAGCATTCCCCAAAGTAATAAGTATGCGGCATTTTTCATCTGGATTGATGCTGGTTTGTAGGCAGGACAGCAGCATCTTCAGGTGCTTGGGTTCCAAATTCCCTGCTAAAATTTTAATTAGGATTAAGATTAAGAGATTTTTTATTTGTCCCACAGTTGGGAAATTTCAGCGTTTCATTCACAAGTAACAGGACAGTAGGAATGAAGAGCACACAACACAACATAAGTGAATATCAATTATAGCAACCCCCTATAGATAAATATATATCTTTGTCTCAATAAAGAAATAGAATAAACACACACATCATGTATACTCTATTGCAAAGAAATCTATACTTGTATGATTTATCTGTAGGCGTGTCCAAAACAAGGCCCATGGGACAAATCCAGCCCTCACGGTCATGTTATGTGGCTCTTTGCCATACTAAACACACAAGTTCACAGTGTCATCCAGCCAACTTCAGCTCTACTAATGTATGCATGCTATAAGTTGTTCTGGAACACTATAAAATCCAGTCATTGAGTTTATTCATACAAACTGACACTTTTGATTATGTCACACACTTTGTATATGGCGCTAATGGGAGTTGGTTAATATTTGTCATTCAGCCAACTTAATCTCTGTCAAACATGGATCAATATAGACTTGTAAGACCTCGTTTTAAAAAAGGGCAGAACAGCCTAAATCCGGCCAAAACAGTTTTACTATCCGGGTTGTCAGCCCCTGGACAAGTATGGTCTAACTAAAGTGACCCGTTTACTAAAAGGTTTGGACACCCCTGCACTAGTTATTAGCTCTTAGTTCCAATATTAAGTGATGAAACTACTGTTCACGTTAGCAGCATGAGACTCTGGGCTGAAAGTGACAGTGGGACATACGTGGTCCAAAATTGCACATTCTGAGATTATTGCACATGAGACAGGTCGGCAGTGTTCTTCAGTCTTCATTATACAGTTAGATGCAAGGGCAAAATGCACACTTAGAATTCAACAAGATCGCCATTACTGTACATTATAGCATTAGTTTATTTTATCTAAAGCCCAAGAAAGGTACAGCCAGTGCTTACCTGATGCCACTTCCACGGTCTTGGGGGTAACATTCAGAGCCGTCACTTTCGCCAGCAGGCCCCCTGGCTGTAGGCTGACTGCCGCATTAGAGCCATCACTACAGATGCTCTTTCTGCTTCTCCTAAAGCTTCCACTGCTCATGAGTTTGTAGAGGCCGTAAGTCAGGGGTTAAAGCAAAAAAAAAGATTTGACTGAAAATTTTTGCATGGAAATTTATCACATGTAAATCACAGTAATATGCAGGACCAAGTTATATTTTTAATTACAATATATTATTGTATAATAGATTGTATATTGAATACAGCTCAAATGAATTCTTCAAAGATATACAGTGTATTTTGATATGAAATATAAGTGGATAAAGCAACGAGTCAACTTTTTTACAGAATATTAGTGAGAGTAGCTTTACTTGAGGCGATATGGAGCGTCAACACTTTGGCTCTGTCCTCGTCAAAATATTGCAAAAGGACGATAAAATTCTGTCCACATTTGTTTGTGGACACGTCAATATTTAAGAAAAAGGTTTCCCTATCAAGTTTGAGTGCACAGTGCACTTCGATCAACTGCAAATGATTTAAATAAATCTACCAGCGGTAGTGATATTCTGAACGTTATTTTCTGCGATAAAGCCACAGACACGGTCTGCCAGAGCAAGCCTAGTGTCAGTTGTTGCTGATGTACCAGGTAAAGATGAAGTGTGGGAAAGTGCACAAACAGCTGCCTTGTGCGCAGTTTTGAGCTGGTGGCGAATCAAAACTTTTTTCTCATTACTCCCATACAGGGCTGGACTGGGACATAAAAACGGCCCGGGCATTTTTTCCTTCTTACCGGCCCAGGCATGTTTTTGTCACGTTTTTTACAGTTTGTATATACCAGGGATCGGCAACTCAAAAGGTTCAAAGAGCCATATTTGACAAAAAATACTAAAAACATCTGTCTGGAGCCGCAAAAAAATAACAGCCTTGTATAAAGCTTATATGAAGGTTACACAATGTAGCTACATTAGCCTATTATCTAAATGACCAAGTAAAGGCTACAAATACATGATTAGCATTCATGATTGTCAAATGTGTGTTTTCACTGCAGCGTGTCCTGGAGAGAATGACGCACCACGTGATGACTCTGCTTTAACTTTGACTTCCATTTTTTTGCCTTCATGCAACTGTAGAAATACAGTAAATAAATCTGGTTTTTGGCTCAAAGGTCACACACCTGCACTGTCCACTCATATCGATTACGTCACAGGCTGAAGTTTTCTGGAGCTGAATGTCCTTAATGGCCTTTTCTTTCACAGTCTTTGCGGAGGTTTTTGAAGTCTGAAAAAGGTGCTCCGGATTTTGTATGAAAGAATCCTTCACGTAATCCCTGTGAACGGTATTTAGTGCTTCATTGTTCCTCGTGTTGCAACAAAACTTCCTATTACATCGCAAACATGAAGCAGTCCTTCCTCATTGACTGAAAGCAAATGTTCAGTCTTGTTCTTAGTCCAGTCTTATTATCGACTCGTTCTCTTTTTATCTTTGGGATCCGTGCGCACACGCCGGTTTGTTTACAGCAGCGGCTGTCTGCCGCGGGGCCGCGCCACAGGATATGACTCACTACGTTGACAGAAATGTTGAAATTGAATATTACTTATACACATTTTTACAGCATTGAAATACGTTAGGAATGTTTTTCCTCCTACAGAAACCACATTCAAACTAGGAATAAAATATAGCCCTCCCACTCCATTTTCAGACATTTTTGAAAAGGCTCCAGGAGCCACTGGAGGAGCACTAAAGGTTGCCGACCCCTGGTTTATACAGTATGTGGAAGCATACTGTAGAGGATCAGGATGTCTACAGTTTCAACAAAAAAATAAAGTGCAATAGTCTACATTACAAGAGAGTAATAAACATGTCTCAGAGTGAGGGAGGTGGACACAGACAACACTGTTGTTTGTTACAGGGATGAGAATTGGTCAAAAAAAGTCTGAAATGCATAATGTCAGCCATTGGCTGGCTCTAAATCTGTTTAATTTTTTCACAACTGGATGCGGGAACACTGCGGCCGCTGAGGTGGTGGAATCCCGTTCGAGTACATACAGCAGGTGCCCCGCGGATACGCGCGCCCCCTCGAACAGTTCTCAACGGATTTACACTTTTCACAAACATCTTTTTTGTATGAGGCAAACAGACCGGCCCAAATATGGGCATCGGCCCTTCTGGCATTGCCCGGTACGCCCGATGGCCAGTCCAGCCCTGTTCCCATATATGCAATTTTTTATGGCAAAGTACGCACAAGCACCGGCCACTCTCATCTTTTCGCACCATGACTCATTGATTGGCTCTTTTACATCACGCTGAGTTTTGCAAGAAGATCGCAAACAAGACAATATCAAAAGCTCACCAAGACATGTTTGTCCCCATTCCCAGTTGCAGCAAAGTCCGTTTTGTACATTCCGTTAAGTAAAATAGCATTGCGTTTGGTAAACGTTAATTACCTTTCCTCTATTACGCGCCCAGCTTACCAGTCCGCGGATCTGCTGCTGTTATCGCTCCGTTCGAGATTCAATTTTCCTCCTCTTCTCCTTTTCAAAAGCTCCGTGAAGTTTCCAGAAACTTTCACCTCCGTGTTACCAATGCTAACTTCATCGCGTCTTCATTTGCGCGTGAGCTCAGCTACGTCCCATTGCCTTGATTCATTTGCGGAGCGCTCATGTGGCCACGGCACGTTCAAGGCCCACTCGTCATTATATTACTTAATATTTCTATATACATATAAATACAATTATATTCAAATTATTATTATACATCGATATATATATATATAACAGATTCACACGTATATGTATTACTATATATTATTTTTATAATCAATCATTTCATTGTGTGTATTATTATCATTATATATATATATATATATATATATTTTTTTTTTTCCAGACCAATTTCATTTGACGGAAATCCGTCACCTAGACGGAACTCTTTAATCCCTGCCGTAAGTCGCGCCTGCCCCCGCCACTATCCCCAGGAACGCCTTCACATGGACCACGTTTACGTTCAATCTGGGAACGATGCTATCCCCCATGCTGCTGCTAATGCTAACAGTTAGCTCCCGGCTAACACACACGGAGGAGACTTTCTGTGTGGGGATCTCTGTGGTGTGATGAGCGATGTCATGGACCACACCGTTACCAACTCAACTCATATGGACACGGCTCTGGATGCGGATCTGTAGACGTCAGGAAGAGGGCAAGAGTCAGCAGAAAGCGAATGTGTTTTTCCGGTCAGCTGATCTTCCTCTGGTATGGATTTTGGGCAGACATGTTACCCCGGGTTTCATAACCCCGCCGACAGGGGGTGGCTGGGGGTATTGTAATCGCATCCTCCCTGTGTGTGTTTGTGTGTGTGTGTGTCTCTGTGTGTGCGTGTATCTCATAGACTATAATAGTGCTACTGGACAGATCTGATTGAACTAAAACTTTATGGACTTACACACTTTGCTGCGCTCTCTGGGATCAAAAATCCCAGAAAGCAGATGATCGAAAAAGTACAATGTTTTGACGTGATTAGACACTTAAATGCATTTCTGTATGTATTTTATGTGATAGAAGCATTTTCCCTTCTATTATTGTGAGAAGAAAATAACAACAATCTGTCTTTTTGGCCCTGTGATCACTAGAGGGTGCTGCAGGCCCTCTGGTCCTCTTTTTGAGGGAGATTGTCATCTGGCAAAATTCTGTAACTTTTCTGGGTACGATTTTGATCTTAAAAATATATCTTGATATTTAAAATGTGTTTTGCAGTTTCTTCTTGTCCACAAGTTTGTTCACTCTCTTGCCAGCATTCAACTTTCCTCAAGTGATAAAAGTGATGATTTCAAGAACAGTGAGTACATAATCACTCATTATTGTAACATAATATGTGATATATATGATGTGTAGTTAATAGCCCGAGCTCCTCCCATGTGACTCAGCTCTACCCTTTATCTCTATGGGAGCGCCCAGTCACTTTGCAGAGGAAACTCATTTGGACCGCTTGTATTTGCCATCTCATCCTTTTGGTCATTCCCCAAAGAGGTGAGGGAAGAACGTAGATTGACCGGTAAATCAAGAGCTTCGCCTTTCGACTCGGCTCCCTCTTCACCACAACAGTCTGAAACAGCTTTGACTGCAGACACTGCTCCCTCTTCACCACAACAGTCCGATTGAGCAACCACATCCCTCTGTCAGTCTCACGCTCCATCCTTCCCTCATTCGATACTGGAACTTCTCCACTTGAGGAAGGACCTCTGCTCCTGGAGAGGGAGCGGCACCTTTCACCATGGCCTCGGGTTTGGAGGTGCTGATTCCCATCCCAGCCGCTTCACACTCAGCTGTAAATCGTCCCAGTGAATTCTGAAGGTCCTGGCTTCTTGAAGTCAACAAGAAATCATCTGCAAACAGCAGAGATGAAATCCTGTGATCCAAAAAACAGACTCCCTTCGGCCCCTGGCTGTACCTAGAAATTCTGTCCATCAAAACAGTGAACAGAATCTGTGACAGGGCAGCCTAGCGGAGGCCAACATTCATGTGGTACTTGGTTGAACGCCCTCTCCTGATCCACAAAGCACATGTGGGCAAACTCCCATGATCCCTTGAGCTCTCTATGAAGGGATAGAGCTGGTCCAGTGTTCCGCGGCCCAGTCACCCCCCTCCCGGTCTCTTCTTAAAGAGACGTACCATCACCGCAGAGCGATTTCCACCTGGGTGTTCATGCATTCAGTTGATTACAGAATTGGCGCCTGTGGTCCCTGTTGCCAAGAGTGACAGAAATATCAGAAGTCACAAAAAAATTATTAGTGTACCCTGAAATAAAGAAATTGTTTATGTTTATTGGATGATTTTATCATGAAAATGTTTTTTAAGATTTCAATGTTAACAATAACAACATTTAACACAATAATAACGTAATTTTTTTCTTCAATTCATTTCACTATATGAGTTAATTTGTTAATGAGTAGTTCATTGTTTATGTGTACGTTTTTAAATATTATTGTTAGTATGAATGAAAGTCAATTTATTAGTTAATTAATACTAAACATTTATAAACTCTTTGTAGACAAAACTTATTATAAAATCTTGGATAGCTGCAGGGATGCTCTGATTATCGGGTAAAAACCCAGCACTACGGGAGGCAGCGGTTTGAGGGGACAGGTTTTACAGTTGGACACTTGGTGGCTCACTTTTACCATGTGGTTACATGGATCTACCAAGCCACCACATGAATTATGACTGCGTGTGTAGCTTTTCAAGCTAAATTGAGGTTAAGTACAGATAATGATTTATGGATAATAGTAGGTAAGTCATCTTTATTTACCTATAGCGCATTTCACAGATAGATAGATAGATAGATACTTTATTGATCCCCGTAGGAGAAATTCAGGTGTCCAGTAGCAGCAAAAATAAATAATACAATTGATCATTCTAAAAAGATAACAATAGTAATAATCAACAACAGATCTAGGTCACCCAATGCTCTTAGCAATCATTTTTGAGTGCCAATATTTTCCCTTTCTCCCCTTCACCATTCATTCACTCACTCTTTATATTCAGGCCTATTGTACATGTTTCAGTGGTAGAGGAAACCTGATTACCCGGAAGAAACTGACACAGATTTACTGTAAAGCACAAGCACTAACCACTGTGTCACCACGCCCCTGGGAGTTATGACACATTTACGGTCAACATCTGATAAAACATTTCTCATTATTTTATCAAATGAGTCAGTAGTCTTTATTGAGATAGTACCCTTTACAGTGGGCATTTTTCCTCTCACTGCACACAGTGATGGGAGCTGGGTCACCATACAGGAGACACATGCCAGACCACTACATGCTTTTAGTGGTAAGGGGAAACCGGAGCACCTAGAGGAATCCTACACATACAGGAGAACAGGATAACTCCAACAGCGTGATAACTCTTGCTGTGCCGCCAAGGCGTTAGGAAGACCCAACCAGGATATCTCTTGGAATAATAAATATAGACCAGCTAACTATATTTCTTCCTGAGTCTCTGGTAACATCTGCTACAGGCTTTAGTGCATCTATAGTAGTGAGTGACAATTTGAGTTTTTATTTTTTCATAACAACTACTTTCTCCTAAAGGATTATACAAATATGTGACCTGGCTGCCCCTAGATTCAAGCTCAATGATGATTCCAGCAATGATTAGGTTTTCACCAACTAAACTCATATGTTTATAATCCAGCAGTGGCTTGGCATGCTGACAGACTTACAAAGACTTAATTGCTTTCCTCTTGGAACTTACACAAATATTTAATTATTCCTTATAAATGGCACATGCATCATTCTGGACTGAGTGCTTGTTTGTTGAAAAGTTTGGAGGGACATTTTGAGTTTTGTCACTTGTTCCTGGTTAATTCTGCCGCAAAGGGTTTTATTTTTCAAAGTTTAATCCAAATATGAATTTTCAGCTGCAGGTGTTAGAATAGTATTAAACCATGTTTCCATCATAGACGGTATATACAGTAGATGGACATTGCAAACCCGCTAATTCAATGAAGCCCAATAGTGAAGTGCATATGGTGATTTTTTTCTCCAGCTCCAATAGACGTGTGACATTGAAAAGTAAACTCCTCTTGCTCAGTAATCGATTACACCACACTATTATGGGCTTTAGAAAACCCTTTAGCCCTCTCCTTGATCCTGGGGTGCACTTTTTGATATCGTCTTTTAAGATCCAGATACGAGCTATATGAGGATTGACGAATGCCTTCATTCGCGGGGTAAACTCCAGCTTACCTTAGTAACAATCTGAGCAACATGTCTGTCCCTGTTACGCCACAAAGATAATGTCATCGGAACCAATGCTCATGTAAAGAAATTGGCTCAAGTTAGCTTATGTCCAAATCATCCTCTTAAGCACTATTATGACATCAGCACTCGATCAGTCCACTCCTGATCTATGGTTTCCATATGCACTGATGAAGAGGAGGGGATGTGTCATCCTCCACATGTGTGCGGTGTGTTGTCCTGTTCACTCACTGTTTCTTGGTTTTTGTGTCAAGGCCAAGGCTGGTATTTAACAAAGCGATCCAAACCATATGCAGACTGACATAATTAGGAAACATATAGTCACATGTAGAGTTCTGAAGAGAACGGCTGTGGGTAGTGGGGAAAAGGGGAACATGTTTGCGCCTCAGAAAGAGCAGTTGATGGTAAATTATCTGGGGTTTCTTAATTGTGTTAACTATAGACGTACTTGTTGTTTTGTACAGCTTTTGGCAGCTTCACTTGTAGGACTTTGTGCAAGAACGTATTGAATGTATTGATGAGGACTTAAAGGCAACTTCCTTTTCACTTAGTTAACTAATGCATATTCTTAACCAGCTGCCCCTTAAGCAAAAGCAAAATAAATCCCCCATTCCTACATTTGGCCTTAACCACCACCAGTAACAGACGGGTCGGTTTTTAGATGGGGAAATAATGTAGTAGCATGATTTTTGATCTGATTATGAACTTGATTTTACATATGTCTCCTTTAATGCTCATATCCTAAAATTCTAGTTACCCCCTAGTTTCTGAAACTACCAGAATTCTCAGAGCAGTCATTTTTAAGACTCCCATTCAAATCAATGGAATTATGCAAAAAATGTATGCTTTACCAGTGCTGGTGAATATAACTTGAAATACAGAAAAACAGTAAAAGATTTAACCTTTATTTTGTGTCCACTAATACTACAAAAAGAGCAAGATGGCCGCAGCATTTAGACACATGGAGATTTTCAGTCTGCACTAGTAAGATTGCGAACAGCTGCTGTTTTGAACATTGGACACGCAGTTGGTGGCTTTAGTCCGCGCTTAAGTTGTTGAAGGGAAATAGACATTTTCTCATTCACATTTAAACCTCACAGCATCTGCTCCGGTCACACCATCTATCTTCCCCCAAATCTGGAATATAACATCTCTCTATTTACCGTACATGAAACCGGAGCCGTGTCAATGAAAGTCCAGCATGTTTCTCCGCGTCAGTCTTCCTAAGTGCGTGTGCTTAAAGGTTACCCTAGCTCCTGGGTCAAATTCCACTTCTATTGTCAAAGCAGACTCCTGTGTCACCGGCGCATCCAAGGTCTCCGCACATGACCCCACATCTCCAATAAGACAGCATTTCATAATTTCCACTGTTATGAATAGAGGCGCGTATTTAAATTATCATTGAATTAATTATAAGTGGTGTATGTTGCAGGATAGCTTACCATAATGAACAAAAGCAAGGAGGATGTCCCTGCACATGGGTCACTTTGCTGAACAAGAAACCGCGAGGTAAGTTAGATTTTTCTCTGCTTGTTTTATTTTTCTCTGCTTGTTTTATTTTGCACTTTCACATGGTTGGATGTACTTGCGTAGGATCCAAATAAAAAACATTGGTTTACAAGAGTTTCCAAGCTTTCCAATTCATTAGTCTCAATAGGTTTCTTGTTTGTGCGTTCTGGTATGACTCATTTGGTCCCTCTGTGGTAGTCTTCCCAAGGCCAGTTAACAGTTCATTATTTAAAAAAAAAAACGTAAATAAAATATATAAACTATATATAGAGAGAGGGTGAGAGAAATGATAAGTGTGTTTACAATAGAGTTTTGGCAAAGTGGCAGAAGAAGGTCCTGGGTTTGATTCCACCTCCAAACGGGGACTTTTTGTGTGTTTGCATGTTCTCCCCGTGTCTGCATAGGTTTCCTCCAGGTGCTCAAATTTTCTACCACTAATACACTGTAAAGCCCTGTGTGTGACCTTGGTTTGTGAAATGTAAATAAAGATGACTTATTTGCTTAAAAAAGATATTGTTACTGCGTTGCGATTTTAAAGCCCTGTCAGATGTGAAAGGAGAAGAAAATAAAGGTTTTCATTCCAATTGTTTTCAGAACGTTGTCGATTTAAAGCTGGGATTATTAACTTATCACTTGTGTTTGCCTTCATGTATTTTTGGCCTCTGTCACATCTTTAATTCACCTTGAAAAGTGAAAAATAGTGGACCACCCACACTCAGCCAATCAGCTCGCAGCCCAAAGCGCCAAGTAGTGACTCACTGGGCTCTTTCTTACACGAAGGCAAAATATTTTCTAATGTGATGTCGGCAGCGTGTTTACTTTTACAAGACTGTTTTGGGGTGAACAGATATTTATTAAATATGATAATTAGTAGTCATAATATTTGTATCCATTTCATTATTTAAAAAAGTGAAAACACCAGGTGCCACAGTGGGGCGGCTGCAGCTGTAAAGTGCCAAACCTTTGGGTCCTTGGGCAAGACACTTCACCACATTGCCATATAAGTCTGGTGTGTGCGGGAATGGTTGATGGTGGTCGCAGCAGCTGATGGCATGTACTGGTTGCCTCGCTTCTGTCAGTGTGTCTCAGGGCAGTTGTGGCTACAGAAGTAATTTTTCGACACTGTCTATAGAGTGAATGAGTCTTTGAGTGTCTAATAAAAGTGCTAGATAAAGCAGATGCATTATTATTTTTATATTCTAGTCTGTTGCTTTTCTAGTTTTTTCCCTTTTTAAAACATATACAAGTGAAACATGGAAAATCAGAATAAAGTTCATTAATACAGTTAAAATGTGGCACCAATATGTGATATAGACTCTTTACATTCAAAGTGACATATGCCAAGTCTATACGCCTTTTATTTTTATAATGTTGATGATTACAGTCCTAATTCAAAATCATACATTAGTTTCACAGCAGTAAATGGATTTTTTAAGTTTCACCTGCATGGACAAATGCGTATTATATCGTCTGGTGGATTTGTGAAGTTTGGATTTTTTAGTTATTGGAACCGGGATTCTTTCTGGCAGATCACAACATGCAGAAATCTTATCCCAGATGCTAAAGTACTTTTTTGTTGTTGTTCAAAGCCCAAACCCTTGGTGAGATGAGCCACCGGACAGATGTCCTCTCCAAGCTTCCCAGCAGCCTTTCCATAAAGGTACATCTTCCTCGTTATACAATAGTTTGGTGACTTTATATTTCCACTCTGAGAGGAGAGGGAGTCCCACATCCCAGTCCCGGGTGCTGTCCGAGTGAGATCATAGCTATTGCATAACCCGAAAAAGAACATTGGAGTAAACACCCACCCACACGTTTCGTCGCCTCTGGACCCATTAGCAGCTGATTACGATCATTCATTGTCACATCTGTGTAATGAAATCACCATCACACAATGTATATTTGAATGCAAACACGATGGAACTATAGAACAGCTTTTTGTGGCCTGTGAAAAACAACAAAAGGTTTATTTTGATTGGCCCGGTGCTTTGAGTATTTCATCTGCTACTAAAACAACATTAGCTGTGATGCTCTGACAAGGCTATATTTGGAGACGGATACTTGGATCAGATTTGCAAACAGTACTCTTCTCCCAAAACCTGCCTTAATAAGACTTGTTTATGAATGTTACTGTGATACCGGCTCTTGACACAAGATTTAGGATCGCGTTGTAATTCAGGTTTATAGCATGAGACTATCTGTGTTTGAAAATGTAGTTATTTATGGCTTGCTTCACTGGGGCAGTTTGGGTTTCTCAGGACATTACTGCACATTTTTGCTCGAACCATTTTCTTATGAGCAACCTTTTGCACCCCGCTCCCCTTTTGTGAAAGACCACAAAATGATGAAGTGAAAGCAAAATGATATATACATGATTTCATTATTTTTTACTGTCTGTGGCTGTTTCTTATTATTTTTTTCCTCAATTCTCCTTTGCATAATAGCTCATGCTGTCAACGTTTGATCAGTCATCAAGAAACTTCTAAAGGAAATACATTTGCAATACTTGTTTTTCTAAAATCTTGCATCATTTTTTCTCCATAGTTGTGGTCTTTCACACAAAAAGTGGTTGTGATTGTTGTGATGAGACAGGGTATGAACACTTTTCATGCTACTGTACATTTAAATGCTCTCTTCTGGGACCAGGACTTCCCTCAAAAAGAGATTCTGAAATTATCTCAGTAGGGGGGGAAAAAAAGTCTTTAAATATAGATAAAGGTCACTTTGTTCCAGATTTTGAGGTTTCTGCACATACGAGACTGGCTGAATTGTGCCGAGGTGTGCAGCTCCTGGAGAGATCTCATTCAGTCAAGTGCCCTGTGGAGTCAGGTGAGTCACTCCATCACTGAAAGCATCGTGTGATTAGTTTGGTTTCTCCATTGCATCTACGCAAACCTGACCCCTAATTAAGTTACCCTGGGGGACTGCTTCTTCTGCCTGTTTCCATGAAGAATGATATCGTACCACATTACAACGCGCCTGTATCTCCACTATCTCCATTAATTGCTTACAAATGTGTTAATGATTAGAGGTAGATCAGTTTTTTATCATTTATTTTGTGTATTTTGACTTAACTACACACGCATCCACCTCTGATTCCGTTTTATTCCATTAGCTCAACTTCTCCAGGGAGAAAGAGTGGATCACGAATGCTGAGGTGAAGCAAATTCTGCGGATGTATCGTCCGTTTGTGGTTCACCTGAATCTACGTGGCTGCACCTTCCTCACTTGGCCCAGCATCAAGTGTGTCAGTGAGTATCCAGCAAATGGACCTGCAGGCTAGGTTTTAATTGATAGTTTTTCATCCATCTTGACACACACGCAGAGCGAATACAAAATCCTACCCCTCGATTATGAATGAACGTAACCTCAATACAATGTCCATGTTTCAACCCTAACTGTCTAGAGTGACATTTTTGTTTGGTTTGTAAAGGAGAGCAAAATAATCATAGGAGTGGGGTGTTGGGTTAGAGAGTGTTTGGGTCTCTGTGTGTGTATTGCACCATAATACAATATTGTGGTGCACCTCCTATGCAGGGTACGGCCTGGTTAGTGCTGTGATGGGAGACCTTTGGGAACACCAGTTGCTACAGTGGGGCGGCTGTCGTTGTTTCAGTGAGTAGCCAGGAAATAGACCAGCAGGCCAAAGTGTTTTAATTTTTTTGTATAAATGAAAATACAAAAAGTCCATCTGATACAGACATTTAAACAGGCGTAAGAAAAAAGGGCAAGACTGGAGATTGTAGGTCAGTCAGCAGTGATCAAGACAGTCTGAAGATCTCATATTTCTGTGGCACTCTCAGATGACTGGGCTCCAGCTCCTCCTCCAGCTCTGCCTGCAGCTCCTGAGGGGTGTTCCACAGCTCGGGGTCGGTCTGGTCGGCACTGGGCCGGTTGTAGGGGCGCTCTTTGGGGCAGCCTCTGTTGTAGTTGTTGATGTACTCCTCCACCTTCTCCCCTGTGTATTCAGGCGGGGAGCGGCACAGCAGGCCAGAGTACCTGACACCGGGATGCAGACGCAGCCAGTACACCATGTAGTGGATGCTGTGAGGGGCAGAGGATGGGTTAGTCTTTTTCTTATGATCTTATGATAAGGGGGAATATAGGTGTGTATGCAAGCAAGTAAGTTAGTAAAGTTTATTTATATAGTTCCTCTCAAAGACCAGGGTCACAAAAAGAGACAGTAAAACAGTACACACTTACTGTCATACACATTCACAAACGTACTACAGGCATACATACTCATACTTTCTACAGGCATACACACACACACACTTACTACAGGCACACACACACACGCACGCACGCACTTACTACAGCCATACACAAACACACACACACATTTAATACAGCCGTACACAAACACACACACACACACACACACACACACTTACTACAGCCGTACTGTACATAAACACACAGACTACAGGGACACACTCTCACACAACATCACTAACTGAGTATATCATGTCCAAATCTGTTGTCACCCATAATTACAATACTAGTGTCCCATTCAAATAAATAAACTTTAGTAAATTATGATCATATGTGAGTTAAAGGGGTAGGTCCACATAAACATTTTAATGATTTTGCCTTTTCCTTTTGAGCCCCATGTGGTGTGATCTGAATGATCTTTGCATATGTATATGCCGCTCAAGCGCTCAATAAAATTAATTAAATTAAAACAATAATCATACACAAGATTATAAATTACATAACTGGAGTCCTTGAATTGAATTTAAAACCACAAAAAATGTAACTATGAAATAAAATCCGTCTAACGAGTCCCTCACTCTCAAAACAACACAGCATTCACAACATTATCCTTTTACAATACTCCTAGAGACACACAACATGTATTACTTATTAAACAAAAAAGTTATGTGCCCCAGCTTTAAACTCAAAATTCTATCTTTTTATGTTATTTTTTATTTAAAACAGAAACACACTACTTAAAGCATGTTGTAAACCTATAGCTATTGGAATGTGCTACCTGTAGTCGCACACCCAGGGGTTTCCGCCGAGCTTCAGCTGGGACAGAAAGTACAAGTCTTCTAGAACCCCATATTGGACAAACTGCAGCAGGTTGTTGGAAAGGTCCAGCTCTCGTAATTGTAGCAAACCAGTCAGAGAATCTGAGAAGCACAGACAGTGATTTAGATGCCAGTTCATAACAATACATGCCGTAATTGTGGACTATTAGCCGCACTTTTCTGTGGTGATGTGGCCAGTGTCTGTATTTTTTCTGTATTATGCTAGAGTATCTCCTGGGGCTGAGTAAATGATTACGACACGCCCTATCAGCTCTGGTTTATGTGGACAGTGGAGCGAGCCGTCACAAGAAGATGCACAAAATACAAGGGTCTGGATTTTATGTGATTAGGGCCGTTGTCAGAACAGAGTTTATGGACTTAGACTCTGTCCAGTTTTAGTAATTCGGACACACGTTTACGTCAAAATAGACTGGTGCATGAGACCGGACACGGAAACCAACAGTTAATGTATTCCTCTTTGTGTTATTGTGTAAGCTTTGATCTTGAGTCAAAAGTCAAAAGTGCTTTAAAATACTATTGATGAATCGGTTTAGCACTTTTTTGGACACTAAAAGATGCTGCACACTTCATTATTCTTTCACTCCATACACAGTGGTGATCAACCACTACTGTAGCCACAGCTGCCCTGGGGCACACTGACAGAAGCGAATACCACCTCATTAAATCATGTTGTGACGAATTACAACTGTCAGCTTTGCTCCATCAGATGTTGGTTGAGTCTTACATTAATCTACAGTATATAATAATCATAAAAGTGTGCGGCTTATACTCAAGTGCGGCTTATAATCGGACAAAATGTACTTTTTTCAAAATTTTGCTGGTGCGGTTTATATACAGGTGCACTTACACATGGTGTTTATAGTCCAGCAAGTACTGTATAATACTTTCTTTATTCAGTCTAGACAGTGCCAGCCAAGTAGCCCGTGTGTTGAAATAATGTCGGCAATGCCATTTGTCAGCTTGCACCGTTGTATAAATACGATCAATGTTGTATACAGAACGGATAAATGCTGCAGCCAGGAAAACCTTGGAAACAGAAGTTGCCGGTTGCGTAACACTGTTTTACACTTTTTGGCTGTACACATGTTCGCCATCTGCCGGATCTAAACAAGAATCAGCGTCCAGATCCCACTCCGATGGGCCGCATTACTGTAAAACGTGAGTCACGCTGTTAAATAGTACAATTACCGGTGTCGAGATGCTCCATGTTGTTGTTGCTGAGGTTTAGGACTTTGAGATTCTTTGCGCTCTGGAATTCTTTGGCTTTGAGATGACGGATGGCATTATTGGAAAGATCCAATTGAACCACATCATCTGGGATCCCCGCGGGCACTTCTGTAAGACCTAAACATAAACAGAAGCTGAAGTTGTGTGCTTGTATGAACCTTTTGTAGTGATTGTCACATCGGTGCAAAAAATAAGTAAAAGATTGCAGGGAGAGGAAATTTGGCAGTGTTATGTTGAGTATGATGAGATTTATGGATCTGTGAGAGGAGGATAGAGCAGGGAATTAAAAACACCTGCTCAATCAGATGTTTTAAGTCTGTGTCTAGACCAGTTCCTCATTGAGAGAACGATATTTGGCAAACCACTGACTGAAACTGAAACAAAAATGAAACTCAAGCCTTTTTTAACAAGGAAAAGTTTTTCCCATCAAAGTGTACTGAATAGTCAAACAAAATAGTCAAAAATAGTATGATTTTCTTCAACAACAATAAGATTTTGACTATTGAGGGAATATGGGATCTTCTTCAGCGCAGTAACACTTTCATATTTGTAGGACTGTCAACCTTAAGTTGTTTAGTCGATGGCTAGTTACAGAAGTGCATTGCATTCAGTTTCTGTTTTGTATGACTAAAAAGTTGATAGAAGTTGACTGTTTGATTGTGTTATATCTAGTAACACAAGCAGGATAAACCTCACTCAAAAAACAAACTTTTTGAGTTAGGGTTTCCATAAACTGCATGGAGCAAGATTTTTTGTATATTTAATTTGAGAATGGAGCCAGATCAAACTCTCTATTCACATATTTATACATTTTTTAAATCAATTGCAGAATATTTCAATGATTATATGCATTTGTTACATCAATGGAGAATTTATTTGGTCGAAAACAGCTCTAAGTACTGTATTTGACATAAGTAGCAACAATATGATGGTCACTTTGGATGTAAATGTATTTTGACTGCAGGAGAGGTTTAGCCAGGACTGGGTGAAGGCGTGAGGTTCTTACCCTTGTTTCTGCAGTCCATGCGGACCTGGGGGAAGAGGTACGTGTGGCAGACTGCGTTGGACTCTGGTTTGGTGCGGATGGGGATGGGCTCCTGGGGGGACGTGGAGGGACGCACGCCTTGGTCGTTCGGGGGCAACTCTTTACACAGCTGCTCCGCTTCCAGCTGCTTCAACTTTTTTCCTTTGAGCCAAATGGGTTCTTCACACCTGTGCGAAATTGTAACAAAGCAGTTTAATGCAGTGTTTTATTATGCATTCAGTTACTTTGTGGAATTTAGGTCCATTTTGAGCTAATCATGACTAGTCGACTAATATTATTGATAATCATCAGAATTGATTGATCTTTGTCTAATCAGGAAAATCCCAAAGGGGGGCTATTGCACATGCTAGACTTTAGAAATCCAGAGCAGGTGCCTTGATTCACCTTAGCAACCATCTTAGCAACACGTCCCTAATGTCTTCTGAACAAATACCCGAACAAAAGGAAATTGGCTCCAGCTAGCCTATGTTCAAATGGGCTTCTTCTGAATTGGTGACGTCTTTCAGTGAGTCCATTCCTAATATTACAGACCTAATATACAGTCTGTAAGAGAGAACCACATCTTTTAACTACAACAATAACGTTAAACATGTAAATCTGCCTCAGTGTAACACTCACAGACACATACAGTCTCCTCTTTCTTGCATACACCTATACATACTTATTCCATGTCCAGTAGCTCCTCACCTGGCATGATTACCCAGGTTCCGGTTGCTGGGCACCTGCAGCGTCCGCACCAGGCTGTCCATGGCACACTGGCAGTTCCAGGGGTTATCGTACAGGCGCATGTAGCCAAGGTTGGGCATGGGGATGATGGTTTCCTCGCTCAGGGTGCTCAGCCGGTTGTGCTGCAGCAGTAGTGTGGTGAGCTGGGTCAGTCCCTGGAAGGCCCCCTCCTCCACCAGAGAGATCTCATTCTGCTGAAGGTCCAGACTGGTCAGGCCCTCGTAGCCGGTGAAGATCCTATTGCGGAGGACTTTGATGCGGTTGCGTGCGAGGAGTAGGTGCTTGGGCTGTTTGGACCAGGCCTGTGCGGAGGGGATGGTGTTGAGGTGTCTCTCTTGGCAGTCGATGAAGACGTCTCCAGACTCGGTGGACTCGGCGCAGTTAGGGGCCACTATTCTGGAGGTGTCTGACCGGCTGTGACGCCCAGCTCCTCGCACCCTGACACACAAACACTAATTATGCAGAGATTTGGCTTTGTTGAGATACGTTGTGCTAATGTGAGATCGTATTCAAGGTTGTTGTGTTTTATCTCATTCTAATTTCAGATTCAGATTCAGATTCAGATTAATTTATTTGCCATTTGCAGTAAAACCACATTGGAAAAACTGTGCAAGACTACCCCAGTGTGCACCAGACGACACACACCAGAGCTCTTGCCACAGCGCCATCTTTACGGCGCCGTAATTTGTAGAGCAATGGTCTCTGACCTGTCGCTCACCACCCGCTTTCAGCTAGCTCCTTGAAGGATCCAGGAATTTAACACGATCCTGAAAGATTACATTTTGAGTAATTGCATATCTCTTTTAACGATACATATTCTCATTATGTTCACTAATACAGGGTTGTACAGTATTATGGTATATTTGACATGTGTGGTCTCCATGATTTTCTGTAGTTATTGTATGGACTACAATTTTGTTATGACTCCAAAAAGAAGTAGCATTCTACCGTTTCTGTTGTTGTGTAATGTGTGGTGTCATAGTGAAAACAACAGTTCACTTATTTTTTCCCTTCTTTAACACTGGTCATTGTTTATGAATTATTTATATTATATTTATTTGTGTAGGTTTATTTGATAGTATTTTGTAATCCTAACATACTGTAACAATTCTCAGGCAAATTCACATGAAAAAACGATATTATCTATTGTTTACAGAGTTTACTATTATGGATTTAGAAATATTGTTATCTGGTGTGATTTGAAAGATAATAAACACATATATAATCAAAGTTTTTGGTGTTTGCCGCTGACTCACAGCTGGGTCTGGGAGAGGACACTCACACTCTGGACATGTTCATGGTGTTTATGAGCCTCTAACAACATATTATTGAGACACACCAGGACAGATATGTCCTGTCGATATGAAATCTGTCCTGTACCTGGAAAGCTTGTGGCGGGCCCCCTTCATGCCTCGGCCCTTGTTCTGCTTCTTGGCCTCGGTGGAGGGGAGGAGGAGCAGCCCCAGTAAAGAGGCGACCAGGAGCACAGAGACGCTCAGCCGCATTTTAAACCCAGGGCAGATGGTCTCAATGAAGGCTGGAACTTTGAGATGAAAGTCTGAAAATCAGAAGCCGTAAGTCACTGGCCATACATTTTAGAAGAAATACAAGACAGATGCTTTTAAGTGCGAGTGCAAAGTGAGAGACGTAAGACATGGTCAGGAATCATGGTTTTACAAGAAGAAATGTATGTTACGAACTTACGACGATGAGAAATGGAGGCAACAAACTACCAGAAGACTATTATTTTGTATTTTGTAGTACGAGTCTGGTGTGTGCGGCTTGGTAGTCACTTCCATCAGTCTGCCCCAGGGCAGCTATCCTTAGAAGCTGCACATATTACACTGTAAACCCTGACAAGTAAAGTTTACTTGAAAAAACCATGGAAATAAATTGCGTATTAACTTCACTTGAATTCCTCGAGTACATCTTTTACTTCATATTACCAAGTAACTCAAGTGATTGCAATAAAGTTTAAATTTCTACTTATGCTCCGACCGGGATTCGTATTCAGAACCCTGCAGTTGAGAGGTAGTGGTGCTACCCACTCAGCCACCAGGCCATCCTACCACTGACACACCTGCTTCATTAAAGAGTCTACACGTCAAAATGTCAAAAGTGAGGCTTACTTGAACAGAAACAGTTCAATTCAAAGAAAACCCTGAGTGACATAGGCAAGCTTTAAATAAACTAACAATAAATGAGTAATATCTACTTACTGGGAAAAATCTATTTAAAATAACTTTGATATCTGAAGTAGGGTTGAAGTTAGGGTTTACAGTGTAGGCTTCACACTGAGTAACTACACAACTACTACAACAGAACACCCCACACATTTTAATATGTTCCAAGTGGTGATGTTCCAATAATTGTATAGTTTGTGCTATAGGCGTGGCTGTATTATGCAAGGCTGATCTTGCTTTCTGTCATTTCCTTTTCAAATATTTTCCCTATAAAACCATCATTACCACATCAGACATATTTAGTTTATTTTGTTTTGTTTCACAGTGTGAATTAATGAACACCAGATTGTAGCCTTGGGTTGATTTCCAGCCGCAGTCGCACTCACTCACCTTGAACTATTGCACATGTTTTTAGTGGTAGGGGAAACCGGAGCACCCAGAGAAAACCTACGCAGACATGGGAAGCCTGTCTGAAGCAGACACAGGACCTTCTTGCACAAGTGCTAACCACTGTGCCATCTGTGATTCTGTGATGCCCTTCAAAAACCTGCGTACACTCCATAGACTACACTCTCACTGAGTGTGAGGGGGTCAAGTGTCTTGCTGTTTTGACACCTGCGGCTCAGTCAGTCTGACCGCTCACGTAAAGATGTTCATATTGGCAGAAGGATTCAAACCATCAACCTTCAGCTTAGATACAAACTCTATCATCTAAACTACTGCCGCATCATCCCACTGCTGTCTGCTCCTAGTGGTTCTCAGTTCCAATGTTTAGTGATTGATTCCAGAAGTTCCCAAAGTCTGGAGCCCCGTGCAGGTAATATATGAAATATGAAATCCAACTTAGAATAGGAAATGGTTTTATTTCTTAAATTTAGACTAAAACACATACACATGATTTATTTGTAAAGTAGGAATTATTTCATAATTTCAATCTTAATTGATTTGCTATACATTCTAAAGACTGGTTGTGGGGACAATCTTTAGGGGCCCCACTTTGGGAAGCACTAGATTAAACGATGTATGACTTAATTGGTTAAAAGTTTTCAAACTGCCTTTTTAGGTGAATGTCGAAATCTCCAGGAGCTCAACTTGTCGGAGTGTTCCAACGTTACAGTAAGCACTTTGAAACTTAACATAACATACTGTACGAGGTTTGTAAACTTGTATCGTAAATATTTCTAAACGTCCTTCTCAGGATGTGATGGTCCAGAAGTTGACCAGAGGCTGTCCCAGTCTGCTCTACGTGAACCTCTCCTGCACCAACGTCACAAACCAGGCGCTCAGAGAACTCTGGAGGTAAACTTGCTTTTATTGGCCTTGTACTTTTTCCTCTCATTCCCACAAGTATCAATAATTCTTCTCATTTCCTGTCATGCCCCAAAGCCTTCAGGCTCCGCATAACAGATGTGCTCGCACTATATGTCGATAGATTTATTACAAGAAGAATGTAAAAATTTCTCTGAAGTTCTTTTCTTATTTACTTAAGCTCATCAAGTTCTATTTATCAATTATTATTATTGCTATTATAATTATAATTATTATTATTGACGCTAAACAGCTGTTGTTACCAGTCGGTGTAGTCAATGGGCCTCATTCACGAACGGTTCTTAGGAACAGATTTGTACGTAAATCCTACTTACGCGGTTTTTACGAAGAAAGTGGCATTCACGAATATTTCTCGTAACCAGAATTTCTCTTGGGCAAGTACAAATCCTACGAGTCCTCAGGAGCACTCGTACGCATTCAGTGCCGACATGTTCACACGCCGAGGTTGTCCTCTTTGGTGAAGTTGAATAAAAATACAACATTCCAGTGATATGTCCGTCATATCGATGTATGTATTTATTTATTTGTAGTAATCTTTATTAGTAATCTTTATTTATATACCGCCTTTTTCACTGCAGATCTGGCCTACTTTTTAATTCATTTTGAAATGAAATGTGCCAACGCTTTATCAAATACATTGGAAATCTTGCCGTGTATTAGTGACCCCTTCCTATTTATAGGGGGCATTTCTTTATCCACGGGCCACAGAACAACGGCATATATACTGCTGCTGCAGGAGGTTACTGGGTCCGCGCTGAGTCTCTGCGCTGGTCTCTCCCATGGATCTATACGGGTCTGCACTGGTCTCTCCCATGGATCTATACGGGTCTGCACTGGTCTCTCCCATGGATCTATACGGGTCTGCACTGGTCTCTCCCATGGATCTATACGGGTCTGCACTGGTCTCTCCCATGGATAGACGGGTCTGCACTGGTCTCTCCCATGGATCTATACTGGTCTGCACTGGTCTCTCCCATGGATCTAGACGGGTCTGCACTGGTCTCTCCCATATACGGGTCTGCACTGGTCTCTCCATACGGGTGCTCCTGCATGCTCCTGGATCCATACGGGTCCGCGCTGGTCTCTCAAGTCTGGTCTATGCGGTCTATCTTCGGTCCGCGCTGGTCTCTGCGCACCGGTCTCTCCAGTCAGGTGTCTACAGTCTATGCGGTCTCTCCTATAGGTCCGCGCTGGTTTCTGTGTGCTGGTCACTCCAGTCTCTCCTCGGGTCTGCATTGGTCTCAGCGCTGGTCCGCGCTGGATCTCCTCCCAGGGTCCAAAATATTTTGAGATTAATCTCAAAACATTTTGAGATTCATCTTTAAAATAATACATAATATATTTTTAAATTAACATCATAACATTTTGAGATTAATCTCATCATATTCTTAGATTAATCTCATAATTTTGCTAGTTCGACTTTATTATCATAATATTTCGACTTTTAAGTCAACATTTTATAACTTTATTCTCAGTCTGGTAAAAGAAGAAAAAAGGGTGACTCTTTTGCTCCGTGGCCTGTTGCTTTAGGCCTGTTGCTGTTTCCTCTGCCGTCTGCACACGGCCCTGCAGTCCCTTATATGGGCATTAGTGGGCGGTTACTTATGCTAAGTACCTATGCTAATGAAGCACCTGGCACGCGCGCTGTACTTACGAGGAAATGGGATTCATCAATCTGAGAGAACAGCTGCGAACAATTCAGCGGCTTACGAGTGCGTTGATGAATCCCACGTGGGGACTTCTTAGAAATCTACTTAAGGACAACTTGAGAAGAAAGTTGAGTAGTTTCTTACGAAGTTATTCGTGAATGAGGCCCATTGTTTTTATGCTAGTCTTTGAAAAAACAGATATCTGGAAATCTGTTTTAAAAAATGTATTCCTCTCACTACAATCTTCAACATTTTTTGTTTTTCACTTTGCTTTTGAAAGGTTTTTCTGTTGAAGAGGTGAAACTTTATTTGTACGGCACTATAATGGATCTGGCTTTTTTTAAACAACTTGGTAAAGGTTACATTTTAAACCTTTCAAATATTATTCTAATGGCATTTCATTTTTTACTTAATGGATGAGTGTAACACAGTGGGTGTCAACTGTAGCAAGCATTAACTGTGTTATTATTGCGCCCATGAGCAATACACTTCACCGACTCTTTTCAACAAAAACACAGTTATTCCACTCTATATTTTTGACCCCTGAGAAAACAGTTGTGAAATGCAAAACAAACATTTGCATTTTCTCTAAAACAAGCATTAATTTGGCTTTTTGATAACTAGCCAGAATCCTATGACTTTACCATGTTGTTTTACATGTGAGTGAGAATAACTAAGGCCTTGCTGGTCTTAGAACAAGATTTGCCAAGAGAACAAAATCAACAAGCAGATCTTATACCTCAGGCACAATATTCTTTCCTTCCAAGAGACTTTTTGCTTTTTATTGACCGTTTATGCAAATCAAAATGTACTCAAATCAACATTTTAAAAAAGGACTTACTTCTAGCACTTACTGTATGTTTGTATATTTCTTGCAGTGAAACTAGTAAATAGTGGGAAAATGTTATTGGCCTTATTTCCACCATTATCATGTTTATCTTTCAGAGCTTGCCAACACAAAACATTTCCCAATACATATGATACAATAATGCATCGGTTTTATGGCATTATTCTTTCACTCCATACATAGTGACAATAGCCACAGCTACCAGGCCCTGCCCTGCTTAGCTCCAGAGGTGTGAGGGGATCTGGCTTTCACATGCAGGTGGCACCACAATAACACAGGAATCTAGATACAGAACATTTTCTATTTAACAGGATTTGACATATTATTACACAAAACCATGCAGTAAAAAAACATGAGCTCCTTATCTAATGCTCTGCCACATAAAAAACATCATTGATGCTAAAACCAAAAACTCCTCCATTCATTTTTTAGTTATTTTTATTGATGCATTGTTATTAAAGTAAAAATATGAATCAAATCTAAAACATATGTCACTTTAAATAAACACAAAAAAATGGGGAACAATTGAAATAAAGAATCAATATTGCATCTAATAATCTAGCAATATATTGTTTGCCCTTGTTCCAGAAACTGCTTAAATCTCCAGTACCTCAGTGTGGCTTACTGCTCCGGTTTCACAGACCAGGGTTTTCTTCACCTCACGACTGGACGCGGATGTCGGAATCTGGTCCACCTCAACTTGTCCGGCTGCACTCAGGTAAAGGCGATGGAGCTCTCCTCTTGAAGGCCGCTGTATTCTGAAACATCCACAACCCCGGGCCGGGTTTATCAGGCTGAGAGAGCCCCGCCCCCTGCTCCGAGAGTGTCCACAACAGAACTCTGCACACATGCCGGGTGGACGAGAAACGTACGCCCCCGGGAATGCGCGCCAGTCCTGTTCCAGATGTATGGCTTCACTTTATGGGACTTTCTCTGCTCTGTGTGGGGATGAAGCCAGGCACTGCAAAAAGGGATATCAAATAAGTTCATATTCGCTTGAACTCAGCCAAAATGGAGCTTTTTGAGATTATTCTTTCTACTTTATTATGTTTCAACACATCTTTTACAGTGATCAGAACAATACATACATTAAAGGGACCATGTGTAATCTCTTCATTTACTCTACATATGTTGCGTACATTTTGGACCCATTATCTGGGGACGTATACATCATATTGGGCCTTTTCTGAACCAATGTGATTATGTTTACAGTTTTCAAGCTGATTATCCAATCAGAGTGCAGATTGAGGCTCTCATTTGGGTTGCCAGTTTGTTAGGCGAAATGTTACTGGTTTTGATTTTATTGACACTATACACCAACAAAAAAATAAATACAGCCACACAAAACAAAAAAATAAGTATTATGTAACTCAAAAAGTGTACACAGTTTCTAGCTAAACCCCAGCTGGTTGATTACATCCATGTTTAGGAGCTACATGTGTCACAGGCAGGAATATTCTGGCAACAAAAGTATGATTATATGAAAAATATGAGCATATTACAATGGTCATACACTATAACGCTGCTCAGATTACACAGCATTTTGTCTGTCCAATTTTACGTTTTTCTTTTTTACAATGTGCTTATCATGCAGCGGTTGATCTCCAACTACATAATAATCAACATAAAACCGCTAGTATAACATGACAGTTACCTTTATTTATTATGTAAAGAATATATAAAGTCAGGAGAAATTGTTTGTGGCTTGTGTGCACCGCGGTGATAAATTTAGAGGACTACAGCGGTCTTCCCGTACCCTCAGTCCTGCTCCTACCCTCAGCGCGGTGTTCTCTGCAGCTGTTTTTTTTAGTGTATGCATGGATTTTGACAGCTGCAGCAGCGCTCAGACCTGTAACGAACAGATGTGATTTCTCTGTGATCACACTTCAGCTGTCGTGTGTTCAGGTGGTTATAAAAGTCTCCCCAAAATAGACAAAATAAGAAGATTGATATAAGACATAAATACAAAAAGATAAATGGGACGAGGAACTCAAAAAAAATGACACCGCACTTGATTTAAAACTAAACTGCTTGTCCGGTCTTGTCTTGGCAAATCTGGTTTTCAAAGTCGTCAAAATGTACTCAACTCAACCCAAAAACAACTTTATTCTATTATTTTTTGCAGTGCAGCGGGATGACTCACTCACGTCTCTCCTTTCAGATGACGGTGAGTGGATTCCGATACATCTCCGCTGGATGCCCCTCTCTCAAAGAAATAGTGATCAATGACATGCCCACACTGTCCGACAGCTGCGTGTTGGTATGTTTGCTTTGGGAACTTGTTTGAGAAATGTTGACTGTGCTCACGGCTTAAACGCAAACTGTCATCTCAGGCTCTTTTGTCCGGGTGTCACAGTATTTCCACTGTGTGTCTGTTGGATGCACCCAATCTTTCCGACATCGCTCTCACCGCCGTTGCAGATGTGGCCAAGCTGCGGTCCTTCAATATTGAGGGTAATGCTGAAGTTGTACACACTGATATTATTTAGTTTAGCTTTCATTTGATCTGAAAAGTTTTATTCCTCGAGAGTGAATAGACTTGAGCCACAAATGTCTGATCTTAATAGGACCAGCAGTTAAATGCAGCTTTTGCAGAGGTGGCTTAAAGAATCAATATTACACATTCTTTTTGGCTATTAAAAAAATGTAATGAGACTATTTGCTTTGTCATGTCATGTTTTAGAATGTGAAATAATATCGTTAGTGGAAAAAATAAATAAAACCATTAATCTGGCCACGCTGATGGCTGTTGGAAGCACGGCTAACCACATGGCTACAACATCAAACATGTTTATGGCTTGTGTGCACCGCTATGATTAGTTCAGAGGACTACCACGGCCTTCTTGTATCCCTCAGTCCTGCTCCTGCCCCTCTGCATGATGCCCTCTTCAGCTGTTTTTTACAGTGTATGCATGGCTTTTGACAGCTGCAGCAGCACCCAGACCTACAACGATCATGTTTGATGTCTTTGCGATCGCACTGTAGCTGTCGTGAGTTCAGGTGGTTAGAAAAGATTGTAGTGTGTAGTGTGTAGTGTGTAGTGGAGGGTTTTACAACCTTAAAAACACATAGCTGCTACCTCGCTTTTTGCAGGTTTTTAGAACGTAACGGCCGCAATAAACGAGGGAACAATATTTTTGTGGTAACATGACTTTAGAAATATTGCACTCTACTGTATGCATCAGTATCCTCATAAGTACAGTATAATGTTTTGTATATTATCGCAGGCGGCACGATGGCTGATAGCACTCTCGCTTCTCAGCAAGAAGGTCCAGGGTTCAAATCCCAGTCAGAATAGGGTCTTTCTGAGTGGAGTTTGCATGTTCTTCCTGTGTTTGTGAAGGTAATGCCAGGTTGGCATTAGGATGGGTCAAATACAGAGGTCAAGTTTCCCTACAGGGACAATAAAGCACATTTACATTTTAAATTTTTTACTTACTCACTATGTTTTATTGTATATTGTCTGTGTTGTAGGGAATAACCAGGTATCGGAGGTGAGCTGGAAGGCCCTGTGCAGCCGCTCCGGGGGGCTTCGCAGACTCCACGCCGCTGAGTGCTACAGACTGAACGACAGCAGTCTGAAACATGTCGGGACGCTCCGGCACCTGCTGCACCTCGACATCTCCATGTGCTGCAAGTGTGTGGCCCCAGAATGGACGGTTGTGTAGGGCTTTTCAGATTCACGTGGTGTGTCTGTCTGCTTGTGTCTGTAGTGTGGGGAACGCAGGGATCAAGCACCTGACCGAGGGCGAGTCGGCTGCTAAACTCCGAGAGCTGAATATAAGTCACTGTAGTCGTGTCACGGATTCAGCTGTGGAGAAGATCGCTCTGAGGTATGTCTTTGATCAAACGACAACATGTGAAAGTTTAATGCATTCACTCAAACAAAAAAGTTTATGGATTTATTTGTTTTTATGAGAAAAGCTTAGTTAAAAAGGAGAGTTTAAAACCACAGTATACATCAAAAGAGGGTTAGAGTCCTCCAATATACATAAACAACAGGGTTAGAAGGTTTGAGGCTGGCATTTTTAACATACTGTTTATTATTTTGAATGCCTTGCGAGTTGACTTGGGTATACACTGGGTAACACAAATAAACTTGCCTTGCCTTAAAGTGTTTCTGTTTTCTACAAAAAAGAACATATTATAAGTGATTACATGTATTATCACATGTATTATGATAACAAGTAACAAATAGAATTCTTGTGGGTGTAGAGAAGTGGGGGCTGCACATTTGTCTCATTGGAAGAACCTAGCATGAACTTTCTTAAACTACAAAAGAGTGATTCATCTAAAGCTTTTCTTGTTATAACAAACACTCAAGTCTTTTATGTGAGTGTGAACGACAGAGGCCCGACAATGTTTCTTAACAAATGCAGGCGCAAAAAGTTCTTGTCACTTTTACCTTTTGAAAGACTTTATAATATGCTGCTATACTGGAAGGAACCTCAAACACAGACATTTTGTAAACTAATTGCAAACAATATGTATGAACATGAACTGAAACTTTTATTTTTGTATGCCATGATTGAGTAAGAAAATACTGTATGTAGCTGCAAGCTGCAACTCGAGTACATTATTGTCTCTGGATGTGGGTTTTTTTCTCTTTTTTTTCCTTCAACTCATTGTTTTGCTGAACTAATTTTTCCCTGTACAAAAGAATGAAATGTTTTAAAAATGCAGGATTTACCTAATTTTTCATGAAAAGTTTTAACGTAAAAACTGAATCTTTTCTTATACATGAATGCAATAAGTTTCCGTAATGACTCATGAGAAACGTCCTTCTCGTCCTCCTTGTTCAGAATGAGTCAGCTTTACCATCTGAACCTGAGTCACTGTGCACGCCTAAGCGACAGAGCCCTGGAGGCCCTCAGTGACAGCTCCATCCGCTCTCTGGACATCAGCGGCTGCAGCATCCAGGACCAGGTCTTCCTCAGTCCTATTTATTTATACAGCGCGCATTTCACAGACCAAGATCGCACATATTTGGTGTCATTTCCATTCACTCCACACGCGGTTATCTCAGAAGCCGTTCACTTGTTACCACTGTTTTTAGAGGTAGGAGAAATCGAAGCGCCTGGAGGAAACCTACGCAGACACGGGGAGAATATGCAAACTCCATGCAGAAAGGCCTCCGTCTGCCCAAGGAATCAAAACCAGACCAGTTGTGTCTCGAACCACAAGCACCAACAGCGGCCCCATGTCAGGCGGCGTTTGAACTGTTGCAAAGATAAGATTTTCACTGAATAAAACAGCGAAGGAGCCAAAAGAAGAACTGCAAAATAATATAATTTTATAAGTGCAACAAGAATATAAAACAATCACTGAACAACTGAAACCAGGAAAAATCAATGGACTAACAACAAGAGGACAGGAGCACAGACAGGAAGTAAAAGTCAAACCACAAGAGAACGAATGGATATCAAAATAAGATCAAGTCCACACATGGATCTATAATAATAATAACTAATAAGTCCACACCACGACAAAGATAGATTTTTTTAAACATGCACAGTACGTATACAGTTACAGTCATTGATATTAGTCATTGATTAAGCAAAATGTATTATGACGTTAGTCCTCAATACTTAGTTCTATGTTCTTTTCAGGGCCTGGCTGCTTTGGAGAGGGTCCACTTGAGGAAGATCGTTCTGGCTGAGTGCATCTGTGTCACTGATGTTGGCATTGAGGTGTGCAATAATAAAAAACTGTGTGGTCATATTTGGGTTAGTCCCGTAGACTGTATATAGATGGACAATGCTAACCGCTAGATCAATGAGGACAAATAGTCAAAGTTTAGCTCCAAATCGCTCCAACTTGTAGCTCAGTAACTATTTTTTCCACACTCACCGTTTTGGGTTTTAGAAATATGTGGTTCAGCGCTCTTTATGACCCTGGTGTTTATATTTTTTGATATTGTCTTCATATTTCCAGATATGAGCTATGTAAGGATTGACCAATCAGATGCCTTCATTGCTCTCCTTAGCAACAGCATTAGCAACACCTGTGCTAATGCCCCTGTGACAGCAAGAAGCTAATGCCATGGTACAAATGCTCATATAAGGAAATTGGCTCCAGCTACCTTATGTTCATATCTGCCTTTTCCACATTAAGGCTAACTGTTAGCCGCTAACACTTTGATGACATCAACACTTGGTTATGTCCACTCCTAATATACAGTCGATGGTGAATCCCCTGTTTAACTGGAGCGGCTTCTCAGAACAGTTTGAAATCATCAATGTTTAGCAAGAAATATTATGAGGGCATGACACTAAACAAATGTAATATTGAATCTCTAGATAATCATGTTTTATATTGTGTGTCGATGCCAGAACCTCTGCAGGAATGTCAAATATTTAGAGGACGTTGACATCTCACATTGTACAGCTCTGACGGACCGGGCCGTTAGAACGCTGTTCTTCTACTGCAGAGGCCTGACTGCACTGAAGATGGCCGCCTGCAGACAGGTGAGGAAGGTGAAATTATATACTGGTGAAAGTGAGCCATACCTGCATGTGAAAGCCAGATCCTGTCAGAACTCTGAGGCTAGGCAGGACATGGCTTGGTTAGTGCTGTTATGGAAGACCTTGTTTTTTTGAGTGGTTACTTGCAAATGCAGTAGGGTCTAAGAACAGAGATTATCCGGAACATATATGGACATTGTTACGTGAATCATTTTCCTCTGACATTTATGGACATCGGTCATCCCGCTCCCTATGAACCAATGGCTGATGTGTGTGTGTGTGTGTTTTTTTGTTGCTTTTTCCGTGTTGAAACTGTTTGATTCTTGACAGCTGTGTTAAGTCCACTGCTGTTGTGATATAGGGGTATACAAAAATACATAGAATTGAATGAAATGAAATTGAATGAAAGATTTTAGACATAGGTCCTCAACTGGCGGGTAATATTGAGCGGCCTTTGATCCTTTCCTTTTTTCCAAGTTAAACTAAAGTAAAACTATTTAAGAAAGTAGTATTAAGAAATTTGTGCAAATATAGAATTAAAAAAATATAGGGAAACTGCTAGTTTGGTGCCTATAGGATTATTTTTGTATGAGTCCATAGCCTGTTGTTGTTCATAAACATTTAGCGTTGCAGTTTTATTCAATGATTTGAAAAAAAAAAGATTCTTTGTTCTGTGTTGATGCTGGGTCCTGACATAGTTCCAGTTGAGAACCATGATTTAAGACATGCATAATATAAGGGGAAAGAGGCATGAATAACAAACGCAATTATCAAAATTTCTCTAACTGGAAACATTATCTTAAAACAGTGAATCTTGTGTGTGTTTAGATGACAGATATGGCCATCCACTACTTGACCACAGGAGCTCCGTACCTCAGGCATCTGGACGTGAGCGGCTGTATTCATTTGACCGATCGCAGCGTCCACCACTTGGAAAGAATCTGTCCTCCTCTGTGCTCTATTTCAATGGACTGCTGCAGGGGTATCTCCAGGTACGCTGAGCAGCAATTCCAAAACAGAATTAATTATTCAGTTTCAATCTAAACATAACTGAACTCAAACAAGGATAAGCAAACCCACTAACAGTAATCATTTTTAACAATGTGAAACAAAATATGTACACACAGAAATAACTACACATTCAAAAAGTGAGTTCCACAAATAGAATATTGGACATTTTTCAGGTTTTCCTCTACTAGTCTTGATAATAAACCTATTTCCATTGATATCCAAGTATAAAATAACCTTGAAAAATGTAATAATTGCTTGAAAGCTTTTAGCATTTGCCTCAACTTGATGTTTATCTCCATGTATTCGACCGTCACCTACTGTCACTTTACTGAACTTAAATGTCTAGTGTGTGTACCCAATGCACTTTTATACAGTTGTAATTAATTTTATGAAGGTATCTCATACATGCCTAATTCTTATTTTTACTTGTATAACTTGTCTGTCTTTGAACCAAAACAAATGCCTAGTTCCTGTTACTTACAATGGCAATAAAAATAATTCTGACTATGATTTTGATTCTGATCTGGCAAGGCAAGGCAAGGCAAGTTTATTTATATAGCACAATTCATACACAAGGCAACTCAAAGTGCTGAACAAAACAAGAAAGCATTAAAATCATAAATTATCACAGAACATTAAAAAGAAAGATAAAAATATAAAATCCCTCAGTTGTATGCACAGTTAAACAGAACTGTCTTTAACCTGGTTTTAAACATTGTCAGAGAGGAGGCCTGTCTCACATCTTCAGGAAGATTGTTCCAGATTTTAGCAGCATGAATCTGAAAAGCAGCCTCCCCATGTTTAGTTCTGACTCTGGGCACTAACAGGAGTCCAGTCCCTGTGCTCCTCAGAGTCCGGGCTGGTTCATATGGGACTAACATGTAACAATATATTTTGGTGCGAGGCCATGGAGAGACTTGTACACAAGCAGTGCTGTTTTAAAGTCTATTCTCTGAGCCACAGGTAGCCAGTGCAGAGACCTGAGAACTGGACTAATGTGGTCGTACTTCCTGGTTCTAGTCAGGACTCGAGCTGCTGCATTTTGAATGTACTGCAGCTGTTTTACAGCCTGTTTGGACAGACCTGTGAGCAGGCCATTGCAGTAGTCTAACCTACTGGAGACAAATGCATGGATAAGAATCTCCAAGTCTGCTTTAGACACTATGTTTTTGATCCTGGCAATGTTTTTTAGATGGTAAAAAGCTGCTGATGTTACTGATTTGATGTGGCTATTAAAATTTAAGTCTGAGTCCAGTATTACCCCTAGATTTCTGACCTTGTTTGAAGGTTTTAGGGAGAGAGACTGTAGGTGACAGATGACGCTCTCTCTTTGTTTCTGGGGACCAAAGACAATCATTTCAGTTTTGTCTGCGTTTAGCTGAAGGAAGTTGTTTTGCATCCACTCACTGATCTGTTGGATACAGTGAAGGAGTGAGTCCACTGGTCCATGTTCTCCTGCAGTCAGTGAGACATAGATCTGAGTGTCGTCTGCATAGTTATGATAGGAAACTTCGTTTCTGCGTATTAACTGACCTAACGGCAGCATGTAGAGATTGAACAGAAGAGGTCCCAGGATCGACCCCTGTGGGACTCCACAGGTCAGGGCCATATGATCTGAGACACAGTTTCCAATCTCCACAAAGTACTTCCTGTCTTCAAGGTAAGACCTAAACCAACTTAGGGCGGGGCCAGCGACGCCAACCCAGTCCTCTAGTCTCTGTAAGAGGATCTCATGGTCGACAGTGTCAAAGGCAGCACTTAGATCTAACAGGATTAAGATTGAGACTTCGCCTGCGTCAGTGTTCAGCCGGATATTGTTTGTAACCTTAACGAGAGCAGTCTCAGTGCTGTGGTGGGGTCTAAAGCCGGACGGAAACATATCAAATGAGTTGTTGATTATAAGAAATCTAGTAAGCTGTAGGTAGACAACTTTTTCAAGGACTTTCCCCATAAATGGCAGATTTGAGATGGGACGATAGTTGTTAAGTACCGTAGCATCGAGACTGCTCTTTTTTAGCAAGGGCCTGATGACTGCAGTTTTCAGGGCCTTTGGGAATATTCCAGAATGAAGGGACATGTTTACTATCTGTGTGAGTGAAGGTAACAGACTGCTCAGAACAGACTTCAGAAATCTAGTGGGTAGTACATCCAAGCTGCATGTGGAGGAGCTCAAACTGGAGATTATCTCTTGGACAGTTTTATCATTTACAGGTGCAAAGTGAGTTAGCTCAGAGAGCCTTTCTGGCTGTTGGATGGTTATCTGTGGATTGGAGACAATGGCGTTTTTGATGCCTTGAACCTTGTCATTGAAAAAATTAGCAAACTCATTGCATTTACGTTTGGAAGTTAGCTCTAATGGCATTTGAACAGGGGGGTTTGTTAATCTATTAACTGTTGAGAACAGAACACGCAGATTGTTGCTGCAGCCTTCAATCATTTCAGAAAAATACCTTTCTCTCGTACTACGTAGCACCCGGTTAAACTCGCACAACTTATCTTTGAAGATCTCGTAATCTACCTGGAGGTTGGACTCTGCAGCCTTAAAAAAAAAAGAAATTAGCAATTAAAAAAGAGAGGTCCATATTACATTATTTATTTCTTACGGTGTAAAAATGTATCTTTGTTCCACCCTCCAAATACTTTTGGATAGGGTGGATAGTTTTTTTGGCATGTCAGACCCAGTGGGGGCGGGTCCCGGCTCAAAAGTGGCCAAAATGACTGACATGCTTGCAATACCACCCCAGGCCGATGGGGGTGGACCCGGAATAAGAATTAGCCAATGCTAACATATAGCATTAGCTGACCTCTCAAAAACGTCTTTACAGGATGGTCCAAAAGTTGGCTCTTGGCCGAAAGCTCCGTTCCACATTTGTGTCAGTGCTGAGGGGAGTGAATTTGCTTGGACCAGTCTTGTTTACTCGCTGTGAATTTTTCAAGGCACTTGTTAAATGAATGGGGCTTGTGCCGGCTGACGCATGCACAGATGCGTTTTTTCACATTTTCCAGCCCCCGCGGCCATTTTGAATCACTCCATGAAAGCCCAATTTTTGGCCCATTAGTTAGAACGGCGGAGATAGGAGTGACTACGTCCGTTAATGTTTACAGTCTATGGTCAGACCCCATCTAAAAGTTTTTCATAGCTTCCCAGGGTATCCTTTTCTCCCAATGTCATAAAGACACACAAATAATTTCAATGTATCTAAATTCTGTGACGTGAAGAATTAGCTGAATTGAACTTTGAATACAGTATATATCGGCCTCAGAAAACCCATATGGAGGTAGTAAATGAGTGCACTGCTTGTCTTACAGGTCGGCAGCACTGAGACTAGAGCCCTTTGTGGATCACTGGGAGCACAGCCACGACAATCCCAGACACTGGATGAGCGTGAAGGGCCCGCCGCTTGTGGTTCACCCGGTTAAGACTGAAGGGAAAGGGGAAGACAAGGACAGCTCGCCACGCAGAAGAGCAGCCAGTACCTAAACCTATCAGCTGCAGCTCATCAGACACTGTCCATTTTAATGTCATTATTTGTTATCACAGTCTATGGAATACTGCTTTTACATATACAATTTAATATCGACTGGAAAACATTGCATCTGTTCCTTTTGTTTGTTTGTTGAATGAGAAAAATTTGATGGAACAAACTAGTATATTAATGCCTAATTGATCCAAGCTGTCGTCCTAGTTTTATTGCTTTCCGTAACTTGGTCTGGCATCGAGCCTCGTGTTCTCTGCGTCATGAAAAAACGCCCTCATCAGAAGACATTCCAACGTGATCTGATTGAAAAATACGGTTTATGATTTGTGATACCCATAGACTGTAAATAGACAGACAATGCTAACCATCTAGGTAGTTCAAAGAAACCCAAAAGGGAAATGCTCATGGACCAAGTTTTGCTCCAACTCGTTTTGACTCCTATTGAAAAGTAAACTCCTCTAGCTCAGCTCACAACTAATTGTGTCACACTCACCATTTTTGGCCTTTGAAATGTTTTCTTTAGTACTCTCTGTGATCCTGGTGTTTATATTTAATATTGTCTTGGTAAATCCAGATATGAGCCAAACAAGGATTGACCAAGGTGTCTTAAATCGGTGAGGAAAGTCCAGCATCTTAGCAACACGTGTGCCCATGTTACGTTGCAAAGCTAATGGCGTCGGAACAAATGCCAATATAAGGAAATTGGCTCCAGCTAGCTTATGTATGTAACTCAAGATGTTATACTTTCTCTACATTGTGACTGGAGTCTTGGAGCCAAATGATGGGAGTTCACAAGCCAAATGTCACAACAATTGAATGACTAACTACAGTATATCTGAAATTATTCACAGATAGTCCACATCTTTTTGTCCACTGTATCCATGGTCCAGTCCTCTATCATTTTTTTGTGCTTTGAATCCATGAATGTAGATATGCAATCAATATTCTATTATACCAACTGCATATTCCACTGTATGACCTTAAACGTGTCCACCTAAGTGAAGCTCGCAAGCCTATCCAGCAATAGCCAAGGTAAAGCTGGGGTACCTATTTTGCAAGAAGGTTTCAAAAAAGGCCGCACATTCCTGGAGCCTGAACAAACATGCACATTTTTTAAAAAGAAATTGGAAAAAATTGAGAAAATCACAATATTGTGGTATGTAAATAAAAGATTATCTGGAGAAACATAGCTGTACCTATTTTGAACGCCATGAAAAGCTCTAAATATTTTTGTCCTAAATCAGATCATATTGGCCTGAGTTGAGCAGTATTGTTCTTAAATTTAGCCCATTTTGCTCTCTTCAAAACAATATTGGTCAATGGAGCGAGTGTAAAATTCTTAGATGTGAAAATATTAGTGATTACAGACTTGGAATGAGACAAAAATTACTACTGCTCTTGAGATAAGGGTATAACTATATTGTTTCCTTGCTGATCTGGTTTTAAATTAAGACAGCCAAAATGTGTTGAAATAAATATAAACACAGCACAACAATAAATTATTCTTATCTAATAATTCTTATCTTGTAACACATCCCAAATCACTGCAGTGACTCAAAGGCTTCACTTAGTCAGTTGAAGGAAATAGTAAAAAGACCCACTTATGAGGTAAAAAGGTACATCAGCTTTAATGTAATTCAGATTAGATAACAGACCTCCCACATCCAGGTTACATATAGTCCATCTTTAAGTTAGAGTATTTCAACGTGCCATAACATCTTGTCCTGAAGTTACTTGTAAAAGAAAACGTTTTATGACCAGACTTTATGTAGTATTTCCGTAAACAAGTGTGTACCTGCTCAATCCTCTCGTTTTTTTCTGTTAAATAGTCCCAGGTACCAACATTAAAACTGTGTGAATGACTCATGAATTGGACTTGCATGGTGTTGCTGCTTTCTATCTGCCTCTAGGTATCTTTGTTATTTTTTTTTACGTGCTTTTGACCAGGACCACATGAATCCGGTTTTGTTCTCAAATCGACCCGATGTTTTGTCAGTAAAATGTGGTGCCAAAGGAATGTTGCAATGTGTTGAGAGTTAGTAAGAAAAATGTCACATATAGAGTTTTAACCCAATAGATTTATAGCCGGGGAACCAAATGTATTTAATCATACAGAGGGTGGAGTTTATTTCAACAGAAAGAGTAAATTGTTGACCACATTTATGTTAATCATATTAGAATCGTGTTTTATCTTGCAAGAAAGAAAGTCACTATTTGACGCTTTTGGCTGAGAGTTGATTGGTTAGAACTCTATTTTTCACTTTTCTGTCTGAAAAATGAGAGACCAGAAATACATGCATTTGGAAACTAGTCAATCTGTTCTGAGAGCGAGGAAGTAGTTACATTTTAATGACAATTTGATTTCTTGTGATTACGGTACTGTAGCTTTAAATGCAGCACTGAGCAACTAGTTTTTCTATAACACTAGAACTCAGGAGTCATTTTGATGGCTTTTAGTTTTGGAAATGCATTCAGCGCATATACATTATTGATCTTCCTAACTTGGTGACTTTTTCAGTTTCTTTATTCATATGCCATTACTTGTTTTGTTTTTTTTAAATTAACTTTTCATTTTTAAGTGGAACAGAGGAGCAAGCGCTTGTAACCATAGCAACATACCGTTAACTTGCTACCAGTTAGCATTTGCATTTCAGCAAGCTGTTTTTTTTTTTTTGTATACCAAGTTATATTCACCACTTTTAGCGATAAAAGTAAATTAATTTAATACATTTGAAAAAAACTGATGTAAACTAATTTCAGTTAGAGCAGTCACAATGACGGCTCTGGGAGTTCGAGTAACTGTTAGTACTTCTGGCAGCCGAGTGTTAGTTTACCAATGAAAACCACAGCATGCATTTGCGTACGCGTTTATTTCCATTCTTGCATGAACAACATTCGAGTGGTATCCAGGCTTATACTGCCTCCTAGTGACCAAAGACAAAACTACAACATACATATAGCATAACAAAACAGTGACAAATAAATAAATAACACTTTATCAAAAATAGTATCGAGCCAAAAGCTTCAGGTTGACACTGATGTTGGCACGTGTTCATTGATAAAATTAAATGTTTGGTAACTAACTTTTGACGCATATATTAAGTCACACAGTTTCATCTGACGAGGTAGAGGACGACTAAAGGCAATAAATCACATTCTCAGTCTATTTTTCCAATTTATATTATGTTTGCTTTTTTATCTCTACTTTATACTTAAATTATTATTTATGGTTTGCTTTTTATAGTGGGGGAAAGGAAAAAGCTAAGTGTCTTTTGTGTGTGTAATGTGAACAAATATATAAACACATTTTTGATGCATGTCATATACTTTCATCAGAATATTTTCATAAAATCATCTTAACTTGATGATGTAGTAGACAGTTAAAGGAGAACTTAACAAGCTAAATTGCTAATAATATCAAATTCAAAGTCTATTTTTCGTTTTTTTTGTGAGTAAATGTGATAGAGATGTATTTAATTATGAAAATAGTTATCATCTCTTGGAGTTATTTTTTGTTCCTATTTTTTTTCTTGCTTGATACCATTTATAACATTACTATTATCATTTATGTTATGCATTTCTTTTAGCAATAAAATAGATAGTAGAGAAAAAAAGAAAAAACAAAAGTGTAGTTCTGCATTTTATAACGTGAAAAAATAAACGGATGAAAACAAAATGAATCAGCTTAATTTAAGCGACTCAAACCAGCTTTGTGCCTTCAGTCTGACAGAACCCGTTTTGGTATGAGCTTTGAGATGAGGCTGCTCCAGGTGAGACTCTCCGTTTAGAAAACCTTTCCAACAAAACAAAAAAATGTTAATGAAGAAAAAACACAATCTGACCCTGTTGCTTCTGGATTATTCAAATACATTTTATAATTTTTGACATACTGTCAGAACAAAAGGGGTAGGTAATAGTAGTAGTCATAGTAGCGGTAGTCAATGCAAGAATATTAAGACTGTTACTTCAGCGTTGGTCTGGTTACCTGTGACGTTGGTCTGGTCTGGAGCTTCACGTGTTTCTGCTCCATGAAGCACCACCTCTGGGCTGATGTCCACAGACGCTCCACACAGATCCACCGCTGCCTTTAACGTAGAGGGGACCCGCAACCTCACTGATCCTGCAACAGGTTACACTGATACTAGGAATTTATTGAAACAACAAATGGAAACATACATGTACAGTATAATAGTACATATATGAAACAGGGGGTTTTAGGAGGAACTGTCCATAAACCTGTAATATTATTCTTTTGTAGTGGGCATGTTGCCAGGCCTGGTAAACACACTACACACTGTACATGCAGTGTCTGTGCCTACCTTGGTCACTAAAGACATCTGCAGAGCCACCATCCCCTACGTACAGGTCTATGTCTCCAGTGTGAGACGACACCTGCATGGCACTGTTAGAACCATCTGTGCAGCAGAGACAAGCCTTTTCTTTAACAACTATCTTTGTAACACAAGAGAATAAGACACACAGGTGTGAAGCACACTTACCTATCACAGTATCCCCTGACTCATTCTTCACAGTGGCATTTCCTGTTTAAAAACACCACTTAGTGAACATGAAGGTTTTTGATTGACTCTTAGAATATATACATTAATTCAATACATAACAGTGAAATAATGATTGTTCCAGTCAAACGACTGTTTTAACTGGCTACAACATGATTGTATGTGTTTTAATTAGGGCTGTCAAACGATTAAAATTTTTTAGTTGATTAATCGCACAGAAATGGTGAGTTAACTCACGATTAATCGCATTTTTAACATTCTATTTCAAATCCACTCCAATTGAAGTTAAATGAGATTATCAAATATAATGACACATTGTCATTCATACCAAATGTACTTAAATCTGTTTGCTTTTGGGCAAAACCAACATGAGCTGTTAATGAAAGGGGGAAATTTACATACCCCAGCTTTAATTCAGCGTTTCAGTTTAGTTTAGTTTCAGGAGGAGACAGGGACACTCCTGCGCTGTATTTGCGCGCACAGGTTACGCACAGTTTGCAAAGACACGAACACAACATGCAGACAATAGTTCTGTGGCATGTTTGGTCTTATGACCATGTTACCGCGGCGCCACTCACTCACAGCCGCTCACAGCCGTGTTGTTGTGAGCGGCTCACAGTCAGAGCGGCCACGGAGGAGGCGGACTTCAGTTCACAGCAAACAACAGCCCCGCGGTGGCGCGCGTATTCTTTTAAAACATGAATCCCCAGAGGGCCTACCTGCTCTGATGCCATCTCACACGCAGCATTATGAGTGATAATGGATAAATGGGCGGGTCATTCGGATGTGCGTTAATGCGTTAATTTTTTTTTTACGCGTTAATGAAAAATGTAATTAACGTGAGTTAACGCGATAATTTTGACAGCCCTAGTTTTAATGCACGTAAACTTGTGGTGATCAAAGCTTTGTAAATAACACACATTAACTGTTCAACAAAAGGTCTCATATATCAATCTATTTTGAAAATAAAAGTATCAGATTTATACTAAAGGTCAAAATATATTACATTATTTGATCACATTAAAACAAGTCCCATGTATGATCCCAAGGTATAACCATAAACCACAGCTGTGTCTGAATTCTTTAGCCTCAGGAGATACTCTCTCACAATAAAAATACATAGGTTAGCGGCTAAAGTTCTGTAATTACGGTATTCAGCTCAGCGTGTTTAATTCCTGAATTCTTTGGGAGCTTCCTCAAAGGTAGTGGGTGATCTACAGCTTTTGGGATGTACCGCTCACCGTGCACATGTCCCAGTTGTACTGTCCCAGTGCAGGAGGCAATGCTGCTGGACTCTGCATATATGGCCTTGACCTTCAGAGAGCCATGTTCAGTGGACACATTCATGGTGGTGCCCTGGAGCTTCTTCACATCCACACTCTGCAAACCAAGAGACCATAACAACAACCATATTAACTATAAAAAATGACATATGGAATACAGCAGTTCAACTTTTTACAAGTACCAGTAACACCAGATCTTAACCCTGGATTATAAACATGTAACAGATCAGTCCCTGATGATAGACAGGTTGTGTTAGGTTAGCTGCTTTTATATCCAGGCTTATGCTGCCACCTATTGACAGAAGAAAAGAACCATGACCTTACACTTTGTCCTGTTGAGACGATGTCCACATTTCCATGGATAGTACCAAGTCCAGTGACACATCCTCCTGAAGACCTCACCTCAACATGATGGCTCTAAACACAAGAGCCACAAGTTCAAAAACCACATACAGTAACAAGTTGAGATTACTACCATTTATAAAAGAGGAGATTGTTGCATTCTTACCTTGACAGAATGCAGTGTGCAGTTTCCCTCTTGTGTGGACACTTTGCAGATGTCACATTCCATTTTACTGATGTGCACATGGCCACTTCCCGCACAGCTGATGAGCAGATCTGCAAAACATGCACAAACTTTACAGGAGAGAAAATACTAAATGGAATATGCTCCTGATGCTATAATCAACTAACTGTTGTTGGATATTCAATTACTATATAGTTCATTTAATCTGAACAGACAAAAACAGTGTGTGCGGAGAGAAAGGTGAAGAGCAGCCTGGTGAGCCTCGTGGAATCTCAAACCTCTCGGGGCTTAGACTTGGTGGTGAACTCAATGAACCCAGAAGTATATTTAGACGGTGTCCAGACCTGAGCCGATTCGGGAGAAACTCACTGGAACGTATTGACTTGATTGTTTTGAGTAGGTGGCGGCGCACAATAGAGCGTAATTTACATGTGGACTGACTGCGTGCTGACACCACCATAGTGTTTGCCTTAATCCGGAAGAAGCCGATTTGATTTTGAACATAAACAAGCTGGAGCCAATTTCCTTATATGGGCATTAATTCAAACAATGTTAGCTTTGCGCCATAACTGGGGCAGACGGTGCTTACTTCACAGCATGTTTAAGTATATTTAAGCCTCAAAAATCAATACATTGATTACTAAATTGAATTATTTTATTTGTATCTATTTGTTTATTTGGAAGGGAGTGTATTTATGAATAACAGGGACTGTAAATACACCAGATTGTAGCTATGTAGCTAATTTCCAATTTAGTAGACAACTATAATTATATTAATAATGTATTGGTTTTATAAAGCGTTTTTATTATTTTGGACACTTCACGCTTCACATGGTATGCATTATGTCCATACACAGTGATAATGAAGTACAACTGTAGCCACAGCTGCCCTGGGACAGACTGACAGTATGTGCCATTGGGCCCTCTGACCACCACGCACACACACCAAACTCAATGTGGGTGAAGTGTTTTGCCTAAGGACACAACGACAGGTTGGCACTTCAAAGCAGACCCACTGTGCCCGAGGTGTCCCATCACAATACTAACCAGGCCCTGTTCTGCTCGCCTTCAGAAGTCTGACAGAATCAGACTTTCATAAAGGTGGCGCCAATTTCAATGGTTCCAATTTCAATTTCAATCAGTTGCGAACAAGGTAAAACATTGTAAAGCACTTTGTGGGACCTTGGTCTGAGAAATAAAGAAATGTGTAAATACAGATAATTTACTTAAATATTAAAGGAGCAGCATGTAAAATTCTGGCCAAAAGTGGTACTGCACTTTCTCTGACTCAGGTTGCCAGATATGCAGACGAATTCAGCTGGGACGATAATATCTGAATTAAGAGTTTTGCCAACAACAAACACATTTTTCACAAAGAAAGAAATCCAGGTTTTATTCCTTGTTTGAGAATCATAACAAGACTTTTTTAGTACAGCTGCCACATGTTACTTTACCAGTGAGATTAGCTCGACACTGATTTCTGGCAACTCAGATCACAGACTTTCTGATTGGTAAAACGAGGGAGGGCAGGACATCAAAATGAAAACAATAAGAAGATTTAGAGGCTATACAACTAAATATGAAATTCAAATATCTCGGCTGAACTACTGTTATCAGTGAAAGAAGTGTTGGAAAAGCGTTTTGTTAATGGCTTTTTGACATATTAGGACCATTTATTGATGACTTGACATTACATATTGCTACTTTACCATTAGATTCCTGTCGATTCACAGCCCTTGTTTCAATATGAAACCTACCACTTGATGATCCACAAAGGTCATATCTTAAACAGTGACTTACTAGATTGTACTGGAGCCTCCAGGTCAATAGATAAGTTGCTGTCTCCGTCTCCGCCTGTGATTCTCAGCTCTCTCCTCTCCTCATCATAAAGAACATGGCAGTGGTCCAGAGCAGCCTCCTGTCCTGCACTGACCCCATGGACCGTGATAAAAGCTTGGTCAGACTCAGGGAAGGCGTGGGGGTCCAGGGGGGAGATGGAGAGGTTGCATGATGCCAGCTCAGCCCGCACACAGGTGTAGGGGCTGACAGACAGAGCCCACCGCTTCTGGGGGCTCTGTCTCGGCGCGGTGTGCTGATGACAGGCGCTGATCCTCGGGAGGACTGGACCGAGGACTGGACCGTGGACTGGACGCAAACAGCGGATCAGTGCCACACATGAGGAGGCCCGCCGTGCGACTGCCCCGAGCATGACTGACTCTAGAGCTGCAGATTGACTCAGGGACGGATGGGTGAGTGATGTAAACACTGTGCTACTGCATGCTTCCTGCTGCTGTCACCTCAGAACGTGCCGCTCTGCCTCACTTCCGCTTGGATGTTTTACGCAACAAACAAATCAGTGTTTCTGCAGCTTTTCTTAAGTAATAAACAGGGAGTATGTCGCTATAAAAGAGCTGAAATTGAACCTGCGGGAAAAAACACCGCTTTAGGAGCAGTTCAGTAGCTTTTACAAACCGGAAGTGTATGGTTACGTAAACTTGTCTTGTCCAATCATGTGTGTTGTCTGGACGCTGGGCATTGTGGGAGATGAAGTTTTCTTGATTCTGCAGTTTTCATTCCAGTCACATATCAGCAAATGCACATAATTCAAAACATGTTATGGTTTATTTTTTTACATTTGTCCATCAAATAATCTCTGATACGAATATACACATTGCACACCACCGCTAGGCCACCAGTGTCCTAGGAATCATGTAGGACAATACAATATATAACTCTTATATTAAAAAAGGCATATTTCTTTACCAGAAGTTGAATTTACGGATAAACAAGTGGAATTCTTGAACTCATAGTTATAAAAAAATAACAGATATAAACATTGGCTACCTTCATCTCGCTTACTGCACTATAAAAGTGATCTTACAATCACGCCCATAAAATATGAATTCAAAATGATTGATGCAAAATAGTCAAAGATACAAAAATAATAATATACAATTTGTACATCCTGACACTCCCTCAAGTGGACCATTAGCCTGGCCACAAGGCGGCGGCATTGTGCACCAGGATGGACACAAATGTTCCATAGATACATGAAGGATGGAAGAGCCTTTCCTCCAAGCTTTAAAGGTGTAGTGTGTGGCACTAAAAACAGTCTCTGCCAGAGCTTATGGCCTAAAGTCCTTTGGTCTGATCATCATTCTGACCGTTTTAAAGGACAGTCTGTCATTTGTGGGGTAGTATTCTGTGGAGATGTTGTGCCATGTGCCCCAGTAGATACCATCACGCACTCCTTTATATCTGCCTTTATAATACCTCCCATTCAGGTTGGCTGCCATGCAGGCATCGAACCACCAGCCAGAGCTGTAGTAGGCCCCGCAGTTCCCCGAGGGGTAGCGGTCATTGTCCCTGTCCGGGCTGGTGAAGGCTCTGTTATTGTGGTTATATCGGGCGTTGAATCGAAGGGCATCGCCCGCAGTGCCTGAGTAGCTGTCCACAGTCAGCCTGAAGCGCATGCGCTCACTGGCTACTCTGAAGAGTTTATAGAGAGCATAGCCCCAGACCCCCTCAAAGTCCTCCAGCTCCACCCGGAGCTCCATACTCCTGTTGGCGGTGAGCAGGTGCAGCAGCCTGTTCCCCAGCCAGAACTCCCCCTCGCCCAAGTGCCCAAAGCCATCGCGGTACTCGGCCCAGGAGCGGTTGAAGCTGACGCTGCCGTCATACCTCCACTGCAGCACGGTCCACCCTCCGCCCTCCACCTCCATGTCACAAAGGACGGACACTGGGCCCAGGCTGAGCTCAGGCCGCACCTGGTACACCCCACTGTGGCTGTGTCCGTGGAGCTGGAGGTCTGAGCAGTCCCTTACAGCCTTTACATCTGAGAACAGTGAGAACACGAGTTAGAACACAAGAGTTAGATTCATACTTGGATAAAAGCAGTCACACTGGGGAGTACGTAATGTATTTATTACATTTATATACATACACAGCAGTTACATTGGATGGACCAGAGGCACTGCCTTTACTGTTAAAGCAAGACCATGCCATACCAGACCATCATTTTTAACATAGGAGACTTTTAGGACCTAAATGCACCCATTTAAAATGTACAAATATGTAATTACAGACGTATCATGGATGTGGACAACAAATACAAAATCTAACAAAGTGATGTTGTTGAATTTAAGCTTTGAACCAAATATCTTTTACCCCCATGCAGACCATCAACAGCGTTAACTGTGACACAGGGTGTGGTCAAGTGAAGCAAAGGTCAGTGACATTCCACTAATAAATATTTTACTGTGTTTTCAAAACTGAGGAGGCTGACCCAAACCCTGTATAAACATGGTTTTAGACAAGTGAGTTGCTCAATGGTGACCGTTTTATTAATGGTTTATTCTCCTGGGAGAAGATAGTAAATCCCACACATATCCACACACTTAAGCAGCAATTAAAACACACATTTTGCACACATGTAGAAAACTCCTTTGATTTGTAGACAATAGGACAGAATTTGTGGCATGTGACTGATATGAAACCAAACCATATGACGTAGATCCACTTCTGGTGTGGTCTTCTTGGTTATAATACTGTATTAATTACATCTGGCAAATCCGCACTCAAGACCCTCGAGAAAATTTTTCTTTTGCGACATCATTTTGACTTTGAAACCTGTGTTTGTTTGTTACCTTTGTTATATAATTGTTGCATTTTAAATGTTCTTATGTAATTCTTGGCCGACGGTTAATAGTAGTTGCACACTGTAACGCTGAGACAGGCCAACACGCTATAAACAAATGTTTTCTGTTTATGTATTAGAAGAGAATACACGATTGAAACATTCTGGATATTATGTAAGAAATAATGAGTCATTCTGACATGTGTGAGCTATTATGTTTTATTTTATACCTTTTACTTTGTTTTTACAAATACTTCAAGTTTTACTTTTTTTATTTAGTTCTCTGAAACCTTTCTAGCCCTATGTCTGCTCTCTTACCAGTACAATATGAAATGTATTAGATAGATTAGACCAGACATGTCCAAACTCAGGCCTGAGGGCCAATTGCAGCCCGCTGTGTCCTGTTATGTGGCCCTCCACCTTGCTAACCCAAATAATTACTATCGAGATTACAAATAATAATAGTAATGTATTGGTTTTAAATAGCGCTTTTTGGACACTCAAAGACGCTTCCCGTGTCATTATTCTTTCACTCCAAACACGGTGTTTATAAACTACTACTGTAGCCACAGCTATGGTCATGTCATGCCTCATACATCTCAAAAAAGACCAATTCCAGTCAAAAAAGAGTTTTATAATCCACGCTGTATTGTCCTAAATCACAACAACAGCGATCCTTAGAGGAATGTTTCCTGGACTGAATAAATGATCAGTAAGTAAGTAAAAAAATTATGTTGTTTAAGCAAAAAGAAATCTTATTATTATTCTTATAACTGTTTATTATCTATATAATCTGTAGCACTTTGGGATTTGTTTCAAGTGAATGATTATTATTATTTTCTGATAGACCCATATCATATTGGCCTTATAGTGAAAATATTCTGTACATTTTGAGTCACAAACCACACTGTAATCATCTTTGGCCTACATGTAGTTCAGGAGTCTTCAACCTTTTTCTATTGGAAAGCCTCTTTTATGAAACAGAAACGGCAGAGAGCGACTTCTTTTAGCAGGCGTAATACAATTGTTGTCTAAGTAAAAACTACAGCCGATCATGGAAAACACACATATGCATAATCTACAGTGATACCGCACAGTATCCCTTCATTCATAAACATATTTACAGTTGAATAAATATGTAATGGGTTTGGGTTAATGCAAATCATTCAGGATCATGTGTCCTTTTGGACCTCTCTGAAAGGTGGCGAGCTACTGGAGCTGCCACAGAGGTTGGAGACCCCTGATATAGTTATTGCAGGGGTATCAAACTCATTTTGGTTGAGGACAAATAAAAATACCTAAGAGCTGGTTGTGGTCAGAACAGAAGTATAAAAATGGTAATCTTTTTTTTTCTTTTTTTTTTTACACCACATTTAACTGGCTCTTAATTAAGTAGAGCTTGGATATGATTTTCTACTTGTTTTGGATTCAACCACAATTGTGCCAAATATCCTGAAGAGATGTATTTGAAGACTGATAATTAAATAGAAAAAAATATATATAAAAAAAGTACATACATTTCAGTTAGCCTTTTAGAACAGGTTCAATTATATGGTTGTTTGCCCCAGATTATAGGCTTTAGAATGAAGTATAACATGCCATAGTTGCCCATCACCATCAATACTGCAAGTAACTGTGATAATAATATTTGAAAATCATTACAGGGGCCACTAAAAATTGTTTCACGTGCCGGATTTGGCCCATGGGTCTTAATTTGACATGCCTGGGTAACTGTATAGACTAATGCATCAGTGGCCTTTGCAGATGTCACTCCTGCTTACCTGCTTTCCTCCCTTCTCCTTTCTGCTCTCCGGGGCCTTCATTCAGGGGCCCTTCACCCAGGGGCCTCTCATGCGGGCGCTGAGGGCTGCTTTTATTGAGGAACGCCGCCACCTGGTTGATCTTCACCCGCAGCTCTCGTGCTGTGCTGGGAGTTGTCTTCCCCACAGCTGCTGCTTTAGGACCAGCCAGGGGCCCAGCTGGGGGAACCGTTGACCTGAGGACGGGACGCACCCGGGGGGGAGAGCTCGAGGAGGCTTCGCTTTGATGGAGGTCACTTTTTGTAGGTGGAGTGGTGGAGACTTGGGTGGCTTTGTTTGGGGCTGGTGTCAGGGCGATTGATGGGACTGGCCCAGTTGTTTGTGGACTCTCTGTAGATGTAGCCTCGCTGTTTGAATCCACTGTTGAACTATTCACACTTGTTTCATTTTGACCTGAGGGATTTGTATTTAAGTTCTCTGCTGTATCCAAAGTTGCCAATTTTGTAAGATTAGCGGTGGGCATCACATCTGTTTTAGGGATTTTATCTTTCGCTTTTAACGGTTGCTTTGTCTTTGCTGCAGGTATGAGTTTCTGCTTTCCTGGCTTGGTCTGCGGTTTAAGTCCTGGCGACACTTTTGAGCTGTTTTTCAAACTCAAAATCTGATTTATTTTAGGATTTTTCACCTTTGGCGCTGCACCAACGTTCACTTTCTGTCGCGGATCTGTCTTGGGGTTATTTTTTGCAACTTGGCCTTTCAATTTTGGATTTTTCTGGGGAAGTTTGATATTTATTTTGGGGACTTTTTTGCTGCCTTCTTTCACGCTCAACTCAGAAGACCTATTTTGAGCTTTCGTGAAATTACGTGTAATGTTTTGCAAATTTCCAACCTTTTGGAGAAATTGCTTCAATCTGCTTTCCGTGGAGTCTTTGATTGATGTTGCATTGGAGCTTTCTGTCTCCTCTACTCGCACACCTGTTATACTTCTCTCCGTGGGCGTCTGCTCTGGAGGTCCCAGATTCTGCATTTGTGTTTCTGATGGACTACTCTTGTCGTTTACCTGTAGCTGCGTGCTTTGATCAGATTTAGTGCGAGCCTTCGGGTGCATCGGCCTGCGGTCATTGTTAACTTGGGTGTCAGGTAAAGGTGCGCGGTCAGGTTTATGGCCATTCTTCAGATTTTTTTCCTTTTGGTAATTGGCTTCAGGCTTCATTCCTGCGTTGGGTTTTTTCAGTCTCTGATTTGGTGGGCTTCTTGAACTGCTTCTCTTGTCGTTACCATCCGATATTGGTGCTGGCGTAGCGGTTGGCGGTATTTGATTTGAGGCGATGGAAGTAGATATAATTTCACTTGTGAAACCTGCCTGGTGTCTCTTAAAAGGGAGAGAACTGGCAAGTATGGTTGCATCCGTCTGCGTGTGACCCTCTTTTTCATTACTTGCTCGCTCCCCATATTGTGGTATTTCTGTGATTCCCGATTGTTCTCGATCAGAATGGCGATTCAAAAGTGGAACAGTTGTTGAAGAAGTAGCAATATCCTCAATTCGTTCTAGAGCTGAGTTGAATTTCCCAAATTTGTCCATACCTGAGGCCTCTTTCTCTGCTCTGGGGTTATTTTCAACCTTCATCTTTTCAGGCCTATCAGTTGTTGCATTGACGCTATTACTTTGAGATATTTTTCCATTAAAAGTATTTACATTATCTTGCTCAAAATGTAATATTTTGGGAGAAGAAATTGTAACATATCGTTCAAGGTTTTTTTCTTCTATTTTATCTAAGTTTACATCATGATTTGAACGATCTTTGTCATTGTTGGTTTGAGAATTGTCTGGTATTTGCTTGTATCGATTGGTTGACTTGGAGGTTGTAGTTGTGGATCTGGCCGTTGTCGTCAGCTCAAAAGCCTCTGATGATTGTGGATCAATGCTCAAAGATGGAGAATGATTCGCTTTTCTATTTGACATGTCTTTAGATGGATTATGACTTGGCCTTTCCTCTCCATGTTTATGTTTATCGTCAGTGAAAAATGGCATAGATGTGCTGGTGGCATCTTCACCAAATGCATTTGTTTTATTTTGAGATGCTGGTTTGACGCTTGTTTCCATATCTTTGGACTCAGTATGAAAATGTGTTGTATCTGATGTACTTATAGTTAACACAGAATTAGAATTTCCACTTGTAACTTTAGTATTTTGTTCATAAAGACTTGAGTTACTAATGTCATTGTCCTTTTTATCATGGGTATAAGTATGAGAAGGTCGTTCAAAAACAGTTTCGGATCCTCTTGTTCTCTGTTTGGAATTGTCTAAAGAAGTCTGAGAAATAGTAGTATCCAAACCCTCTATAGGTCCTGATTTGGTTTCTTCATGATTTGAATGCACTTCTGTCTCACTGTCCTCTCCACTCACTTTGTTAGTTGATGATTTTGCATTCAGATTGAAATCCAGCTCAATCCCTGTAGAAATGTCTTTTTCCTGTATAGTTTGCGATGGTGGTCCAGAGCTTGATTTGCGCTCTTCTTGGATTACATCTGTGTTAAAATGTGGCTCAGAAGTGGCCGAGGCGGTGACCATAGCGTGCATTTTACCAGCTCCAACGGAAGGCTGTTTTACTCCTTTAGCAAACGGCTTATTATCATTAATTACGTCAATGTTTGTGTTGACATTTAGCAGAGGTGCTCTTGAATTTGTCCGTACATTTTTCCAATCTGAGCTAAAATTAGATTTGGATCTAGTATCTAATGCAATTACAGTAGATGCTGTCTTTGTGGGCACACCTATATTATCATAGCTGGGTTGTATTCCCAAAACGGGCTCTAAATGACCATCCTCCACTTTTTGTACTCCTCCGTTTTGTGATCTTTCCCCATCCCTCCCTCTTGCCAAGTCTGCATCAAAACCCAGCTGCTCTTTAGTGCTGCCCCTATCATTATTTTGCTCCTGCTGTCCCCGCTGATCTGTGGTCATATGTGAGGCTGTAAAAGGAGGCGGTGATGTCAAGGTGACTGGCCTGTCCAAGTCAATAAACCCCAAGCTCTGGCTGCCCGAAAGCAAGTCTGTGCCTTCAATCATTTTCCTGTTTTCAAAGTCTTCAAAACTCTCTCCATTCGTCTCTTCCCCTTTAAAGCTCCTATCCCTTACCTCCCCATTAGTCCTGCGATCTGTGCCCGCGCTTCCATTACCGCTCATTGACATATTTGACTTTATTTTCTCTGTGCTACTAGTTTCCATTGTTTCATCTGGCCACACGTGACGGCCACTCTGTGAACTTTCGGCTGCGTCTCCCCCCTCCTTTCTACCATCACTGGCTTTCCCTCCTCTTTCCTCTACTATTCTCCCCATCTGATTCGTATCAACACGGGTTTTATCGCGCCAGACAGGACGGTCCCGGTCCATTGGCTGCTCTGCGCTTTCATCCATGCTCCCGACTTTTTTTTCGGCCTCATCCCCGTGACTTGCCTTGTGATGCTTATCTTGCCATATGTGTCTGTTAGGGCTATCTCTATTGCTAGGTTTTGCCTCCCTGTCTTGATGATGCAGAATTTCAGCTTGATTTTTTGTGCGATTTTCACTTCTGGCATCATGCTTCTTCTCATCACCTAATACAGTTTTAACAGGCAACTTTTGTCCGCCTGAGTCTTCTTCATTTCCGTTGCTTGGCTTGACTCCGCCGTCCTCCATCACATCTGCAGCTTCTGTTTGTCTTTTACTGTCCGTCAGTTGATCACGCCACCGCTCACTTTTTCCATATGTCCTATTTTGCATGTGAGTAGAATTGCCGAGTGGACTGTTCTGCTTATCTAAAGCCCACTTCACCGCGTCATCTCGCTCTCTCTGTTTCCCATCAAGCTTCTTTCTGTCCGTAATCCTCACGTTTTCCCCTGCAGGCACCACCTGTTCCCTTTCGTCCAGAGTTTTCCCATTATCCCCCCATTTCTCATTCTTATTGCTTTCCCACGTCTCTTCACTGACATCCAAGCCTCCATTATCTTGCGTGGCCCCCTGCCGAGCGCACTCCTTATGGGCACAGCCTTTGCACATCTCCCTCAACTCATCCACGTTGTCTTTCAGCATCTGCAGCTCCTCCACCAGCCTCTCCAGGTCCATCAGCTGCTTGGGCAGGTGGACAGTCATGGGCGGCAGGTTGAAAACAAACGGGCACCCATCTCCGTCCCGTTCGCAGGGGCCCTCGGGCACCAGCGTGGCCGAGCAGGGTGCAAAAAGTCCCACTTGGAGATGGCGGTCCGGAGAGGCGGCGGCCAGCACCAGGGTCCAGACGAAGCACAGGGACGCTGCTGGTAATCCCATTGCGTCTGGGGCACAGTAAAACAGGCGAGTGTGGAGAGGAGAGAGTGTGTAAAAGCAGGCCCACCTCGGTTTTGGAAAGGAGGGAGGGTCTGTGATGCTGATGACACGCACAGATCCAGCCAAAGCACTGGACTGGATGGGTGGGTGTCTGTGCTCGCAGTGTTGGGAATTTCTCAAGCTGGGTCTCGGATGACATCGCAACATTCTAAAGCCATTAGGTCGTTAATTGAACCGTGCGCCAGGTGAAAGGGCTTTTGTAACATGCAGACTTTGAGGTGTGATTGAAAAAATATAAAAGTAACTATAAAAGAAACTGTTTGGAGAAGAATATTGGAAATCGGATACAGAAACGAGTTGTTGTTAGATTTTTGAATGTTGTGTCATGGCTTAAAGTAGATGACAGTACGGTCCTAAGATAAATGTTATTCATTCACAAGGGAAATTGCAAAGGACACAGTAGCTTATGAGTTGTAATATAAGAAAAATGTGTCAAAGTATGTTATATGTTGAGCTGTTTCAAGGCAAGGTAAGTTTATCTGTATAGCACAGTTCATACACAAGGCAACTCAAAGTAATGAACAAAACAAGATAGAAACAGCAAGGCATTGAAATCATAAATAATCACCATGCAATAAAAAAGTAAAAATACAATCCCTCAGTTGTATGTGCAGCTAAACAGAACTGTTTTAACCTGGATTTGAACATTTTCAGAGAAGAGGCCTGTCTCACATTTTCAGGAAGGCTATTCCAGATTTTACCTGCATAAATCTGAAGTGCTGCCTCCCCATGTTTAGTTCCGATTCTGGGCACCAGCAGGAGGCCAGTCCCTGTGCTCCTCAGAGTCCGAGTTGGTTCATATGGCACTAACTTGTCTCAATAATCCTTGTGCTTACTGCATTTTAAACACAATGTGTGCACAGGGAAAACACAATAGAAATACAAGAGACACAAAGTCTTTTCGGAAGGAAAACACTACCTTCACTAATCATAAATTACTTGTTTTGGAAGTTAGTATTTAGCTTGATTTGTATATAACTGGATCAGATTGGTCAGACTTTTGGCCAGGCTCAAAATGTCAACTGCACTTTTAAGGTTGAAGTATTTCTTACACCTGTGTATAAATCGCACCTGCTACATTTTAAGGTAAATTGTGTCCACATATAGGCCACACTTTCATTTAAGTTGCAGGTTTTTGTGGTAATGTAATAGTTAACAGCTGATGAGCAAAACGGTGAGATGGTAGACAACGGTTTGAACTGGTCACAACAAGAGGGACTGGTAAAGTTACAGCAAATAATCAGTTTTTTTTTAACAAAGTCCCAATGACAAATTGAGAAGTTGGAGGGTCATGTCGTCTTTTTCCATCATCCGACTATTTTATTATTTATTTTATTTATGTTATGTTAAGTGAACGTGATCTGGAGTCACAGGACCCAGAGTTCAAATCAAGTCCCAAAAATCAACTCTGGTGCTACAGTGGGGAGGCTGCAGCTGTGAAGTGCTAGGCAAGACACATGAGTCTGGTGTGTGCGTGGATGGTTGGTGGTGGTTGGAGAGGCCGATGGCACATACTGGTTGCCTCGCTTCTGTCAGTGAGCCCCAGGGCAGCTGTGGCTACAGTAGTCGTTTATCACCACTGTGTATGGAGTGAATGAATAATGACATGTGAAGCGTCTATGAGTGTCCAGAAAAGCAATGGATTATTATTAGTTCAAGTTGAGGTCTGATTTGTTTAAAAAATAAATATCGCCTGAGAAATCGAACAAAACATAGGTAACTGAATTCAAAGCCTGGTCATACTTGTGTGAAATGTAGAGAAATCAATTACCATTTCATCCTACAGATGTGTTGTTTTGTCTACTACACAAAGTAACACGTACACTTTCTGATCAAGGCCAAACATTCATAATTTCTGGAAACTGTCAAAGGCAACTCCCAGATATGGAAAGAACACTCATTTAACAAATTGAGAGTAGAGATTTCCACACAGTCTGTTTAACATCCTGCTCTAATGTTCTCACCTCCTCCCAGATCCCCTCTCTGGACCTGGACCTGTGTGGATCTCCTGATAAGCAGATAAGCAGTGCTGTTGTTAAGCTTCAGGCAGCACATATTTCATTATCAGCAATCCCCTAAATCCCGTTTGTCTTCACTCTTAATGCCGACAACCAAATCAACAGCAGTCCTCAACATTCTCACTCTGTGCCGTCAAACATCTGTGCAGCACTCTCCAACACACTGCCACTCAGATCACAAGGACATGTGACAGACAGATGCAGCCCCAATGCGCTATATAGATAAAGATTACTTACTTACTTACTTACAATGTGCCTCTCCAAAAAGTCCTGATACACCTTGAGCTTTTCCACATTCCGTCATAATAATAATAATAATCCAATGATATTCTATAGCACTTTTCTGGACACTCAATGACGCTTCACATGTCATTATTCTTTCACTCCTTACACAGTGGTGACTACTACTACTATAGTCACAGCTGCCCTGGGGCACACTGACAGAAATTAAGCAACCAGTTTGTGCCATTCTGGGCAATGTGGATAAAGTGCCTTGCCCAATAACACAACAACAGTTTGTGGCAGCTCGTTATCAGAGGTCTCCCATCTCAGTACTAACCAGGTCCTGCCCTGCACATCTTCAGAGGTCTGACAGGATCTGGCTTTCACATGCAATAATGGCCCCATGGTCTTGTTTACAACCCTAAATCTAAAGCCACCTGTGATCTACTCTCTCTAATTACAGCTGTTCTATTAGGGCCATAGAGCTGTGGTCAGAGTGTGGTCAGAGTGCATCGGTCACTAAACAGCATCATAAATAGCATCATGAACGCAATTTAGCACAGCACAGGGGTCGCAGGGAGGGCGTGAAGTCGTGGAGAAGTTTGAAACATGGTCAAGTTATACAAATATTTCCAAAGCTTTGAACATTTCCCAGAGCACTGTTCAACCCATTAAAGAATATGGCACAACTGCAAATCTACCAAGACTCGGCTGTCTGCCCAAACTCAAAGACAATTCTGATCACAGATGAAAAAGCTGCAGACATCCCGAGCTCACCTGCGAGAATCTGTTCTTTCTGGACGAGTGGTCGATAAGAAGCCAGTGTTGAAATAAAGCCACAAGAATCAACATGAGGGACACATTCTACATGTGGAAGAAGATGCTGTGGTCAGATGAGACCAGAATTTAGCTAAAAATCCAAAATGGGGGTGGCAGCATCATTTTATGGGGCTGCTTTTAGGACATTGGAAGAAGAGCTGGGGATTCCTCATAGTATTCATGCATGCTTTGTGAATACTTATCTTATAGTTGTAATTAAACAATAGATTTGAAAACTAACAGACAATATATGAGATAGATAGATACATAGAAAGATAGATAGATAGATAGATAAACATACTTGACAGATATACTCAAGATGGCTAGCTAGATTCATCCCATAAATATATACAGTGACATTCGCTACATTTGTTTGCACTGCACTTGTTTTTCGAGTGGCCCAGTCAAGCGTTCGTATCATCAAAGTCAGGAATGATACACATTTTCCTAAACATGTGCAGAGCCGCAGCGGGGTATTAGTTATGTTTTATTGACTTTAAACAGACAGCATAATCCTCAACAAGAAAGAAACGGTTAGCCAATCCGAGAGGAGAGCCAGCGATGAGATGAGACTGTTGTTGAACTTTGCAATAAGTCTTTTCCCCCCCACCCATGGTTCGGTCCTCCTTAGCAACGGTTGCTACGTACATTAGACAAACTTGACATAATTCAAGTTGAAACAGCTGAAGATGGGATTTATCTAATGCGATTGTATTCATCTTTTCAGTTTTGGCAGAAATCCCCGTCTTTCCTTAAAAGGCTGGAGTTTTGAGCTGAAATGGAAGCCTCATGAATATTTTCTCATTATGTTTTTGTTCCACGTTTTCGATTCACCCATGTTGGCCTTTGAAATAGTTTTAGCTGCGAGTAAAATAGTTGTTTGTCGCTGCTGATAATAACTATATAAGGAAAGAGTGTTATGTTTAGTTTAATACAGAACACTTAACACGACGGACCAAGAATAAACCAGTTTGAAAATGCTCAAAGCAGCAGAGATATGAAGCTGAGGCAAGTTTATGAAGTGGTAGTAATTTATACTTTAGAAATGTATACTAGAACCATATTCTTTATTAGATGGATAGATACGATCCCCGTAGGAGAAATTCAGGGGTCCAGTAGCAGCGAAAACACATCCATCCACACAAACAAAACGAAAACATTGACCATTCTAGAAAGCTAACAATAGTTATATAATATGCTAAAGATAGAGATTTTATACTTGCTACTTTATTATGCTAAAGATAGAGATATAAGATAGATAGTTATACTTGCTTTTTTAATATGCTACAGTTATATATGTTCTACTTGCTTCTTTATATACTAAAGCTCGAGATTTTATACTTGCTTCTTTATTATGCTAAAGTAAGAGATTTTATTTTATTTTAGCATAGACTCATTGTTCATTTTCTCTGTTCTGTAATTGCAACACTGAAATTCCCCCGCTGTGCAATGACCAAAGGATCTTTTAATGTAAATGTACACAGAAATAATACAGTACTTTCTGGACGATTTCAGAAAAAGTAGATTTTGTTCACATATAGGCCTCACTTGAATAAAAGCTGCAGGGTTTCATGTTGTAATGGTCTATGGTTGTAATGCAGGGGGGTCAAACTCATTTTGGTCCGAAATAGTTCAGCCCGAAAGTGTTTGAAGCTCATCTTTTCATATATGGATATTTTTACAGGCATTTTTTCACATTATGAAGGTATGCTGAGAAAAGGATTACTTTAATATAACCTGAGCTTGGATACTTCAGTTACTGTATGTCTGGACTGAACCAAAACTGGGTCAAAGATAAGGATTGGGCAATGATTAAAAAAATGTTATATTGATTTATAATGATAAGTTCTTGTTGGGTTCCCATTTCAGAATCAATTTTGGGGC